CGTTTACTGCTATTTTTACTGCTACTTTAACTGCTACTTTTACTGCTATTTTTGCTGTTTCTTTTGCTGATACGTTTACTCCTGCTTTTACTGCTACTTTTACTGCTACTTTTACTGCTACTTTTACTTCTGCTTTTACTGCTACTTATACTGCTACTTTTATTGCAACTTTTACTGCTACTTTTACTGCTATTTTTGCTGCTTCTTTTACTGCTACGCTTACTCCTGCATCTACTGCTACTTTTACTGATACTTTTACTGCTGCTTTTACTGCTGCTTTTATTGCTACTTTTACTGCTACTTTTACTGCTACTTTTACTGCTGCTTTTACTGCTACTTTTACTGCTACTTTTACTGCTACTTTTACTGCTGCTTTTACTGCTACTTTTACTGCTACTTTTACTGCTACTTTTACTGCTACTTTTACTGCTATTTTTACTGCTACTTTTACTGCTGCTTTTACTGCTTCTTTTACTGCCACTTTTGGAGCGATTGTTACTGTTACTTTTACTGCTACTTTTACTGTTTGTCTTACTGCGACTTTTGCTGTGACTCTTACAGTTACTTTTACTGCGACTTTTACTGCTGCTTTTACTGCTGCTTTTAGTGCTGCTTTTACTGCTGCTTTTAGTGCTGCTTTTACTACGACTTTTGCAGTGACTTCTACTTCTACTTTTAGTGCGACTTTTCTACTTTTTCTGCGACTTTCTGCTGCTACTTTTAGTGCGACTTTTACTGCTTTTTTTACTGCTACTTTTACTGCTACTCTTTCTGCTACTTTTAGTGCGACTTTTACGGCAACTTTACTGCGACTCTAACTGCGACTTTTGGGCGACTTATACGGCGATTTTTACGGTTACTTTTACTTTTATTGCGACTTTAACTGTGACTTTTAGGTTGACTTACTGCTGTTTTACTGCCGCTTTTACTGCCGCTTTTACTGCTGCTTTTACTGCTACGTTTACTGCTACTTTTACTGCTACTTTTACTGCTGCTTTTACTGCTTTTACTGCTACTTTTACTGCTACTTTTACTGCTGCTTTTACTGCTACTTTTACTGCTGCTTTTACTGCTACGTTTACTGCTACTTTTACTGCTACTTTTACTGCTACTTTTACTGCTACTTTTACTGCTACTTTTACTGCGACTTTTACTGCTGCCTTTACTACGACTTTTGCATTGACTTTTACTTCTACATTTAGTGCGATTTTTCTACTTTTTCTGCAACTTTTTGCTGCTACTTTTAGTGCGACTTTTACTGCTACTTTTACTGCTACTTTTACTGCTACTTTTACTGCTACTTTTACTGCTACTTTTACTGCTACTTTAACTGCTTCTTTTACTGCTATTTTTTTCTGCCTCTTTTACTGCTACGTTTCTGCTTTTCCTGCTACTTTTACTTCTGCTTTTACTGCTACTTTTACTGCTACTTTTACTTCTACTTTTACTGCTACTTTTACTGCGACTTTTACTGCGACTTTTACTGCTCTTTTTAGTGCGACTTTTACGGCGAATTTTACTGTTACTTGTACTGCGACTGTTACTGCTACTTTTGCTGTGACTTTAATTGCTACTTTTAATGCGACTTTTACTGCAACTTTTAATGCGACTTTTAGTGTGTTTTTTAATGCTACTTTTACGGCAACTTGGACTGCTGCTTTTCTCTGCGACTTTTACTGCGACTTTCATTGCGACTTTTACTGCGACCTGTACTGCTGCTTTTACTGCTACTTTCATTGCGACTTTTACTGCGACTTGTACTGCGACTTTTACTATGACTTTTATTGCGACTTTTAGTGCGACTTTTAGGGACGTCAGAGAGACAAGAATGTGCAGACTGGTGGATAGAGTATTTTGAGAATTTAAGAGATTCTGGTTTGGACAACGATGCAAGCGTTATACAACGAGAATGTTTGACATTCTGTTTTATGGATTTGATTCAAGTTGAGCTCAACAGAATTGCCGGCGCTGGAGAAGAACCTTCATAGAATCCGGCCATCTACCAATCTGGAATGTCCTTCCGGAGAGCCAGATATTCTGTACTTTCTTCAGGAGCTGAAAGATCCGGAATATTATTCTACCCCGATTGATATGGAGATATGGAGGAAATTGAAATTGCCGAGAATATGTGCGCAACGCGACCTCGAGAGAAAGAGTGTTGTCCCGCCTTTAGGGAATTGGCAGAAACGCCAATGTAAAACGAGAGACTTGACACGCCCTCTACAATTGACAAGGCTCGCCAAGTCACGCCTCTGAACACTTACGTAACACAGATCGAAGTAACCTTTAGGTATGAATACGTCATATGCTGGAAATCCACTCCTAAGCATCGTTTTCACGACATTTCTGTCAAGCCTTTACCACCTTTTCGTTATGTTCTCGTGGATATTCCTTTTATCTCGGTGCTTTCAGAATGCGTTTTTAATAAAATTCACCAGTCTCTACTTTGAAAGCGAGGCTTGGGGGTGAAATTGGTTACTCTGGCGTCCATATGTAGAAGGGATTGTCGTGAGTTATGTCTTTTCGTTGCTCAAGCATGGGCGGCCTCACGTCACAGAGTTGCCCTCTGTGCCTGTCTATTCGGTGAGGATAGCTTTCGTACCTTTTAAGAACCGAAAGTCGCGGTAAAAGAAGCGCCAAAAGTAACAGTAAAAGTCGCAGTAAAAGTAGCAGTAAAAGTCGCGATGAAAGTCACAGTGAAAGTCGCAGTGAAAGTAGCAGGAAAATACAAAATGATGTGTGTTCCCTATGGGGTTCCGTAACCGGCCACTCTCGCGCGCGCTGTTGAAATTCTACCAAGAATCAGGCACACAATGAGATAATTTTCTCAACTTTTAATAGAACGCTTAATTTTCATAAGCTTTAACTTAACTTTTCTCTAAGATCGCCAAGATTTAATAATACCCCGGGACGTCGCCGTACCAAATCCAGTGTAAAAGGAGAGTTATTTCTCTCTGAAGGAGAAATGAGAGTTATTCTATTCTGACCAATGTTACGGCCTTACCAGTATGCATTCTTCGCTCTGTTGGTAGTGGGAAGGTGTTCTTGACTTCGCTGGCATTCCCTGTTCGGCCCTTCTTTCCCCTCTTGTACGCATTGGCCACATTCACTCTCGATTCTGATTGATCCACGAACTGCAGTAAATAATAGTCGTGATACGCATACGCTCTCCTCTCCAAGGACCTCTTGGGGGGCTTTTCGAAAAATGCCCAAGGAAGGTAATGATTGCAGGCACAAATCAAAATCAGACATTTAATCTAAAAAAAAAAAACAAAAACAAAACGCAACTTCGTTTGGCGTTCAACGCACATTTACAAGAGAGTCTTTGTGAAAAATGAAAGAGGCAATGACACGTGAATACTTAGAGCTTTTGCCGAGGGGTAGTGGGTTCGTAAATAATTATTTGTTATCTACCGGTAGTTATTTTTCTGTTGTTGCATTGTTCCAATTTTCTGCCACAGGTCAGGTGTCGGGAAAAGCGTTTTTCAATGCGGCTCATTAGTGTTATCAATAGGTTTATCTGATTTAAGAGCGCACGATTCTTTCTATTCATGCAGTCCCAGTTGTGCGGAGCATGTATGACCAAATGGGACAACATCTATTGTTGGTAGATAATTAGGAGTTCCTATGTTTGATGTCCATTGTTTCATTAGTCCATTCGGCAAAATTCATTGTTGTGTTGTATCGGTTGCATCTTGTGTTGTGTCGGTTGTGTTGTGTCGGTTGTGTTGTATCGGTTACAGAGAGTTTCTCCGTTGGTCCAAGTTCATTTTTTTCTGGTATTGATTTTCTCCTTGCAAATATAAAAATAATTTTATCAAAGTTTCAAATTGGCCTGTGTCTTTCGATCGCGTAAGAAGAAAGGGTTTGGAACAAAGCTTGTATCAGTTCCTATCAAACATCAAATGCAACATTTAAAAGCATGTGACTGAAAAGCATAGCTGATATCCCGATCGCTCATTTGTAGCTTGAAGCTACAAATACAACTCTTATTACGAGTTACTCTTTTTGTTGTCTCGTTGCTTCTGCGTTATTGAAATGTTTTTTTCTTCTTGTTTCGTTGGAGCAATTTTTTCTGACGATTGTCTGTAGCTTGTCACTCGTGGAAAGTCCATTGGGAAACGAAACATTTGTAATTCCCTTTAGAGTCTAATTAAACTGCAAATTTTGTTACATGAATACCTTGCCTCCGCCGTCATTAACCGTGTCGCTATTATTCTCCAGGCAAACTGTAACTGAAGGCGGGGTTATCATCTGTTTAATTAGTAATCTGTACTGATATTGAGATAAGTGCCAACCCTTGTGGTGTTTTCAACAGATGTAGTAAAAACTTTAAAATCGGATTTCTTTTAGATTCTTTTATTTATTGATTGATTATGCCCTTAGCACGTTTTACGAATTGGGAGTTTTTCCGCACAGATGTCTTATCATCCATTTGAATTTTATCTCGTTTCTTTCCTTTTTATTTTTCTTTACTTTTTGAAAGAGGGTCTTAGTCATTTGCCTGAATTAATCTTATTTCAGAGCATTTCCGATTGCAGAAACGTTGAAGTTCTTTGTCTTACGAAATCTGCCTCCTGGAATCATTTGGCAAACTTTAAGTTACTTTTTACACCTTAGTTTTTTGCTTTGTTTCCCACGGGGATGCCAATTCTCTGAGTGTGATTTGTGATTTCTTTTGGGATATTTTTATCAGTTTCAGGACAATAGCTTTAATCAGTGCTGTGTTTCGTGATGTTTTGTCGAGTGCCTAATTATCCGTGTCAAATTCTCTTCTTCAGTATTTTCATTTACTTAAAATGTTAGAGATCCTAGTTTGCCCACTGGATATATTATTTCTTTTCTTTCTTGCTTGCTTTGAAAGGACGGAAATTCCAGGAAATTCAACAAAAGTTTCAGAATAGTTTTGACCCATGCATGACAGCATGATTGCACAATTCTCCATGACATGTGCGATGACGTCATTAGTAACATCCCCCTCTAAGCATTTCGAATAAAACTCTCCTACTACCCAATACCGGCCTCTTTAATCGTGGTTCTCAGAGAGGCGAAGGTATGTACTGGTGACACGATTTTATTTCGATTTTATCCATCTCAATCTCGTCTAGATGATAGCCATCAGGGCCTGTTTTGTAAAGAGAAAGTTTCAGTATTCGTTATTTTTCCGTCATAAACGATCATTTTGAGGTTTTTCTAGCCTTTCGAACAGAAAAGAGTTGAGCGTTTTACCCTTTACCGTTGCACACTCGTCGATCTAGTTTATGGCGATGTAACCTCGGCGTTTCTGATGTGTTCAAGGCCTTAAATTTTCAAATTATGAAGTCGATTTCAAAAACGGCTGGCCTAACGTATGGTTTACAGCCGTTTCAGTGAAAAAAATCTGGGAAGGCGCTATCCTTTGTTGAAATAAAAATGGCGAATCGTCTATCTTCAACACGTGATGTGTCGCTTCAAAGGGAGATTTTGAAGAAAAAGAAACTGTTCGCTTTCATTTCTGTGTAAGTGAATCTCATCGGGTTATAATATAATATTTTAACTTTGAATATAACGCTTACTCGGCGCTTAAGTGTTGAAAGCCATGTTTCACTTCTTGCTGTCTCAGATCATCTCGTCTAAGAGTAGCAAATCCAAGGCGCAACAATGGCAAAGGAAAAGACTCATATCAACATCGTTGTCATCGGTCACGTAGATTCTGGAAAATCTACTACCACTGGCCATTTGATCTACAAATGCGGTGGAATCGATAAACGAACCATCGAAAAGTTCGAGAAGGAAGCCAACGAGGTGAGTTTCAGTAACGTTCCTTGTAATCATAACTCCAAAAGAGGAAGAAGGAAAAAAATAAAAAAGGAAAAAAGTTTGTGATGGCCATTTTTGGCTAAAATATGGGAACTGCGTGTTTATTTGTTTTCCCCGGCAGAAAATTTCAATTTGTTACTTACGTTGGCCTTGCCCATTGAAATAAGATCAAGTTAATACATTTGTCTTCCCAAGATAGGATAAAAATCAGTAAAAGTTCGCTCTGACAAAGATAGTGGGCTGAGAATTTGAAAGCTGAAAATTTTGGACCTGGTAAGTGTCCTGATAAGTTCCCTCCCTTCTTTGTGGGCCTTAGTGTCTTTTTGGGAGAGGAAGTTACAATTACTCTTTGATCTGAGTTAAATGGGGCAATCATCTCATTATGTAATTGAGAGTGTGCACAGAGAGTGAGTAAGTTAAGCTGAAGCTTATTGGAAATCTGGGCTTATTTGTAAATATCAGTGTGATGGAGTATGCTATGGAACTTGCTGGCTATGCCTACGATAATAAAGTTCACCTTCTTAAGGTTAGAGTGGATTGTTGAGCACTTAAATTCTGATGTAAAGGGGGAGGGGGATATTAGACCATTCACTGTGAGTCAATTTGCTTATTGTACCTCAACCTCTTAAGACATCCAAAAGAGAAATGTTAGGGAAGACCACATATGATTCAATGTACTTCTTTATTTTTAAACATTAGATGGGAAAAGGCTCCTTCAAGTATGCCTGGGTGCTGGATAAGCTCAAGGCTGAGCGTGAGCGTGGCATCACCATTGATATTGCCCTCTGGAAATTTGAAACTGAAAAGTATTATGTCACCGTCATTGATGCCCCAGGACATCGTGACTTCATCAAGAACATGATTACCGGTACTTCACAGGTAAGACTTGCTTTTTTACTAATTAGCTTGCCCATAACAGAAAAAGACTGTGTGTGGTATATCTAGGATACATGAGATCTGGTAGAACAGATTTTTGTTTTTGTTGGATTTGATCAACTTGCTCTAAACAAGAATGTAGGGTGTTGGCAAACAAATGATGGTGAGATTTCTGAGAAACAGAAGAAAATAGGACAACATTTTACATTCAAGTCTTGTTCCACTGTCTCCTTGGAATTTCAGAGCCTTTTGTGCTTTATGTTGTGCAAAGGAAGGGGTATAGGATACAGTCTTGGCCTTAACCCTTTCACTTCCATGAGTGATCAAGACAGAATTTCTCCTTACGTTATCAATACAATATCAAGCAGACTAGTGATGAGAATAAAGAAAAACATCAGATAGGGGATTATTGGTTGATCTAGGACTAAATTCCCTGAACTAACATTATGAGAAGGGTATGGCTGACAGTGAAGAGAATTACTCATAAGATCTTGGGAGTGAAAGGGTTAACACCTTAATTTTATTCAGAATTTTGCCATCAACTTCTCTTTAGTAAATAAAATTGAAATCATGTAAAGGTTAAGAAACCCTGTAATGGTCAAAATGCCCTTTCCCAATTGTATCAAGTAAGAATTAGTTCCCCTTCAACTCCTTCCCTTTTTCATTAGAGTTGATTAGAACAGTTCTTTTTTTTCATTTGAAACTCATTTTGCTGTTCAACTTTCAAGGCTGATTGTGCTGTATTGGTTGTTGCTGCTGGTACTGGTGAGTTTGAAGCTGGTATCTCAAAGAATGGCCAGACCCGTGAGCATGCCCTTTTGTCGTACACTTTGGGAGTGAAGCAGCTTATTGTTGCTGTGAACAAGATGGACACCACTGAGCCCAAGTATCATGAGGGGCGTTTTAATGAAATTCAAAAGGAAGTCAGTGGCTATGTGAAGAAAGTTGGCTATAACCCCAAAGCCGTGGTATTTGTTCCCATTTCTGGTTTCCATGGTGATAACATGTTGGAACCAAGTGAGAATGTATGTATTTTCTTACTGATCATTAATTCTTAAACCCTTTAACCCCTAGGATGACTAACATCTAATTTCTTCTCACAATATCACCCTTAAAGAAATCATTAAGGTAATGAGAATGAAGGGGATGATCACAAGCTAAAGAAGCTCTTCATTGTTTGATGAATTCTCCTTGTCAGAACCCTAAGAAATGTCAAGGGATTAGTATGGAGAATATGCATACTGATGTTAGGGAGTGAAGGGTTAAACTGTCTATTTTGGGTGAAAATTGTAGATGGTTTCTTGTTAACACTGCAGGTTTGTTACTACTGTAACATTAAAAACTCAGTGATACTTTAAAGGAAGTCTGTAAGGATCTCAAATAGCATCTTCATTTGAGGTTATACCTTTGTTGGTTTTCTTCAAACCTCAGCTAATGGTGAATCTGGCCAAATATTAAGTTTGAGAGATCTGTGTTTCTGTCCTGGATAGAATCTCTTAATGCTGCAATTTCTTACATTTTGGGGTGTTTTTCTCTATGGATTTAGATGCCATGGTTCAAGGGATGGAGCATTGAGAGAAAAGAAGGAAATGCTTCTGGGAAAACCCTCTTTAATGCTTTGGATGCGATTTTGCCCCCGGAGCGGCCCACCAAGAAAGCCCTCCGCCTGCCATTACAGGATGTTTACAAGATTGGAGGCAAGTTATTTCCTCGTTTTATGCATGTTTTATGATCTAGTAAAGTCAGACTTTTTGCTTTGTCACAATCTTCTGCCATTAATTTCTTTGACTTTAGACTTTCTCTTAGATTAGCCTCTAAGGGGTTCCTCTTTTTGGCAGTTGCATGAAGATCGTCATTTCCCAGTGTTTTGGGAAATGTGACAGAAAATTTACTACTTTTGCATGGTGCAATACATGATGCCAACAAAAAACAAAAATTATGTCCAAAACTTCTGCATTATTAGACCTTTTACTATTTGGTATTGGTTACTGGTCTTCTCCTCAAGATTTTGTCTTTTTTTCTTACAACGCATTAAACTTGGATGGTTTCTTTAACTAAAAGGCTAAAAACAAAATTTTGAAATTTTTTGATCAGATTTTGTTGATGGTAATCCTAACTTTAGGGGTAGTTAGCATGCATTTTCTCCTTATGATATCCATACATTATCCAGGAAACTCTTAATGGAAATTTGCATTTCAGGTAGTTTTGTAGAACAGAGCAACAAAATGACTGCTCTTTTTTTTTCCCTTTTGCTTGAAAAGAAAAAAGAAAATCAATTTACAAGCAGGGAAGATTTTTTTTTGTTGGTCACAAGTTTCCCAGTTTTTGTATGGGTTGTTTTCATCTTTCTTGTACTACTTATGCAATGGATACAACTCACAGATAACAACTCCCCAAGCATTGGATATGTTTCACAGATAAGGCCTAAGGATGTATTTCACAAACTTAATATGAAAGAAAGAACTTGGAATTGAAATGTGGAATAATAAATCTGTTATTCAATGGTTCTACATGGTGAACATTTTGCTTATTGCCTTTTTTTTTTTTTTTTCTTTTTTTCCTTCACCCCCCTTAGGGGCTCTGGGAAAAAAATCACAACTTGCCAATCATCGTCACATATTATATATGCAAATAAAGGTGTACATTTAGAAGACTGGTAGACCACATAACTTTTTATTGTAGTAAGCAAGATGGCTGGCTTTTTTTTCTGGAGATTCAAAAGGATATCTTAAGGCTTAATTCCAGGGTTTCAGGGGAGAAAAGCAAATTGTGACCAAAGGAAACTATGAAGCATGAGTGTTTTTTAATGCAAATCTCACTTCAGCCTCAGACCATTAAAATTAAGTTGAAAATTGACAAGTCTTACTATATGACCCCAAACACAGATTGCCAGTTAACCTGCCAAATTTTTTTCAAGTTACCATGTTGACCAAACTGGTCTAAACTAGGAGCCCTGTTTAGATGAATATTTACCTAATTTGAAAATGGAATGAAGCATTATCTTAAGTTGTGGCTTGGTGTTAAGCAATTGTTAATTTTCAACCCACTCTTAGGTATTGGAACAGTGCCAGTTGGTAGAGTGGAGACAGGCATCCTGAAGCCAGGCATGGTGGTGACATTTGCTCCTACTGGCCTGAGTACTGAAGTAAAGTCTGTGGAAATGCACCATGAAGCTCTAACAGAAGCTCTTCCTGGTGACAATGTTGGCTTCAATGTGAAGAACGTGTCAGTAAAGGAAATAAAACGTGGCAATGTTGCTGGTGATACCAAAAATGATCCACCAAAACCAACCAATTCCTTTAATGCTCAGGTACAGAATACCGTCATTCTTTGGATTATTTCTCTTCTGTAAGAAGTACTAGTTTTGAGAGTGGTAAACTTGGGACAGAACAGCCTTGTGTTTATTTTTAGGTAGTTCTGCAATTTACATTACAATTTTAAAGTGTTCTTGCATCCCTATGAAATGTATATGTGAAAAATCCTCATGAAACTTGTCACAGATCTTTTGTTCCAGAGACAAAGGTAATATCCTAAAATTGGCTAGCTGTACTTCTTTCCCTTTTAACCCTGTAACCCCTTAGAACGATCAGCATCTAATTTCTCAGTACAATATCTCCCCTGAATAAAACATTTGGGTTGTAAGAAAAGAAGGTAATTATCACCAACTAAAGAAGTTCTTGATTGTTTGACAAATACTCCATGTCAGTAGCAAAGAAAGGGGTATGGAGAAGAGCCTGAGAAATATTGATGCTGATGTTGAAGGGTGTTGAGTGGTAAGGGTCATTTTTGTCCCATTGTCCATGCGGTTTCTCCCATCAAGGCAGTGCGTTTTAACGTTAACTTTTTGTTCCATATTGGTAGGTCATTGTCCTTAACCACCCAGGAGAAATTCATGCAGGCTACAGTCCAGTGCTGGATTGCCATACTGCCCATATTGCTTGCAAATTTGCAGAACTGCTTGAGAAGATTGATCGTCGTTCCGGCAAGAAGTTGGAAGACAACCCCAAAATGATCAAGTCAGGAGATGCCTCCATAGTTAAGATGATACCATCTAAGCCTATGTGTGTGGAAAAATTCTCAGATTATGCTCCGCTGGGACGCTTTGCTGTACGTGACATGAAGCAGACAGTGGCTGTAGGCGTCATCAAGGATGTGGATAAGAGCGAAGTCGCTGGCAAAGTGACAAAGGCAGCTCAAAAAGCTACCGGCAAGAAAAAATGAAATTCAGTACACCATCTCAATTGCAAAAGACTTCTCCGCTTACAAGTCAATCATGCTGTAGTAGTTGAATGGCTCCTTTCCTATCTATTTCATCGCAAGTCTGTGCGAAGGCGGAGACTGTTTTAATATGTGAAGGTTAAACGTGTACTTGGTAGAAATAAAATTAATAAAACGTTCTGTTGTAGGTGGAGTGTGTTCTGTTTTTTCAATTATGATTTGAACGAAGAAACCCCCTTGTGGGTGTGGCATTGAATCAAACTAAGGTAAACTCTTTTTGTATTTACGAGCAAATAGTGCAAACACAAGGTGTGTGCGCAAACACGCAGATGATGAATTACTCGAGCTCTGCGTTAACCCTTATCAGCGTACTTTATCATGGGTCGTGGACATTTTCCAAGAAGTGTTCCCTTCCTGAATACTAGACTATGAATCCATGGCCGTTCGTTGGTTATGAGATAGAAAACGGCTCAAGGCCAGGCCAAACGTACACGTAGAAATGGTTTTCACCTCTATCACCAGGAGAGACCTTAACCCTTTAACTCCCATCAGTGATTAAGACATAATTTCTCCTTACAATATCGTCACTGAATCAAGCAGACAAGTGAGGAGAATAAAGAAGAAATCTCAATTAGGGGACTACAAGTTGATTCAATACCAAATTCTCTAAACTGAAATGATACGCATTTTATGGCAGACATTAGGGAGAACTACTAATGAGATCTTTGGAGTTGAAGGGTCAAGGTTAAGAGAATTTACAATTATCATCTTAGAAGAATTGAAATACCGCCAAGTACAACAAAACTTTGACAACAGCAAACTGTCGTCTTGTGTAACTTCGTAAGGGTTTTAAGAGGGCTTACAAAGATTCGAGGGAAATAGAAAATGAGCCTTGAAACGAGTTAAGGCAATGCTGACCAAAACACCATATTAATTCATTTCGAGTGAATTCATTTCAATGCATGGGACAATCAAAACGAAAACGAAAAAAAAAAAAAAAAAGAAGGGAGTTCATCTTGCTCTCAGATCATCAAAATTTTAAATGTCTAATTTGCAACAGATTTTCCGTCTCTCAAACGAGAAAAGCTATAGGGAACTTATATCCGAGGAAGTGGAGGGGGGGAGCTTATAATCGAATGTACAGTGTCGTAACTGATTTAATTAGAACAACAAACACTCTCTCGCTTACACAATTATTCTGACTGAGGATCAGTTCTCTCTTATCTTTTGTCTCAATTGATTTTTTTCCTCGTGTATCATAAACCTATTTTTGTCGTAGTGCTTCATGAAACACATCTAAGCGACACGCCTTCAAAAATGTCAATCTTAATAACACGTTCTTCGTAACGACATTTCACATTTCGCACGATATACAGTATTTTCCTGGCTTACAGATAGATGAATCTGTAACCTATAAACGGCAGTTTATAGTAATAGGCACTATCCAGATTTTTCCCCAACCTCAAACGGGCAGGACTAGGGCTCCTGGACGGGGTCATTTGCTTTGGGACGTAACAGATACCATATTTGACGTCTTTTTTCTTACATTTTATACAACGCTGACCCCAATATTCGATTTTAGTAAGACAGTAAGGAAGAGGATCGAGGAGTCGAGCGAGGAAAGAAATTTCTCGGATGTGGTAGGTTGTATCTTCGCTCGAAAATGTAGTGGAATGGAATGGTACAAACTGCAACGATGGTTTACGCGCTCATAATTCACACACTTGTTCCTGGACCCTGTAGATTGTTGTATTCATCAGTTTTTGTTCACGAACCAGAGGTAAGTACAGCTCAGTCATAACCTCACCGTATAACCACAACTTCGCCACGAAACAGCAGCGTGAAATATGGTCTTGATAAGGAAAAATGGCTTCGTTTTTATCTTTTTGGTGTGTTTTATCAACGTAAGACAGTGGGAATGCGCGTCGCCCTTCTCAAACGAGAGTAATGAAATTCACAGTGTGTAGGAAACAACGGATGGTTCCAACAAATGAAATTGCCTCAGAAGAGAACAAAAAAGACGAGCAAAGATGTCCAAATTTTTAGATGTCATTCTTTGCTTGTATAACTCCAACCCTTCAATCCATGCGAGTGAACCGCACCCAATTTCACACGACCCCATAAGCTTTGAGCTTTAAACCCTATCGTGTTTAAATAAAGGATGTTATATTATTATTATTTCTCCTTACCCTTCAACTCCCATGAGTGACCAAGACAGAATTTCTCCTTACAATATCAATACAATATTAAGCAGATAAGTTATGAGAATAAAGGAAAATATCTACAAGGGGATTATCAGTTGATGTAATACTACATTCTCCAAACTAACATCACAAGAAATGTATGGCAGACAGCAAGGAGAATCACTTCTGAGATCTTGGTAGTGAATTGGTCAAAGAGGGAATGATCACCAGCTCAACCCTTTAACTCCCAAGATCTCATTAGAAATTCTCTTTACTGTCTCTCATACAGTTCTTGTGGTGTTATTTTGGAGAATTTGGGAATGGATCAGCTTGTAATCGCCTAGCTGATATTTTTCTTTATTCTCTTCACTCGTCTGCTTGATATTGTCTTGATATTGTAAGGAGAAATTCTCTCTTGGTCACTCATGGGAGTTAAAGGGTTAACCCTTTAACCCCTCACAGTGACTAGCATCTAATTTCTCTTTACAATATTACCCCTGAATCAAACATTAAGGTCCCAAGAATAAATGAAATGATCACTAACTAATGAAGATAATTATCAAATTCTCCTTGTCAGCGCCTTGGGAAATGTATTAAAAATAGTATGGAGAATATGCATACTGATGTTAAGGTTCAAAGGGTCAAGAAACCCTTATTCTCTAATTCTTCTGCTCAGTAGCCTTGAAAATTATATATTTAGAACTTTAGGGAGAATATGCATATTGAAAACAGGGTGGGAAAGGGTTGATCAAATTTGGTCAGTTTTTGGTGTGTGACCCAACTTGTAACAAGTGTTGCAATGTCAATAATCTTTGATCTTCTTAGATTAATGAAGAGGTAACAGGTGACGAGCGTGCAACCAGGAAGGTTCACCTGTTGGAAGTGGCACAACGAGTGCAGTCTGAGTACTCTTTTAGATATGTTGCTTCAGAAGATGACAGTGCAGAGGATTTGACTGGATTGTCTTCAACAAATGAGTAATTTGAGTTTTTGAAACTTATAGAATGAGCTGAATAGTGCATGCATAATGAGCAAGATTGTGCATGTTTGATTGGTTGTTACTTATGATCTGTTGGAGGAAAGAGGCAAAGATGACATCACCATTAACAGTCTTTGCTTATTTATCGTGTATAACGAAAATATTCCATTTTGTCTTGTGTTTGTTCTGTAATAGATCACAGAGGAGGTCAGTGAACATCAGTGACACACCAGGCTGTGCTTTGTGTGCCACTTTTTGTTTTAAGCATATTTTAACATCATCTATGATCTATTACTGAACAGATGTGCATCGACATAGAATCTATGTTTTGATCTGAAAAAAATATCTTTAATTTAGAACCAGTGTCATTCTTGACAAAAAGTCAATATCCTACCCAAAGTGAAGTTTTTTTTTTCACGGTCAAACAGGCAAGAAAACATATCCGGCCGAACCATGGACGCTGGAAATAATCGGCTACTACTGAGCTCGGGTGACACTATATCGAAGGCGTTCGTTGAGGGTCGAACACACAAGTTTATAGTACGGCGATTAAATTTAAAATAGGTTATGTAAGCTTCAGCACTTGTTCCCCCGAAAAGTTCAAACCTGAGATGTACAAGATCGTCCTTGAGTTCCTGCGGCAGTTTCTTGATTTTGTTTTGAGTATTTTGTGGTTGCCATAAAATAACTACAGTGATAAATTTCTTTTGAACAATTTTCACGGGATTTTTGCCCAAGAGCTAAATGCGAATACAAATATTTTTATAACGGGCAAATAAAATAGCATGACACCGTTACTATTTTCTTCCAGTATCAATCATTAGAAGAAGAGATATTACTAAATGCGTGATCGTGTAGTTTATAGCCATTCCCGAAATCCTAGATTCATGAAAACAAGCCATCAATCTATACTTCTATATTTTTGTTCAGTCACATGTGGCTCACAGATAAAGATATACAAAAACAGATAAAATATTTTTCAGTACGTTTGAGCTATTTGACTAGGTTATCAATGCGCCAATAAGCCTAACAGTAACGTTTGAATTTTAGACGGTAACTTCGTCTCTTAAAAAGTAAATTAGAGAAAGATTCTCCTTGCAGCGTTGAGTTCGTTGAGAGAAGTTCGATGTTTTTTACTTAAGTAATACGAAACATTTGTCGACGCTGAAACGTCAAATGATTCGTGAAATAACGAAAGGGAATTTCAGGAATTGTATGCACCCACGTTTATGGGAATTCTGAAGTAAATGAATGTAAATGACCTTCCCGATTTTGTTTCCTCAGTATGCGAAAAGTTTGATGGATTCCTCCCCTAAAATACCTAAAAAAATTAAAACAGTTTCGCGGGTTTTGCAAAAATCGAATGCTACTGGTACGTTTTATTATATTTCAAACACTGTTTTCAAAAGGAATTCTCACTTTTGTTGGATTGTAGAGGCAATGCCGAGTTTCATTGCTTAGATGGTAAACGGTTTGCACAAAAATTGGATCGGTATATTACCACCATTGTGTTCAAAGACGGGAGTCGCTGTAAATGCATATTTTGAAAAAGTATTTCTGTATACTAGATTACGCACTTAGAGTGTTTTCCAAGTGCTTTCCTTTGTATGAAATAATTTTAAATATTTCCACACTTTTCCGCCCGTTGCATTGCGTAAGTTTTTACAAAATTACCTTCAAAAGATCGAGTCTCTTCGAGGCCCACACCGAATTGGTAAAAGCAAAAATTCAGTTAAAAATAAAAGAAACTGTCCACCATTTTTCGAAAACCTCTCGTGATTTAACTCCTTTGAGTGCAAGGCCTTCTTTACAAAGCATGTGGAACTACTAAAAAGAAATCTCTCGAGCATATCCTCGACCTCGTCTCTTTTTCCATCGAAATAACCCACGAAGCACCGGTTTTGAACTGAACAATTTTCAAGGTTTTCCTCAAGGAAGTCAATCTCCGATTTGTTTAAAGAAGGTTGATTAGTCGCCGCCATCATAACGTATTCTAGTGTTTTATTCAAAAATTGCCTTCAGTTTTTAGATGTCATCCTTTAACGGGCTTTCGCAATATTCGCAGGTTTCATAATTTCCTCGGTGACCAAAATTATCGTGTACTCTTACCTTCGACGAACGCCTTCGATGTAGCGTCACCCGACAAGCTTTCCAGCATATTACACCTCTCTCGAGACCACTGAAAATTATACTTTACAAATTCAGGTGTTGTTTGGTTATCACGTTCCCGAGTCCCCGCGTCCCACGTCCCTGCTGCTTACTTCCCCGAGTCCCGAGTCCTGCGTCCTGCGTCCAGCGTCCCACGTCTCCGAGTCCCAGTCCCACGTCCCAGTCCCACGTCCCCATCCCACTTTTAGTCACAGCCTCTCCCCTCTGATGTCATCAGGGCCTTTTTGTAAAGAGAAAGTTTCAGTATTCGTTATTTTTCGTTTATAAACGATTATTTTGAGGTTTTTCTAGCCTTTCGAACAGAAAAGAGTCGAGCGTTTTACCCTTTACCGTTGCACATTCATCGATCTAGTTTATGGCGATGTAACCTCGGCGTTTCTGATCTGTTCAAGGCCTTAAATTTTCAAATTATGAAGTCGATTTAAAAAACGGCTGGCCTAACGTATGGTTTATGGTCTATCCTTTGTTGAAATAAAAATGGCGAATCGTCGATCTTCAACACGTGATGTGTCGCTTCAAAGGGAGATTTTGAAGAAAAAGAAACTGTTCGCTTTCATTTCTGTGTAAGTGAATCTGATCAGGTTATAATATAGTATTTTAACTTTGAATACAACGCTTTCTCGGCGCTTAAGTGTTCAAAGCCATGTTTCACTTCTTGCTGTCTCAGATCATCTCGTCTAAGAGTAGCAAATCCAAGGCGCAAGAATTGCGGTGATTTCGCCAACGAATGATTTCGCCAACGTCACGTTCGCCAACGTCTTTGGTCGCTTCGCAAACGCGACGAGTCGCTTCGCCAACGTCCTACTGGTCACTTCGCCGACGCCAAATATCTAGTAATAACTTAGAAATAACTTAGTGTTTCTTGACTGTGTTTCTTGTAATACTTATATACTCTTGATCGAAGTTATAATATGCGCTGGAGTTATAGAATTAGTAGTAGTAGTAGTCTACAATGTATTTATATAAATCTCTGTTCTAGAAGTCTCAAAGGTAATTATATAAATCTCTGTTATCGACAAATAAACCTTATAGAAGAACTTAAGGAAAAGGTTGCACACACGCGACTTTATTGCTCTAAGTTAAATTCAGCAACATACAGCGTCGGTGACGCGTGGCGTGCCGTGCATTTATGTGGGCCCACTGTGTTTTAAGTTGCGCGTACAAGAGAAGGAAACTAAGTCCGAACAAAATAACGGAAGGAAACTAAGTTCGAACGGGAAAATCAAGTCTGTTCAGTCAAGTAAATAGCTCACAGAAGCAAGAAGAAGTAATGGTAAATTTTTATTTAGAGTAAACTAATACATTGGCGAAGTGACCAGTAGGACGTGACCAGCTTTGGCGAAGCGAACTAAGACGTTGGCGAACGTGACGTTGGCGAAATCACTCGTGTCACGGCGGCATTGCGCGTGACACTGCGTGACATGACAGAAACTTACGTTGCGGTGGCCTGGGCCGAGCGATCCCGCATGACCACGCTAGTAGAACGTTTCAGAACGTTTTTCGCTGAGTTAGTCCTTTGAGTTGAACGTTTCTATGGCTAAAATGTATCAAAGAACGGATTAAGGACTAAGGTTTATGTCATTAACGGAACAAGGACACAGATGTAAGTTTTCAGAGGTACTGTTTAGTTTTATTGTATTGTAATTTCGTATCGCACCGAGCTCGCCTTTGTAATAATAGGTTGAAAAGACAGATGGGCCGCAGTTAGGATAAAACATCTTATGAAATTTAAAAAACGATCTCTGTCTTTTCACGTATACGCCAAGAGGCTGGGCAGAAAGCCCTTTCGCTCGTTCGACGTTTAGAGAAAACAACTTTCAAGCTTGAAGCACATCATCGCCACCTACATTTCACTCACAAAGCATTGGATAACCAACTTGTACCTAAATCGCTGCGATTCAAACCACCAGGCAGCCATCCTGTTTTCCAACAAATAATGAACCGCGCTAGCAAGCACTGCCTACGAGCAAGAATAACCATCTGCCATGAGCACATCAAAACATCAAGGACCGCCATCGAAAACACCAAGCGTGATCTATGCTCCCTAATCAATGAGGACACCTATGCGACCTTGCTACTATTCCTAAAGAACAGAGCCACATCTTTCAACAACAACACCAACACCAGACACGCCAAGAAACTTGCTACTTTGAAATCCACTGGTTATCAAAAGTCTGATATTGACAAGAACAACTGGGTTGTGAACCTCTCCACCAAACCACTCTTACCAGAAGAACGATCTCTCCTAGAGAAAGGTCCAAAATTCGCTCCGACGCCCACAAGCATTCTACACAAGAACATTGTGTCTGAAATCGAAGCGGCTATTCGTCACCTTCCTGATATTTCTAAAGATGCTGTTAGAACTAGTTCTGCTGCCATCCTATATAGAGCAAGACTGCCGGCGCACAAAAATATTTCTAAGGAAGAAAGAAAAGCTTTAAATGATCTTAAGAAGGATCAATCTAGAGTCATAATGAAAGCTGACAAGGGAAACTGCTTTGTCGTCATGGACAGATCAGACTATGACAACAAAATGGAGACTTTGCTCAATGACAGATCCACCTATGAGCTAGTTTCCACATCACCTTTCCGCCGGATTGAATGTGAATTGAATGCCATGTTACTCTCCTTAAAGAGACAAGAAAAGATTGATGACCCAACCTATCGTAAACTTCACTCAACCGACGGCACACCACCAGCGATCTGCGGCTCAGTTAAACACCACAAAGAAGGGAACCCACTGAGACCCATTGTCACCTGTATTGGCTCAGCTCTCTACAACATGTCCAAGTTTCTAACGGATATTCTATCTCCACTTCAAAATCGTAACGGATACTCTGTTGCCAATTCCTTGCAGTTTTTCAAAGAAATATCTTTGCGATCCCTGTTGACAAAGCATGTGATTACATCAAGATCAAACTGGAACAGGACACCTCTCTTCCATCCAGAACAAATTTGGACATCAATGACATAATATCACTGCTCCAATTTACCCTGTCCAACAACTATTTTATGTTCAATGACAGAATCTATAAACAAGTACACGGATGCGCTATGGGCAGTCCAGTTAGCCCTGTAGTGGTCAATCTCTGTATGGAAGAAATCGAGGAAAGTGTGATTAACAGTTCATCCGTCTCTCCTAAAATCTGGAAACGTTATGTCGATGACAGCTTCTGCATCATCAAAAAAGACAATGTGCCAGCTTTCCATGACACATTAAATTCAATTGACACCAACATCTCTTTCACCATCGAAATTGAAAGTGACAATAAGATCTCCTTTCTCGACACTTTGGTCAACCGCAGAAATGGTACCATCGCTGTCAATGTTTACAGAAAGCCTACGCACACAAACAGATACCTAGATTACAATTCTCACCATGATAATAAACACAAGGCCAGCACAGCAGCAACTCTTCTACACAGAGCCCTAAAGCTACCCAACTCCTCCGAAGGAAAAGAATGAGAACTTAACCGAGTTTATTCAGCCCTTGAATCTAATGGTGATCCATCGAATTTCGTTAAAAACATCCAGGCCAACAAAACCCGACGCTCAACAGTGTTGTCCCCGGAGGAACTTGTTGGAACATTTTTCAAGATGGTCGAGGGGTCCAAATCACGCAAGTCATTTGCCTCTCTTCCATACATTAAAGGCGTAACAGAACCTCTGACTCGTGTCCTCAAAAAACACGACATCACAGTGGTGAACAAACCACTCATCACCCTTCAACAACAGTTCCTGGCCCCAAAATTTCGACCATCGTTGGAATCGCAAACAAATGTTATTTATAAAATTCCTTGTGGTGACTGTTCATGGTGTTATATTGGTGAGACTGGCAGGGCCTTCAACACAAGAAAGAAAGAACACCTCAGAAATGTGAAAACTGCAGCAAAAGGCTCAAGAATTGCCAATCACGTCTGGGCCAATAGTCACGCAATAGACTTTGATAATGCATCTATTATTGACAAAGGCGGTTTCAGAACAAGAAAAATACTAGAAGCGTGGCATTCCAAGTTAACTCCCAATGCGGACAACAATTCCTGTCCTTTGCCTGGACAATACAACATTCTTTTTAACAAACATTCTTAGTTATCAGCATTTTTAATTTTTACTTTGTACTTCACACCTAGTATTTTTTACCTTTTTATCATTTTACCCCTTGAAGGCTGTAGCACAAACAGCCGAAAGCTTGTATTTTTAAAAGTTTTAGCCAGAGATTGTTTTTTAAATTTTATAAAATAGGTTTTCTGTTTTTTCTTTCAGTTTTCTTTACCCCATCGCATCAGTTATATCACATTGTTGCCAGTCGCATCAGTTGCATCGCTATTACGTTCCCATTGCATTATCAAGGCATTGTTCACAAGGAATTGTTTGTAAGGAATCTACGGCTTATTGATTTGCAAGGTCCTGAGGCAGTTCTGCCGCCTCAACTCGTTGGCGAAATTACCAGATATCAAGGCGCAACAATGGCAAGAGAAAAGACTCATATCAACATTGTTGTCATCGGTCACGTAGATTCTGGAAAATCAACTACCACTGGCCATTTGATCCACAAATGCGGTGGAATCGATAAACGAAGCATAGAAAAGTTCGAGAAGGAAGCCAACGAGGTGAGTTTCAGTAACGTTCCTTGTAATCATAACTCCAAAAGAGGAAGAAGGAAAAAAATAAAAAAGGAAAAAAGTTTGTGATGGCCATTTTTGGCTAAAATATGGGAACTGTGTGTTAATTTGTTTTCCCCGGCAGAAAATTGCAATTTGTTACTTATGTTGGCCTTGCCCATTGAAATAAGATCAAGTTAATGCATTTGTCTTCCCAAGATGGATAAAAATCAGTGAAAGTTCGCTCTGACAAATATAGTGGGCTGAGAATTTGAAAGCTGAAAATTTTGGACTTGGTAAGTGTCCTGATAAGTTCCCTCCCTTCTTTGTGGGCCTTATTGTCTTCTTGGGAGGGGAAATTACAATTACTCTTTGATCTGAGTTAAATAGGGCAATCATCTCATTATGTTATTGAGAGTGTGCACAGAGAGTGAGTAAGTTAAGCTGAAGCTTATTGGAAATCTGGGCTTATTTGTAAATATCAGTGTGATGGAGTATGCTATGGAACTTGCTGGCTATGCCTATGGTAATAAAGTTCACCTTAAGGTTAGAGTGGATTGTTGAGCACTTAAATTCTGATGTAAAGGGGGAGGGGGATAATAGACTGTTCACTGTGAGTCAATTTGCTAATTGTACCTCAACCTCTAAAGACATCTAAAAGAGAAATGTTAGGGAAGACCATATATGAATCAATGTACTTCTTTACTTTTAAACATTAGATGGGAAAAGGCTCCTTCAAGTATGCCTGGGTGCTGGATAAGCTCAAGGCTGAGCGTGAGCGTGGCATCACCATTGATATTGCCCTCTGGAAATTTGAAACTGAAAAGTATTATGTCACCGTCATTGATGCCCCAGGACATCGTGACTTCATCAAGAACATGATTACCGGTACTTCACAGGTAAGACTTGCTTTTTTACTAATTAGCTTGCCCATAACAGAAAAAGACTGTGTGTGGTATATCTAGGATACATGAGATCTGGTAGAACAGATTTTTGTTGGATTTGATCAACTTACTCTAAACAAGAATGTAGGGTGTTGGCAAACAAATGATGGTGAGATTTCTGAGAAACAGAAGAAAATATGACAACATTTTACATTCAAGTCTTGTTGCACTGTCTCCTTGGAATTTCAGAGCCTTTTGTGCTTTATGTTGTGCAAAGGAAGGGGTTGGATAAAGTCTTGGCCTTAACCCTTTCACTTCCATGAGTGATCAAGACAGAATTTCTCCTTACGGTATCAACACAATATCAAGCAGACTAGTGATGAGAATAAAGAAAAACATCAGATAGGAGATTATTGGTTGATCTAGGACTAAATTCCCTGAACTAACATCATGAGAAGGGTATGGCTGACAGTGAAGAGAATTACTCATAAGATCTTGGGAGTGAAAGGGTTAACACCTTAATTTTATTCAGAATTTTGCCATCAACTTCTCTTTAGTAAATAAAATTGAAATCATGTAAAGGTTAAGAAACCCTGTAATGGTCAAAATGCCCTTTCCCAATTGTATCAAGTAAGAATTAGTTCCCCTTCAACTCCTTCCCTTTTTCATTAGAGTTGATTAGAATAGTTCTTTTTTTTCATTTGAAACTCATTTTGCTGTTCAACTTTCAAGGCTGATTGTGCTGTATTGGTTGTTGCTGCTGGTACTGGTGAGTTTGAAGCTGGTATCTCAAAGAATGGCCAGACCCGTGAGCATGCCCTTTTGTCGTACACTTTGGGAGTGAAGCAGCTTATTGTTGCTGTGAACAAGATGGACACCACTGAGCCCAAGTATCATGAGGGGCGTTTTAATGAAATTCAAAAGGAAGTCAGTGGCTATGTGAAGAAAGTTGGCTATAACCCCAAAGCCGTGGTATTTGTTCCCATTTCTGGTTTCCATGGTGATAACCTGCTGGAACCAAGTGAGAATGTATGTATTTTCTTACTGATCATTAATTCTTAAACCCTTTTACCCCTAGGATGACTAACATCCAATTTCTTCTTACAATATCACCCTTAAAGCAAACATTAACGTAATGAGAATGAAGGGGATGATCACAAGCTAAAGCTGTTCATTGTTTGATAAATTCTCCTTGTCAGAACCCTAAGAAATGTCAAGGGATTAGTATGGAGAATATGCATACTGATGTTAGGGAGTGAAGGGTTACACTGCCTATTTTGGGTGAAAGTTGTAGATGGTTTCTTGTTAACACTGCAGGTTAGTTACTACTAACATTAAAAACTCAGTGATACTTTTTAAGGAAGTCTCTAAGGATCTCAAATAGCATCTTCATTTGAGGTTACACCTTTGATGGTTTTCTTCAAACCTGAGCTAATGGTGAATCTGGCCAAATATTAAGTTTGAGAGATCTGTGCTTCTGTCCTGAACAGAATCTCTTAATGCTGTAATTTCTTACATTTTGAGGTGTTTTTCTCTGTGGATTTAGATGCCATGGTTCAAGGGATGGAGCATTGAGAGAAAAGAAGGAAATGCCTCTGGGAAAACCCTCTTAAATGCTTTTGACGCGATTTTGCCTCCAGAGCGGCCCATCAACAAAGCCCTCCGCCTGCCATTACAGGATGTTTACAAGATTGGAGGCAAGTTGTTTCTCGTTTTGTGCATGTTTTATGATCTAGCAAAGTCAGACTTTTTGCTTTGTCACAATCCTCTGCCATTAATTTCTTTGACTTTAGACTTTCTCTTAGATTAGCCTCTAAGGGGTTCCTCTTTTTGGTGGTTGCATGAAGATCGTCATTTCCCAGTGTTTTGGGAAATGTGACAGAAAATTTACTACTTTTGCATGGTGCGATACATGATGCCAACAAAAAACATAAAAATTCTGTTGAAAACTTCCACATTATTAGACCTTTTACTATTTGGTATTGGTTACTGGTCTTCTCCTCAAGATTTTGTCTTTTTTTCTTACAACGCATTAAACTTGGATGGTTTCTTTAACTGAAAGGCTGAAAACAAAATTTTGAAATTTTTTGATCAGATTTTGTTGATGGTAACCCTAACTTTTGGAGTAGTTAGCATGCAACTTATCCAGCAAACTCTTAATAGGAATTTGCATTTTGGGTACTTGTGTAGAACAGAGCAACAAAATAACTGCTCTTTTTTTTTTCCCTTTTGCTTGGTTTTTAAAGAAAATTAGTTTATAAGCAGGGAAGATCTTTTTTGTTGGTCACAGAGAAAACTTTCCCAGTTTTTGTTTGGGTTGTTTTCATCTTTCATGTACTACTTATGCAATGGATACAACTCTCAGATAACAACTCCCCAAGCAATGGATATGTTTCACAGATAAGGCCTAAGGATGTATTTCAAAAACTTAATAAAAATAATTTTGGAATTAAAATATGGAATGATAAGTCTGTTATTCAATGGTTCTACATTTTGCTTATTGCTTGTTTTTTTCCTTCACCCCCTTTGGGGCTCTGGGAAAAAAAACACAACTTACCAATTATTGTCACATATTATATATGCAAATAAAGGTGTACATTTAGAACACTGGTAGACCACATAACTTTTTATTGTAGTAAGCAAGATGGCTGGCTTTTTTTTCTGGAGATTCAAAAGGATATCTTAAGGCTTAATTCCAGGGCTTTCAGGGGAGAAAAGCAAATTGTGACCAAAGGAAACAATGAAGCATGAGTCTTATTTAATGCAAATCTCACTTCAGCCTCAGACTATTAAATTAAGTTGAAAATTGTTGTGTCTTACTACATGACCCCAAACACAGATTGCCAGTTAACCTGCCACATTTTTTTCAAGTTACCATGTTGACCAAACTGGTCTAAGCTGGGACCCCTGTTAAGATGAATATTTACCTAATTTGAAAATGGAATGTAGCATTATCTTGTGGCTTGGTGTTAAGCATCGTTAATTTTCAACCCACTCTTAGGTATTGGAACAGTGGCAGTTGGTAGAGTGGAGACAGGCATCCTGACGCCAGGCATGGTGGTGACATTTGCTCCTATTGGCCTGACTGCCGAAGTAAAGTCTGTGGAAATGCACCATGAAGCTCTAACAGAAGCTCTTCCTGGTGACACTGTTGGCTTCAATGTGAAGGACGTGTCAGTAGAGGAAATAAAACGTGGCAATGTTGCTGGTGATACCAAAAATGATCCACCAAAATCAACCACTTCCTTTACTGCCCAGGTACAGAATACCGTCATTCTTTGGATTATTTCTCTTCTGTAAGAAGTACTAGTTTTGAGAGTGGTAAACTTGGGACAGAACAGCCTTGTGTTTATTTTTAGGTAGTTCTGCAATGTACATTACAATTTTAAAGTGTTCTTGCATCCCCATGATATGTTTATGTGAAAAATCCTCATGAAACTTGTCACAGATCTTTTGTTCCAGAGACAAAGGTAATATCCTAAAATTGGTGAGCAATATTTCTTTCCCTTTTAACCCTCTAACCCCTTAGAATGATCAGCATCTAATTTCTCAGTACAATATCCCCTGAATAAAACATTAGGGTTGTAAGAAAAGAAGGAAATTATCACCAACTAAAGAAGCTCTTGTTTGTTTAACAAATACTCCATGTCAGTAGCAAAGAAAGGGGTATGGAGAAGAGCATGAAGAATATTGATGCTGGTGGTTAAGGGTGTTAAGTGGTAAGGGTCATTTTCGTCCCATTGTCCATGCAGTTTCTCCCATCAAGGCAGTGCGTTTTAACGTTAACTTTTTGTTCTGTATTGGTAGGTCATTGTCCTTAACCACTCAGGAAAAATTTGTGCAGGCTACACTCCAGTGGTGGATTGCCATACTGCCCATGTTGCTTGCAAATTTGCAGAACTGCTTGAGAAGATTGATCGTCGTTCCGGCAAGAAGTTGGAAGGCAACCCCAAAATGATCAAGTCAGGAGATGCCGCCATAGTTAAGATGGTACCATCTAAGCCCATGTGTGTGGAAAAATTCTCTGATTTTGCTCCGCTGGGACGCTTTGCTGTACGTGACATGAATCAGACAGTGGCTGTTGGCATCATCATGGATGTGCATAAGGCCGAATTCCCTTTTTTTTCTTCTTCTTTTCCTTCTTGTTTATGATTTCTTCAATTCCTTGCTGATAGATGGTTCTGTAAACATAACAGGGTATAACATAGTATCAGATAAAGATTTACAAGGGAAAAAATGCGTAGAACAGAAATTACAACAATTGAATTACATTGTATACTGAATGAGAGGAGAGGTGCACATCTAGAAATTTAATATTGTGCCCCTTAAAGTTATGTATGACAAAGGACTTGAGATTTTTAATAAAAAAGTAAAGGAAAATGACAAATGGTTCAGAAAATTATAAAAGAGATGATGCATTAGTATTGAGCAAGCTTATAATCGAATGTACAGTGTCGTTAACTGATTTAATTAGAACAACAAACCCTCTCTCGCTTACACAATAATTCTGACTGAAGATCTTCTCTCTCACCTTTTGTCTCAATTGTTTTTTTTCCTCGTGCATTATAAACCTATTTTTGTAGTAGTGCTTAAGGTGGTACGATACCTTCAAAAAGGGAAATTTTTTACATTATTTGAAACATTTTTATTAGTCCCTCCAGTGATAACACTCACTGAGAGAAATTGTTTGGCACTGTTGTTGACACCATCTGTTACTATAGCAACAGGACCACGCCCACCAAACCCTCATTTTACAGGCATCACACCAACAACAATAACTCTATAACAAAAAATCCCATGGCTCTGAAATTTTCAGGATATCTTATGCATAGATGGATCTGTGCAATGAACCTAAATCATTTTATACAACATGATTATAACCATGTCAAATAATGAAAAACTTTCACATAAACAAATAATGGGCCCCTTCTGGAAAAAAATTTGCCTGCCATTGAATCATCAATTTACCTTTGTACTTTGTTTTAGGTTTATTGCACAGAAGCACCATTCAAGATTTTCTGTAGAAAATTTCATGAAATTATCTTAAATAGTTTTTGAACTGAACAAGTTGAGCTACTCGGAGTTCTATCAAAATGCAGTTTGATGGAAAAATGCATTTAAAAGTTGTATTTGGGTTTGAAAACCCTCTGTTCAATCTCTGAGCAAAGGAAGTGTCTTAAAATGCTCCAGCAGCATAAGTAACACCCTCTGCTTGTTGGTTCTTGTCTTCTTTCTTTGTCCCCTTAGGACCTTTCTCCTCTTTTTCCTTTCCTCGCTGTGTTTGTACTCAGCACCACGAATTCGATCCATGTCAAGGTGCCTACACCCCTCTTCAGTGTATTTTCCTGGGGAAATTTTGAGTGCTTTTAGAAGCAGTAGAACAGCCCTTGCTCCAATATTGAAGTGGCTTATGGCATCAAACAAGCTAAATTCCAGCAAGTCAGCTCCCACGAAAACTTCCTTGGGAATGCGCCCCCACACCATTCCATTTACAGCTTCATTCTGATTTTGGGTTTTTCCATGAAGGCATTTTTCTAGCAAAGAATCTTCACTTAATCTTTGGTATACAGGTTTGACTTTTGCAACTCAAAACTCAAAACTCAACTTTGCCAGGTTTTGATTCCATGGCATGGGACTTAAGCAAAAGCTTTTCCGAAGACACAGACTTCTAAGTATGTTGACCGAGGGTGTTCGAACCATGTGCTTCTTCTTTCGCTTCTTTCGTCCTCTTGGCATTTTCTTTCGAAGGTTTCGTGAGTTGATTTCCCGAAAACTTCCTTTTAGGACGCCTTATTGCACGAAGGAGGCATGGTTGTTAAAAAAAAAGAACGAGAAACAGGATAAAAAACTCAAAACGCCACGCCACTAGTATTATTGTGAATTTCGCAACGACAACTTCTCGTGTTTCACAGGCTCATCAACTACGACAGGCTAATCGTTGTTATGTACGGGGTAACAGAGAGTCCCTTGTCACGCAACGACCGTTTTCCAGGCGAAAACAACTATTGGGGGATTGTTTCTTCACTGTAAACAAGATAAACAAACCTGTTGCCCCTGGCTCGACCTGGTCTCAAAAATGAGTAAATACTGGACAACAAATAACATTTTCATGAAAAATTAAACTGTGCCGTTAATACCAAGTGAAATACGGACCTTTTCCAGCAATAAAAATTTTTAGGTAAAACTTCGAAACTTTTGCCTTTTTTTTAATGAAACATACATCTAGGCGACACGCCTTCAAAAATGTCAATCTTAATAACACGTTCTTGGTAACGACATTTCACAAAATCGCGATATACAGTATTTTCCTGGCTTACAGATAGATGAATCTGTAACCTATAAACGGCAGTTTATAGTAATAGGCACTATCCAGATTTTTCCCCAACCTCAAACGGGCAAGACTAAGGCTCCTGAACGGGGTCATTTGCTTTGGGACGTAACAGATACCATATTTGACGTCTTTTTTGTTACTTTTCATGCAACGCTGACCCCAATATTCGATTTTAGTAAGACAGTAAGGAGGAGGATCGAGGAGTCGATCGAGGGAAGAAATTTCTCGGATGTGGTAGGTTGTATCTTCGCTCGAAAATGTAGTGGAATGGAATGGTACAAACTACAACGATGGTTTACGCGCTCATAATTCACACACTTGTTCCTGGACCCTGTAGATTGTTGTATTCATCAGTTTTTGTTCACGAACCAGAGGTAAGTACAGCTCAGTCATAACCTCACCGTATAACCACAACTTCGCCACGAAACGGCAGTGTGAAATATGGTCTTGATGAGGAAAAATGGCTTCGATTTTATCTTTTTGGTGTGTTTTATCAACGTAAGACAGTGGGAATGCGCGTCGCCCTTCTCAAACTAAAGTAATGAAATTCACAGTGCGTAGGAAACAACGGATGGTTCCAACAAATGAAATTGCCTCAGAAGAGAACAAAAAAGACGAGCAAAGATGTCCAAATTTTTAGATGTCATTCTTTGCTTGTATAACTCCAACCCTTCAATCTATGCGAGTGAACCGCACCCAATTTCACACGACCCCTTAAGCTTTGAGCTTTAAACCCTATCGTGTTTAAATAAAGGATGTTATATTATTATTATTTCTCCTAACCCTTCAACTCCCATGAGTGACCAAGACAGAATTTCTCCTTACAATATCAATACAATATTAAGCAGATAAGTTATGAGAATAAAGGAAAATATCAACAAGGGGATTATCAGTTGATGTAATACTACATTCTCCAAACTAACATCACAAGAAATGTATGGCAGACAGCAAGGAAAATCACTTCTGAGATCTTGGTAGTGAATTGGTCAAAGAGGGAATGATCACCAGCTCAACCCTTTAACTCCCAAGATCTCATTAGAAATTCTCTTTACTGTCTCTCATACAGTTCTTGTGATGTTATTTTGGAGAATTTGGTAATGGATCAGCTTATAGTCCCCTAGCTGATATTTTTCTTTATTCTCTTCACTCGTCTGCTTGATATTGTCTTGATATCGTAAGGAGAAATTCTCTCTTGGTCACTCATGGGAGTTAAAGGGTTAACCCTTCAACCCCTCACAGTGACTAGCATCTAATTTCTCTTTACAATATTACCCCTGAATCAAGCATTAAGGTTCCAAGAATAAATGAAATGATCACGAACTAATGAAGATAATTATCAAATTCTCCTTGTCAGCGCCTCGGGAAATGTATTAAAAATAGTATGGAGAATATGCTTACTGATGTTAAGGTTCAAAGGGTCAAGAAACCCTTATTCTCTAATTCTTCTGCTCAGTAGCCTTGAAAATTATATATTTAGAACTTTAGGGAGAATATGCATATTGAAAATAGGGTGGGAAAGAGTTGATCAAATTTGGTCAGTTTTGGTGTGTGACCCTATTTGTAACAAGTGTTGCAATGTCAATAATCTTTGATCTTCTTAGATTAATGAAGAGGTAACAGATGACGAGCGTGCAACCAGGAAGGAACACCTGTTGGAAGTGGCACAACGAGTGCAGTCTGAGTACTCTTTTAGATATGTTGCTTCAGAAGATGACAGTGCAGAGGATTTGACTGGATTGTCTTCAACAAATGAGTAATTTGAGTTTTTGAAACTTATAGAATGAGCTGAATAGTGCATGCATAATGAGCAAAATTGTGCATGTTTGATTGGTTCTTACTTATGATCTATTGGAGGACAGAGGCATAGATAATATCACCACTAACAATCTTTGCCTCTTTATGGTATTTAACAAAAGATTCCATTTTGCCATGTGTTTGTTCTGTAATAAATCACAGAGGAGGTCAGTGAACATCAGTGACACACCAGGCTGTGCTTTGTGTGTCACTTTTTGTTCTAGGCATATCTTAACATCATCTATGATCCATTACTGAACAGATGTGTATAAACATGGAATCTATGTGTTGATATGAAAAAAAATATCTATAATTTAAAACCAGTGCTATTTGTAAGGCGAATTACTAATGAGATATTAGGAGTAAAAGGTTCAGTTTCAACTTTAGCAATGTTTAATGGTTTAATTGGATGGTGTTACAAACTGACATTTTGGCCATTTTACAGGCTTATGTCCAATTTGAAGTCTGGTGTCTTCAGGTACGCATGTGTCACCTTTTTGAAAGTTACATTTTCATTTGTTGACCCAAATGAAATGTAAATCTTAGAGCATCAGGTAGTCTCTCCTCAACATAATGTGTCATCATTGTACCATGGTTTAAAAGTTGTTTGATTCTAAATGATCTTGTAGTGCTCACATGGTTTAAATTTATAATTTGAACACCCCTCCAAAGTTTATCTCAGTACCTCTTTAAGCTTTAGAATTTAGAAGAACTAGGTGAATGATTTTTGATGAATCAAATGATTTTAAAAGTCAGCCTTAGTTACACACTACAATATTCAACAAACCTCTTGAGACACTTGCGCAAAAACAGTTGAAAATTAACATGTATGAAACCTTGTTAATCCAGGAGACATTGCTATTACTTCAATTACGCAAGGATGCAAGTTACAAGGAGTCAATCGTTTTATATTTCTGTTAATGCCTTCATTTTTTGTCTGATTTTCAGGCTTTCACCAGGAAATCCCTTCAAAGAAGAAAAAGTTGTTCTTTGGAAAGGTTTGGCAAAGTAAGTAGTATCCATGAAGTTTGCTTCATTTTTGTCCACAAAATTAGCATTAAGACTTTAATTATTAAATAAATAAAATTAATGCCTGGATATAAGCTGACAGATTCATACGATGCTGTTTCAGTTAAATTAACCCTTTAATTCCAAGAAGTAATTAACATGAAACTTCTCCCTACAATATCCATACATCATTCAGCAAACAGGTAATGAGAATATTCAAACTTATCAGGGAGAAGCTGCTATCTTGATTTAGCACCAAGTTCTCAGAACTAATTTACAAGGAAATGTGTAGCAGCTAGAGGGGAGAATTAACAATCAGATCTTGGGAGTTTAAGGGTTAAATGTAGAGTCTTGCCAGGGGTGGGGTGAGCAAAGTGCTCAGCCTCCTTCCCCTCCCTCTGTCTTTCCATTTCTGCTTGTGTAGTTTCCTCAATCCAGGAAACTCTTGCTTCAAAAGCCAAGATATTGGACTTGGGTACATATCTGATAATGGTAATAACCAACTCTCTAACTCCCAAGAGGGAGGATTTTGGGGTTTTGGTGGGGCTCACATGTTTTTCAGGGGGAGTGGAGGGGGTATCAGTTGTCTCTAACAGAGTTTAAAGGGAATAACGTTACAAGCCAAACAAAGTTTAAGGAATGTATAGTGGTGCCGATACCTGGAGAGCTTGTTCCAGACAAAAGCAGCTTTTCTAACTATGAAATTGAGAGGTAACATCTTTGGATCAACCAGGATGGATGATTCACAGGTGGATGAGAGCAGAATGTAAAATATTAGAAATTTTTATTAGAACTCTCAGGCCAACAAAGGTGCGCCATGCCAGGAGGATCAATAAAGATTCGCAGTCCAAACCTCACAGCAAACATGAACTTATAGAGAGTTTAAAATAAATGCAAGGATGGACAACTTCTGACAGACATAAAAAATTAAAAAATTTAATAAAAACGTTTCAGTCACAGACCTTCTTCAGTTATTTACAAGTTTTGAATAACAAAGAGCTTTAAATAAGATCGAGGTGCTAGTGATTACGTAATTACAGGTGACAACTAATGAATAAGATACAAAATCATGTGAAAGAGCAGAAAGTGGTGCTAATAAAAAGATGACAAAAAACAAAATCAACAAAGCGAAAAATATGGAAAAAAACAAGCTACAAAGAAAATAACAAAACACAAGAGACAAAACCCAAAAACCAAAAACTAAAAACCAATAATAATAATTAATTATTTATCCTCCTGGCGTGGTGCACCTTTGTTGGCCTGAAAGTTCTAGTAACATTTTCAAATATATATATATATATATATATATATATATATACACAAACATATGCAAAACAATGGCCGGACTCTTGGTTAATTGTTTTCACATTACTTTGTAACCAAGTTCTTTATTGAGGTTTGTGAAAAATGCAAGAGAGGTTCTTGAAAAGTCAATATGAAAGTCCATAAACCCTGAAAATTTCAGTTTAGCTCAAGTTGAATTTCTTCTCTTTGCAGTGCAGGATTCACTTTAGTCTGTGAAAAAGATGAAAATCGCCTCATTGCTGAGAATGTTTTGGACCATGTTATTAGACACCTTCAGGAATACTGCCAAATAATTCTTCAGCCTTCCGAGGCAAGTTGGTGGGATGTTTCTACTCAATAAGCTATCTCAAGAATTTCATTTTAATTTTGTTGTCACATTTGTAGCAATGCTGTGCTGTACCTCTGTGAGAGCTTATCAATTGTTTGAATGTTGTTATAGGCAATCCTCAAAGTGGACAGGGTTGTCACAATTATTCATCAATTTCTACCAAATGGGCAGGTATGAATCAGACTGACAAGGTCATGGTCTTTTTACTTGGTCTCAGAGCAAATGTTTTACCTGTAGTGTACCATAATGATTTGACAATCAGATTATAAGCTCAGGATTTCTGTCGCATAATAATTGACAAGGGCAAAAACAAGATTGCCTATCACTCAGAAAATGAGAGCAATCTATTCTAATGGTTCAAAACTTAACAACAAGATAGGCACATGTCTATTTTGTTTACAAATGCACACTGTTACGTTACTTAATTTACTCTTTCATCTATCATGGATTGTGTACTAAGCTGAATTCTACACACATTTTTATTGGTCATAAATGATCTCCAAGGACATTTTGCTTCTCCATTCCATAAAACAAATTAAAAGATTCCATGTTGCTGCAGGCTTGTGCAATGATAGATCCCACAAATTTTGACAAGATGTCAAAATGTGGTAAGAATAACAGTGACACACCTGGCTGCGCCTTGTGTGCACCTTGTTTGTTCTTACCAAATTTTGAGGTCATCTATGATCTATTACTAAACAGAATCACAGAAACACAGAGTCTGCTTACAACGAAAGGATGACCTGTGAGGACTTCAAATTTATTGTCTCGAAGTAGTTCTGAACTTATTTACCAGGCTGTAGAGGGACAGAAAAAGTTCTGTATTTCCTGAATCAGTCTTCCCTCCCACCCTCCCCCCATGGCAGAGGGCTGTGGGGAAAGTTTGATGTATATTCCCCATTCTCTATAGATATGTTAATCTACTGACAAGGAGAATTTGTTTAAAAATCAAGGGCTTCAAACTTTAGTTGGTGATCATTTCCTTAATTCTGACCTCAATGTTGTTTCAGAGGAAATAAGAAGCTTGTTTCTTATAGGGGTTAAAGAGTTAAAAAATGTTTTTGTGCTACAGAGATGGATTATATTCCATGAGCATCAGCCTCTAGGGATCACTGGAGTAATTGTTACTCCTTCACCCCACCCCTCTCCTTATTTTTGACCATCAAGTGTGCTCTTGGTACAAATGCCTCTCTCTCACCAGCTTTCTGCTGCCATAAAAATCAAAGATGGTGGCCATAATTTTCGTTAAGAAAACATGAAGCACTCGCTAACCAAAATTATGCCTCTACAGGCTAGCAATGGATTGACATCCCATCCAAGGGGAAAGTAGTGATACTCCTTGTTGCTTCATGCTTAGGGAACTGGGTCCAGCTCCAGCTGGGTGAGCAACCTGACTTGAGTATACACCTTTTTTCTTTTCATTTTTTTTTTTCAGCTGCTGTTCATGAACACTCGTTATTTGCGGCAAATGGAGAAAGAATTGGAACAAGTTATGTCCTTCAAGAGGGAGTGAACGTGACTGTTACACTTTAAAAATTTTTTATCCATCTCAATTAGTGCTCAGCTAATGACTGGAGATCTACATATTGTTCTTTAAAGATAACTTTTTTTTCTCAAGAACACCAAATTTTGTAATTTTTCTTTTAAGTAAAATTAATAAATAGTATGTATCACTGGAACTGTGTTTACCTTTCTGTGTTTATAATAGTAAAGTGTATAGGGCAGTTTCCAATTGACTGTTGAAAGACCAAAACCTAAGTGATCATGACTACCAATCAGAAGAGACGTTAACATCATCATCATTAAATGATAAGTAAAAACAGCCAACCTGTTTGAAGGTCTGGGAAACTTAGGATTGGTTTTAGTATTGGTTTTGATTAGTTGAGATGGCGACTCGAGTTTTTTGGACCTATCACAGGCAAAGTAATCCAGGATCATTTTCTACACTTAACTGAAAACGTCTGTATCTACATCTCTAAGTTTGAAGTGGGCATGAGATAAAGGGTTAAGTTTCCATAGAAACTGTGGTGTTGTGTCAGTGGAGGAGTGTAACAGGGTAATTAAGTATTATCAACTGAGTTGATACTGTAAATTGGCCACTGTAAAGAGTTTCAAAGCTGATGTTTCAAGCATAAGCCCTACATCAGAGCAAACAATGTAGTCAGCTTTGAAACTCTTTATGATGGCCAATTTTTGTTATCAACCCTGTAAAATTTCTGATCCACTTTGGAACTCCAGAGCAAGATGTCAAACTATCTTCACCTAAAAATCATCATCCAGTATCCAGAAAAGGAACAAGGTGCCCACTTTCTCGACAATAATAATGACAATAATAATACTTATGAGCTCTTTTTTTCATAATTTAATAGCAAAATATCCACAAGAGCCATACATTTAACCATTGCATGAGGCATATTTATCACCAATACTAGCTTCTTATTAGGGTCAATGATTCATTGCATTATGAATGTTGTTGGTTTCAAGAAAAATAAACTTTATATATTTTCATACTCTGAACACAACTTGTTTGGCAAGTTTGTTTTTTACTTTCAGGAACAAAGCATATGGCTGAGCCATTTAAATATAGCAGGCTCTAATACCACGAAGAAGAATTACTAAGATTTGCTATGAAAGTATTTAAAGGATCTTTCATAAATGACAATTCAATTTTCCGAGGACTCAAAGCAAAACAAAGCAAAAGCATGGCAGAAATACCAAAAGTCACTCGTCCTTGACAAATACTTCAAAATGACAAAATTTTTAATAATTGGATTGATTGTTCCTAATGAGAATTTCTGCAGTAACTTAGCCTTTAGGTCTCTGTTTCCTCTTCAGTATGGATATTCTCCATACTTTCCCTTTACATTTCCTAAGGTTCTGGAAAGAAGAATTTGTTTAACAATCAAGAGCTTCATTAGTTGTTGATCATTTCCTTTATTCCCATAACCTAAATGTTCTATTCAGGGGCAGTCTTGTAAAGAGAAATTAGATGCCAATCACTCTCAGGGGTTAAAGGAATAAGAAAGGATCAAGTTTATTGTAATATGAAATAATTTTAAACCCTGTACCCTAAAATAATAATTAATCATCTGTACCAAACCTAAATTATTATCCAGCGGCATGGTATAGGCATAGAGGCATACATTGCCTGTTATCTGGAGATTTTAAGAAAATTGTCAACAGATTTAGAGGATTTGTAGAGACTTCAACCCTTAATCCTTTAACTCCCATGAGTGACCAAGACAGAATTTCTCCTTTCAATATCAATACACTATCAACCAGAAAAGTGATGAGAATAAAGAAAAATATCAATTTGGAGATAATTAGTTGATCCAATACTAAATTCTCTGAACCAACATTATAAGAATTGTATGGTTGACAGTAAAGAGAATTACAAATTTGATCTAGAAGTTAAAGGGTTAACATCCTTACATCAGTTCACATATTGTTCTCTAATACTTTTCCAAAGGTGCTGACATGGAGAATTTGGTTAAAAATCAAGAGCCTCTTTAGTTGTTGATCATTTATTTTCTTCTTGTGACCTCAATGTGTTATTGGGAGGTGATATTGTGAGGAGATATTAGATGCTGGTCACTCATAAGGGTCAGAGGGTTAACAGAAACAATTGACAAATCCTGACCAGACTTTTAGAGCATTTGTTTTGGTGTCTGGGCCTACTAACAGATGAAGTGAGGATTGAAATGTCACTCTCAAAGCTTGTCACTTTGATATGATATTTCACTCTGCAATAATTTTAAATATATATATATATATATTTTACTGGGAACATAGCAGCTTAATTGAAGAAAAAACAAATGACATCCTGAGAGTTTGAGGTTTACATCCATTCCATCTCTTCACTTGCTAGTGGATACGTTCATATTGTGAATTCTTCTTGTCAAACATGGCTTCTATCTCTTCCAATGTTTTCCCCTTTGTCTCTGGCATTAGTACATAAACAAAAATGAATGAAACAAAACAGAACCCTGCATACAACCAGTATACACCTTGGTTTTGAAGAGTATCAGCCATGGACTGGTATGTTTTAGTGACAATAAATGCTAATGTCCAGTTGGCCATAGTTGCAAAGCTGCTGGCTGGACCTCGGGCTCGGAGGGGAAATATTTCTGACATCACAAGCCATGGAACAGGTCCCCATGCAAGGGCAAACATCAAGTTGAACAAAACAATACACAAAATTGATAACCAGGAAATCTTCTTGGCTGGAATAGAGTGACTGATTGAACCAAGCAAGGAAACTGTCTCACTTGCTGAGCCTTCACCTTCTGGAGGGATGTAGATCTCAAAATACACACCAAGTGCTACAAGAGAGACACACATTCCAATTGCTGTTGTCAAGAGGAGGATACGCCTCCCTGCTTTATCCATAATGATGCATGCTAAACCTGTTCCGACAAACTGCACCAGGCCCACAGCAATGGAGACGACCTTCCCATTTTTAAATCCTGCCATTGCAAAGATGTGGGCAGCATTAAAGAGAACTGCATTGACTCCACAAAATTGTTGAAACACCATTAACCCAAGACTAATTATCAAGGGTTTTGCTATCACTGGCGTCAGCCAGTCTTGCAACTTTAGTGCCTCTTGCCGATCTGTCAAAATAATTACAACAAGTAGCTTGTTAGTACTGACATAATGTATCTATTGCAACAAAAGGCATGAGAAGAACATATAAATCTACACTTAATTGTGTTAGTAAAATCAGGGGTACTTTAACTGAAGGAGAAATGTTATTCAAATTTATCAGGTTGCTTTTTTAATAAAAATACTTTGGATTTGAATGTGTGATGATTTCTGATGTAATTTTCATTGTGTTGTCAGATCAGTTTAAAAATGAATCCTCTGATCCTTGGGTTAGAACAAGATGGTAAAAGTTGTTGGCCACATCAAAAATAAGGCTTTCAATGTAAAACCTTCTGGAAATCCTCCTTAACCCTTTAACTCCCACGAGTGACCAAGAAAGAATTTCTCCTTACAATATCAATACAATATCATACAAACAAGTAATGAGAATAAAGAAAAATATCAATAAGGGATCATTTAGCGATTCAATAACAAATTCTCCAATTATATGACAAAAATTGTATAGCAGACCGTAAGGAGAATTATTAGATCTTCAGAGTGAAAGGGTGGATACTAAATAATATATAGATTTAGCCAAGCCTAAAAGCAGAGCTTGCATTTTTTTTTTCCCGCGTGTCTCAAGGGCACAACACTTTGCCCCGGCCAGGACTAGAACCCAGGTCATCCAACTCGGAGCCCAGTGCACTGACCACTGGACTACTGGACAAAGCCGTGGCATTGGCGTGCCAGTGGTACAGTTGACCACGCATGTTAAAAGTAACACCTTGTACGGTCATATGGTCATATGGTCATACATCCACATTTTTTCAGCTTGATGGGTTACTACTATTTTGTATAATTATGGGGTTACGCTCTGCGAGCTCCACTATAAAGTTCCATACAATCTTCTCTTGAAATCAAAAAGCAAAAAGTAGTAAACATAAATGAAGTTTGAGACAATCTGCTCATGTGCAGAAATCAAAGACTTTTAACCCTTTAACTCCCAGAAGTGATTAACATAAAACTTCTCCCTACAATATCCATACATTCTTCAGCAAACAGGTAATGAGAATATTCAAACTTATCAGGTAGAAGCTGCTATCTTGATCTAGCATTAAGTTCTCATAACTAACATACAAGGAAATATGTAACAGCTACAGAGGAGAATTAACAATCAGATCTTGGGAGTTAAAGGGTTAAAACCTCACCTAAAGTTGATTCAATGAGGAAACATTCATTTTCAATATCAGCTTCAGGGCCTCGAAACCACAGCAAAGAATCCAGTGCTTCTTTTCTCATGTTCTTCCCGAGACACCAACGAGGAGTCTCTGGCATGGTATACATCAGAATGATGAGCATTGCTGGCGGAACTGCACCAATAATAGCCAGCCATTTCCAGTGACACACAACCCCTACTACATAAGCAACCAAAATGCCCAATGTAACTGCAAGTTGGTTAACAGAGCCGAGTGCTCCACGCAACTGTGCAGGTGAAATCTCAGCAATGTAGACCTACATAAAGAAAGAAGAAAACTATTTTCACACAATCGTAACAATGTTAGGGAAGTATTATGTATTAAATTTTGAATTGAAGTGCGTTCAGCTGGAATACCCTCCCTTCCCTTATGGAATATAACCAACGTCACCTCAGGGAAGAGGGTGTAAAAGTGAAGATGTAAGGAATAAAATTGCTATTCTATTCCAGAATATTGTGATTTCTGTGCAAATGTGTCAAACATTTTGTCACTGATTGAAGTTTCTGAGATGGCTAGTATTTCCTCTCATTCATTTGACAACTATGTCTGTTTGGCATAAAATTTTAACCCTTTAACTCCCATGAGTGACCAAGACAGAATTTCTCCTTACAATATCGGTACAATATTAAAAAGATAAGTGATGAGAATAAAGAAAAATATCAATTTTGGTAAGATTAGATAATCCAATACTAAATTCTCTGAACTAACATTAAAAGAATTGCATGTTTGACAGTAAAGAGAATAACAAATTTGATCTGGGAGTTAAAGGGTTAATTAATGGTTGGTGCTGGGAGAAGGGATAACTTGCAGGTATGAGATTCAATCTTTTACACCCTCATGCCAATATGCACACTCCTTACTACTCTCTATACATTTTCTACAGTGCTGACAAGGAGAATTTGTTAACAATCAAGAGCTTATTTGCCATAAAAAGTCTGTAGCCAAAACTTTACTTAGGAGGGCTGATTGTCTACCATCATCACTCGATTCGAAGGCTGAGGAGAGGAAATATGTTTCCAATGTCCTAAAGGCAAATGGCTATACAAAAACTTTTCTCCGTAACTGCCAAAAACCAGTTACAAATAGTAACGCTCTTGATGAAAGGGAACCAGCGACTGGTTTTGCTGTTATTCCTTACATACAGGGTGTTACTGAACCCATCAAGAGAATTTTGAATAGCCACAACGTTAAAGTTGCTCAAAAACCTTTTCAGACTTTGGGGCATATTTTCACCAAACCTAAGGATCCTGTCACGAAAGAACAACGAACCGACGCCATTTATTCTATTCCTTGCAATGACTGTGATAACGAATACATCGGACAGACCAAACGCCAGTTTGGTACACGGTTAAAAGAGCACCAAAAAGCGGTTTTTCTTTGCAAAAAGGAAAATTCAGCTTTATCGGAGCATACTTGCCTAACCAACCATACAATTAGGTGGGATAATTCTAAAATTATCACTACTAATCGGCGTTACCACCAGCGCCTTTGTTTGGAGGCTTGGCACATTAACTCCGCCCACGCTCCTTTAAATCGTGACGATGGCGGTCTGCTTCCTGACGCCTATTTACACCTCGTCAGAAAAAAGGCCGCTAATTAGTGATCATATAAAAGGACCTCTTGTTGCAGCGTTTAGATCACCCCTGATGAAGGCACTAGACAGGAGTGTCGAAACGTTGGGTCTATGAATTGTAACTTCTTCGGTTACATTCATTAAATCTGCAAACCAGTGTAGCTTCAAACTATGTCTGATCAAGAGCTTTGTTAATTGGTGATCATTTCCTTTATTCTCATGACCTTGATGTGTGATGCAGGGATGATATTGTATGGAGAAATTAGATGCTGGTCACACTAAAGGGTCAAAGGGTTAAGAAGAGGAGATGGCACATAGAAAGAAATGTATGAACTTACTGGAACAGCAAGTGAGACTGCACCACAACCCATTCCTGTGATGATCCGACCAGAGTAGAGCATGGGGATATTCTGAGCAAAGCTGATAAGCAGCCATCCCAGAACAAATGGTACAACGCACAACATTATCGTACTCTTGCGACCAAACTTGTCAATTGCCCATCCACCCACGGGACTTCCAAGAATGGCTCCAATTGTGACCAGGGACTGCAGATAAAACGATGACATCAAGAATTAGAAAAACAAGGAAATAGATGACCCTTGCTGATGAGCGGCAATTAAACCTTTCACTCCCAGAGTGATTAACATGGAACTTCTCTCTATAATATCCATATATTATCCAGCAAACAGATATTGAGAAAATTCCAATTCATCAGGAAGAAGTTATCTTGATCTAAAACTAAATTCTCATAACTGATTTACAAGGAAATATGTAGCAGCTAGAGGGAAGAATTAACAATCAGATCTTGGGAGTTAAAGGGTTAAACCTTTCACTCCCAGGAGTGATCAATAAGAAATCCCTCCTTACAATGCTCCTTGTCATATTCATGTAATAAGGAGAAAGATAAAAACAACAAACCAAATTCTCACAGCCAAAATAAGAAGCAATATATGGAATACATTACAGAGAATTGATATTTTGATCTAGGGAGTTAAGAGTTAAAAGAAATTGTAGAAAAGAAGCAATTTTAAATAGCAGCTCCCTTGCAAGGATCATTTAAATTACTTGGAATACATCCACAAGTTAAAACATGTCTAGAGTTATTTCATTTGATCTAACACTAAGACATTGTCTGGGCAAAGGGTCATGATTGACTGAAAGATAAAGATATTTGGGTCACAGTCACTTATTTGTCTGAAGGTGGAAGATTCAAAACTGCTTGTAAATAGCAGGAGTTGTGTAAGCCTGTCAATACTTTTTAACTTCTCTTTTTTTTAGTTAGACTTTTTAACTCATCTCGACAACACTGATGGAGAAATGGCACCTTATTTAAAACCCACCACCTTAATGAGCAATGTGTAAGGAAAGTATTTAAAAGACACTCTGGTCAGAGCTATTAATATTGTGAAGAAAGAAGATTTTAAATTGCTTGCGAGTGGTAGGAGTTGCACAGGCCCTAGAAATCTGTAATTTGTGACATGGAAATATGCTAATGCTTTGCAAAATAGAAATATGTAATTTGCAAAATGGAAATCTGTGATTTGCAAAACGAGAATCCCTGTGGAAAACTCCACAAGCCAGAAGAATGAATAAGTCAGTTCATCATAAGTGTGAATTGCAGCCTGCCAAATAATAATAAAAACAACTAGCGAAAACAAGAAATAAAAAATCTGTGTGGTGAACTTTCGTGAATAACTCAATGTGTTGTTTAGTCAATTGAGCGCAAAAGTAATTTGAAATTTTCGTTGACGCTGTAGCTGTACTGTCTATAAGGTGTAACCAATGTACATTGTTGATGAATAATTTTAATGCATGACACGACACTTACCTGACTGGAAATGCTCATGGAAAGTGTTGCAGCATGTTTCTAGATGAAATATCATGTTTGCTGGGAAAATGTAACTGACCCAACCTTTTTTATTTTCTTGAGTCTCAGAATAATTTTTTTCACAAATTACAGATTTCTATTTTGCAAATCATAAGCATATTTCCATTTTGCAAATTGCTGATTTCTAGAAATCTGTAATTTGCAAAATGGAAATGTGCTAATGATTTTCAAAATAGAAATCTGTAGCTTACGAAATGGAAATATGCTAACGATTTGCAAATTTGCGATTCCTATTTTGCAAATCATTAGCATATTTCCATTTCGCAAATATTTACAGATTTTCATTTCATTCGGTTTCGTTTCGCCAATTATAGTAGGCCCAATGAAACAAAAATACCGAAGCCAAATAGCCAATAGAAATTTATGTGTGGTTGATCTTATGTTAAAAAGAAAACAAATACGCTAAGACAAGTCAGAAATTATTGTATTGCCAAATTTAGTATGACAGCCACATTTTTATTCTAGCGAAATTGCGACAGCGACATTTGCCCCTAACCAAATAGGCGACAAGAGAACCCCCTCTGTGGGCCTTACTGGAAACACTTAACATGTTCTACTAAGGAGGCGTTCTCGTAAGACTTATTTCGACATACCTGTTTGAAAATGTCATAAATCACAACAAGACTGAAACAACTTGATCAGTTTCTCTGATTCTTCATCATTGTTAAATTTTAATGAAAGAAAAATTCGTTCGATAGTTCCGTAATCCACTAGCTAATATCTGTCGAGACCCATAGACGTTTGGTAACCTAATCGGGATAACTTCCAGTTAAACTAGTTTTTACCACAAGCTCACGGTGTTTGCTCACTAAAGGTAGAATCAACATACATGTACACAATTCAACTTACAGAAAACCATGATCCTTGCCCGTCAGTTAAACCAGTAGCAGAAGCACTACTGGATTGATGTACTAGATCTTCCAAAGCAGACGATGAATATCCCATACAATATCCAAATGACAACGGGCCGAGAGCTGCAATGAAAGTAGCAAGGATTGCTCTTCCGACCCTGACGTTCTGTACTATTTCGTTGGACTGAATGGATGAGGTAAACTCTTTTTCAAGCTCAGTCATGTTGGATGCTTTGTTCGATGCTAATCACTCGATTTATGGTGGAACAGGTGAGGAAGTCACCTTAATATACTTTAGGATTACAATGTAGTAATAGAACCCCACCGATCAAGTGTAAAGGCTAACGGAAACATGTGAGCTCGAATGCGTTACTGAGTGCATGACGCAATTTCAACGCGCAAACCATGTGATTTCTCCACCCGTGATGGGACTGTGTGAATATGCATGTGAACTTATAACAACAACATAAAGATGTCTTTTGGTAAATTTGGTAATTTATGGCCATGTTATCCGCCCAAACGAGTCCAAAATCCAATCAACAATAGTAATAGCGCAGTAAGCTTGACATACTCGATCCGCAGTGCGTGCATAGTACGTAGCCGATGGTGGATTTTTACCTATTTCCGATCTGCACTCCCCACCTCCACCCATCTCATTATTTTTTAACCATCACCCGCCCCCTTAGTACAAATTTCTTTCTCTCCCCAGCCCTCCGCTACCATTAAAATTAAAGATGGCGGCCATAATTTAAAAATACTGAGCACTCGCACGCCTAAATTATGCCTGCACTGCAGGCTATCCACTCTGAGTCACGAATCTCGCTTCGCCGCCTTGAGACAGAAACCTTGCGGAAATGGCTCACTGAGGCACGTTCAGCGTTTTTTGAGAATGTATGCCCGCATTTTTATTCTGTCTTTATTAAATTTTTTTTTGCTCTACCAAGTGACAGGCGTTTTTTAATCTGGACGACGAGTGATCGTTCTTTAGGTTATAAATCGCGCTCTCTATCATATCAACAGTTTTGTTTCATTTTTGGAAAAAAAATGGGAACACTCCGGCATCGTGGGCCAATAACTCATACGATTTGACCACATTTATTCATTCATTTCAAATCATACCTCAAACATTTAGGGCGTTAAATCGCTCCAGGAATATTAAAAATACACTCAGAGATTTCGCTTATGTTTCCGTTGGACTATCACTGTATCTTTTTCATGTTAATATGACAGCTCTTTCCCTCTCTTTGAACTGGGTTTTCTGGAGGGCTATTGTATCGCTTTAACGTAATGTTAATTACTACGAAGATCGCTTATATAATCATTTCTTAATCCGCAGTTCTTATCAATACACATGATTTTCATACATCCACAGTCATTTATTCATTACTGAGTTCACGAGTTTATCATATATCAACATAATGACCAGCTCCCAGTTGGCTTGTTAGCTCAGTTGGTGGAGCATTGCATTGGTATTGCAAAGGCCATGGGTTCAAATCCCGTACAGGCCTATATTAATTTCAGGCCTTTATTACACCCATTTTGAAATTACAGGTGGTCTCTATAATCTAATTGGCTCTAATTGATGCGATTTACTCACGAATCGCACCATTTTTTTTTACTTTCAATCACATCTTTTTCCCAGCCAATGAGGAGGCTACACTAAAAACAAAACAACCAATCAGATTTCAAGGCTTGTTTAACCCTTTAACTCCCAGAAGTGATTAACATAAAACTTCTCCCTACAATATCCATACATTCTTCAACAAACAGGTAATGAGAATATTCAAACTTATCAGGTAGAAGCTGCTATCTTAATCTAGCACCAAGTTCTCATAACTAATTTACAAGGAAATGTGTAGCAGCTACAAGAGAGAATTAACAATCAGATCTTGGGAGTTAAAGGATTAAGGTAACTGATCAAATTGCAGGAAAATGAAACATGCCGGAAACTGTTTGCCGGCTGTTGGCTCGTGGTAAAGAAACACGTGCCTACATGACAGCAGCAACACTCAATCGGAAAGCGCACGAATGCATTGTTTGTGTTCCTGTGTTTCCGGACTCACACGTAGGTTTCTCGTATGGGCAATTCTATGGAATCCCTCTCTTTTTTCCCTTTACCCTCGAAGTACATTTGAATCTTCTCAAGAGATTTTCCCTCCGTTTCTGGGACACAAACGTAAACAAAAAATACGGCCATAATCGCCTGACTTCCATATAACCAGAAGGTTCCGGCCGCTGTGAGTGTATTGATAAAGAACGGAAATGTCTTAGTGATTGTAAATGCGCAAGTCCAGTTGAATAGAGTTGCATTGCCACTGGCTATTCCCCTAGCCTTGACTGGAAATATCTCGCTCATTATGAGCCAAGCACAGGGACCCCACGTCATACCAAATGCCACTATGTACACAGCAACACTCGTAACAGCCACCCACGAGAAATCGTAGTAAGTAACAATGCTATTCTTGGACAGAGAGTTCTCAGAGATGTAAAAATAAGAACCCAAGCTGAAAAGGCTTATGCTCATTCCCACACCACCTACGATCAACAGGAAACGCCTACCAGCATGACTAATCATAATTACAGACAAGGCAGCGGCAACTACCTGGATGATGCCAATTAAAATCGGCACCATAGTGCTTTTGTTCTGGAAACCAGCCTTTTGGAAGATGGTGGCACAGTAGAACATGACTGCGTTGATGCCAGTGCTCTGTTGGAAGAAATGAAGGGCCAAGCTGATTGCGAACGGACGTAAGAGACTGGGTTTGGCAAATTCCTTGATTGACATCCTCTCCTTGTTTTCTATTGGCCGCAAAAATGAATGAATGAAAGAATGAAATTTGAAAACGAGAAAAAAATTTACAAAAGAATCCAAAACGAATTAACAAAGAACTGTACTTTGCCAGAAAAAATGAACCTACCTAAGCTATCTTTTATTTCCATAATTTCCTTCTCCACGTCAGCATTCGGTCCTCGCAGCCACCATGCTGTCATGTAGGCGCGTTTTTCTTTTCCACGAGCCAACAGCCAGCAGACAGTTTCTGGCATGAAAATCATCAATATCAACAAACAGGTTGGGAACCCTGTTCCTATTATGGCACACCAATACCAGTTGAGGGCATGGCCCGTTATGAAAGACAACAAGATACCCGATACAATTCCCATTTGGTTGAATGTGCCCAGTGTGCCTCTTAGACGAGGAGGGGCGGTTTCTGAGATGTAAACCTAAAAATTGAAAAGAAAATTTATCAGTAATGAGGAACAAACGAAGTTCTGTAACTTGATCAGGTGTTTAAAGTATTACCAGAAAGGGTAGTGCAGCAGTCAGGACATTTTCCAGAAGAGTATTTTAGTGAGGTCAGGCCAGGTTACAAGTTTTCTTATCTCCAGCTTTAAAGCAGAAAAGTTTAATACCCGCCCAGATCCCTCCCAGTATACCTAACAATGTGAGGGACGCGATAGCCTAACAGTTATCGCGCTTAGCTCCGTTTGCATGGACCGAGTCCAGGGTTAGTTTAGATGAGCAATGAATATATTTATTCAGTATCATACATTTTTTTCGTAAACCTCGGCGGTTTTTGCGCAAGTGCTTTTTCACACGTCATCGACAAGCGGAAGCCTGGCTCAGGATGCTACTTACCGGGGCAGTAACAGAGATCACGCCACAGGCTAAGCCTGAAATAACTCGGCCGGAATAGAGCATAGCGAGATTTTGAGCAAAGCCGATGAGAAGCCATCCCAATACAAAAGGAACAACACATAACATTATGGTACTCTTTCTACCAAGCTTATCAATCGCCCATCCAGCAAGAGGACTGCCAAAAATAGCGCCAACGGTGATCAGAGACTGCAAAAAAAATAATAAAGATCAAAATTGTATCGAAGTAATTATTTGGCAATGCTCTGCTAATTCAAAATCATATTGTTGATATTTATGTTTGGTTCAATTTGAGAGTTTTTATAAGCCTGACCTTGACTTAACACGAGCTCGCCATAAGTTCCATTCAGGTGAACGTGTTCAAAGATAGGACTGGTGTAATTTGAGATTTGGTATCAACTTCTTCTTTATGATTTTACATTTTCCTTTTTTTTTTTTGACATTCAGAAAAGCTTGTGAACAGGAGACTAAGTTCAGGTGTTGAATTAAGAACAGTCAGCTCTGTAAATTAATTTAGGTGTTTCTACTTAAAACATTTAACTTCCATAAGTGATTAACAAATAACTTCATTTTTCGGCCCGCTAGATTTAAAATAACCGATTGAGCATTTGACAAAAATAAAGTTATTTTTTTCCTCGTTATTCTGCCTGTGTGGTAAATACTAGAAAAAAAGGGATATTTATCTCAGCTTGGGTGAAGATGATGGATATTTACCTTCACTACGATTAATAATTAAAAACTATTCAGTTTCCCACTTAGATTTGAGATCAAGTGAAGCTTTTCAAGCGAAATTGCGCCAACATTAAATTTAGTACAAAAGACCCAAATAGCACACTATTTACTGCAAAAGTGGTTTAATCGGCTTTAACTCTTACAGAGCCGTCTATAATCAGTATATCTAGTAGGACCTAGAAAATAATCTTATTCCCTATTTTTCTAGTCATAACAATTATATTTTGACGGATCAAAAGGACACATGGTCCCGGCTCGGGAGATGACTTAAAAAGTTACATTTTTTCAGCTGATTTACGAAAAAGACATGATCGAACCTACCGAAAACCAGGATCCCTGATCTGCAGATAGACGCACAACTGAAGAATAATCAGCGTTTTGCAAATCTTCCAAAGCAGAAGACGAATAACCAATACAATACCCAAAGCTCACTGGGCCAAGCGCAGCGATCAACGCGGCCAGGATTGCTCTGCTAACTCCTTGTTCACGTTTTGCTCCATCGGACTGAGGAGATTTTTTGTAAGCATCCCCGCGAGGCTCGGCCATCTCGAATGTTACCCACGCTAGAGCGAACTCTTGTTTGGTGGTCTGATTATACAAACGGAGGGTATCATAATTCAAGTACAACTGATGACGAAGAAATTTTTTTAGCCTTCCTGCGTATGACTAACAGTTTCACGTCAGTAGTCACGTCATTAACAGGAGGAAGACGAAACTTGAGGATTAAAAAAAAAAAAAAAAAAAAAAAAAGAAAGAAAGAAAAAAAAAAACGCTGGACAGAAGCACAAGTTCATTTTACAAGTTTTCTTTGCATGCACAAGTGTTTGCGTGGGTGTAAATGGAGTGAAAAAAAAAATGACCCTAAAGGACCTTTAATTTAATGAGGAAAAATGCTATAGGTATGTACGTCATATCTTTTCCGCTGCCCTTTGTTGGATCTTCTCACTAATAAGTGTTTTACTTCGGGCACAAACCCAGCATCCGGTCAAAACTGCTGTGTAATAAACAGGAAGATCTTACCAGAACTGGGCCGGTAGAACTCTTTGTAAACTTTTTCCGATCAGCCAAAGCAAACGATTAGTAGCTGGAGTGAAAAAAGGACACCAACCTAGGTACCAGTAATATCTTTCCCTATTTATTATAAAGCCATCCTACCATCAAAAGTAAGAGGATCGATTTGATATTGTATGTCGAAAGTCCTCCGCGAGTGCATTGTCATTGCTTTTCTTCTCTCTGAAATTGGTCCACAAAACTTGCGCCTCTCCTTCAACCAATCCGATTCAAAGCTACAACCAATCTCGAAATGGTCACTCGCGTTTTCCCGCGCTTCAAGCAGTTTGTGTGTTTCAGTTAACTTCAAGTTCACATTAGTTGTGACATTTTCCTTGCTATGATTGAGCGTTGCAATAATTTTGCTTTTGGTTTTATGACACTCAATCGAAAAGCGCTCTGAAACATCCCTGTAGCACCAAAATACTCTTACTAGTATTGAGCGTTTACGATCAGATCTTTGACCCAGTGTCGATTATTTAAACCATCACAAGATATGTAAGACAATGGCAGTTGATTATGAAAAATTAAATACTTTTCAAAAGTAAAATTAGATGTATGTATGAGCTAAATTTGAAAATCACACATATCATTCGCCTGGGTTCTAAAATCAGTCCCATTCCGTTTAACCGACGATGCCGACGATTGAGGAAATCGTAGGGATATAGTGAGCTTCACGCAAGATTGAGATATGCAATAAATGAACGAGTCATGTCCTTCTTTCAAAATATTTTCCCTAATCGCAGTTCACAAATAAATCAAGTCGTTCGCTGCTCTTGAATCAGGAAAAAAACAAATTGTTAAACCATAATAACATTTCGCTTCTCCACAATACTATGTTAGAGTATTCTATCTTGTTAACGTCTATAGTAATGGAAATACTTGATTTTCTATCAGCGTGTTGGAGAATTGGTTTCATCAACTTTTCAAGGTTCGGATATATTTTTCTGGCACAAACCCAACATCCTGTAGATTATGACGTCATTAGGGTCCAAATTACCTACAGGTTTTTTTGGACTTGGGCCGGAGGATGTTTGTGCCAACTGTTTTCAATCTAAAATGATGAACCCTTTAACTTCTACGGAAATGATAGGTTTAAGCTAAGCTTTCGCCGTTCCATGGCATCGTTAGGGATGATAAAAAGATTTCGAGTATCCAGTAGTTTTTAACGGTAAGCAAATTGATGTAAAAGTAAAGAGTACGTGAGATTGCGGTAAAGTAGATAAGTTGTTTAAAGGTTTTCAATGTTGTACGTATAAAATAAAAAATCTGTTTAGATGTACCAGTTGTAAGGAAAAGTTTCCGCCGGCAAACTTGTTGCAGTTCTCCATGATACGAATTGAGAGAAAGTTTATACCTTCTTAAGTAAAATCATTCGACACATCATGCGTAGACTTACGGGACGTCGCTTTCTTGTGGAAAGGTCCTGATTTCAATGCATTTTCAGTCTTTTCAGGCAGTGGTCTCGACATGTAGAGATGTGTTTCAGTCTCAAGGGAGGAACTGTTTTTGTTTACGACGTATTAAGGCCCACGAGATCGTGCTTCCGATTAGTCAAAGGAAACTGAAATGTTGGGCGCACACTAACTGGGTTTTACTGAGGAACTAATATTCATGATCATTGCGAAAAGACCCAATGTTTGCGGGAACTAGTTTGCGCGATTTTATTTTTAAATTGTACTAAGCGAGCACAAACTGGCAACTGAGTTTCCCCCTTGATACAGATGTCACTACCTTACTACGTTATTTCGACAACCGAAGAAGTGCAATATGATTTTTATCACCTTTATATAAAAGTATTTATAGGAACTTATGCCAGGCCGTAAAAATTCAGTCAATCAGACTACAGGTGCCGTTGTACAATCAAGCACGATATCAATGGATCACGAGTAGTCACGGATCCTTTACGGCGAAGTCCATCGCGTGAGTCCAAAAGAATTGGTTAAAAAAAACATTTGACGTTAACGCGCCGTGGGGAGCCCTTGGAGTGACGTCTATGTGCCACGGGAGAGCTCCATGAGTGAGGCACTCTAAAGTGATAAAGAAAAGGCACCTCTCTCATGGACCTCCAGCGACGCACTGACGTCACTCCAAGAAGCTCTCCGCAGCGCCCAAAAATCAATTTTTTCACTGATTTTTTTAATCGCGGACTTCGCTGAAAAGGAGGGACTGCTCGTGGTGTACGATATTAATTCCGCTAAAATCTACAATAATAAGCAGTAACACGGCTAGTTTCCTTCAAGCGTTTGACCGCAATTAACAACTTTATTTCCCATCTATTTTTGGCATCGAAATTTAATCGATGTATTTTTAGAGTTTTAAGTGGACAGTGAGGAGCTGGTTCCAAGACAATCAAAATGATTTCTGCGTTAAAATGACTAATATTAGAATGATTAAGTTGGATCTTTTTTTTCTACATAGTTATGTAACACTTTCTCGTTCTATACCATAGAATATCACATTTGTCACCTTCATTTCCGTGGCATATTCACAGCTATTCCTGACAAAAATAAAGCTCGTGGTATATTACATGGTACACCACGAGATTGGGTTACATAACCTGTAAGTGTTTAAAAATACGCTATTATGAGGGTGTCACACACGCCCATTTAAAAGTTCTTCATCAGAAACATATGAATGTCAGAAGACTTAGCAGAATTCGTGCTGAGACTGATGATGATGATGTGAAACTCCTACAGTGTTATGTAATGCTGGATTGCATCATCTGATTAAAATTTTCATCTGAAATTTTTCCTTTTTTGGGATTGCAATAACAGGGAAGACCAGCTGCGGAGCGCACCACGTCAAGTTAGCAAAAGGCACTAAGGGCTCTCGTCCTGTCTTTTATCCTTCTTTTTAAAATCTGTATTCTGTAATATATGTCTACTAACCGTGATAATTCGATTTAACGCCTGGGGCGCTCATTTATTTATGGTGCTTTTACGATGGGGGCGCTCATTAGGGCACTTATTAGATCTTGATAGGAACAGGGCGTGCAATTTTTTTTTTGAGAAATTGCTGAATGTGCAAAACAAATCTTTGATGTTTATCTAAGAAGGAACAACAGCAGAAGTTGTAAAAGCGCAAATATCCGAATATATTAATGGTAAGGAATATACTCTGGTGGTTCTATCAGTGAAACAGAATAGGGTCGCTTACACAATAAGGTCGCTTATCAACGAAAAGAAATTCGAGGTGGGGGGAAAGGAGTGGAGCTTACTAGAGGGGAAGGCGCTTAGTGGAACGAGGGCGCTTAATCGAATCATTATGGTACATCAAAATCGCTTCACTCAGGTTAACTCTGGTGGACTGACTAGTACTCTTATCGATCTCTCTCTATCTCTCTCTCTCTCTCTCTCTCTCTCTCTCTCTCTCTCTCTTTCTCTCTCTCTCTCTTTGACCCTACACTTACCCTATCAGTAATGCTAAAGCACGCACTCTTACACTAACTATCGGTCGGCATGAGCGAGCATGTTGGCCAACCTGACCTTGGAGGATTTAACCCCCTATTGTTAGATTACTAACCCAAACACTTTTACAGGAATCTCGCATGTTTTATTTATTTCCTTTTTTTGGTTTGTTTAAGAATCTCACTCATAAAAAACAATGTAGTTAATGCTTCCGATCTTACTCTTTGACTGCCTAACCAAAACAAGAACTCTAGTGTGGGTACAAGGCAAGGTCAGCAGACAAACTAAGCACTTTCACTGATGAAAGTCAGACAAGACAGTCACAATTAGAAGGCTCATTACAGTAGCTTTAGTCTGAATAACTTAGGACTTTAGAGTTGCTAAGTTTAGCTTCGACCATCCCCTTACCCTCCCCCGCTTCCTCCCACTTAGTCTCCGAGAGTCCGTCCGTCCATTTTGCCTCACGTGAATTTTTGTCATAGGAAGCCTGGAAACGGTTGCCTTGAGACATTCATTGATCGTTTGAATAATGCGTCAATGCACTAACTTTCTTCGATCCTCGCTTAGCAACGACCCATAAGACGATACGCTGCTCAAGTGAACTAAATATCAGAGAGTATTTTTACACATGATACGAGAGTAAGGATTAAAAATCTGCATTGGAGAATTTTAAGTGAAGTGTCGAAAGGCCTAGCTCGAAAGTGTTCGAGTATCAAATTTGTGTCACTTTGCTCCGCTGAGTGATAAAGTCCGTGCTCACCTCAGTCACTCGAATGCTACAACGCGGTTTACTTTAAAAAAAGATCGTGTTCCTCATAAAAGTTGCTTAAACTGATGTTTGTTGATTACTAATTTAGCAAAATGAAGAAATCAGTTAAAATACAGTTTTCTGTAGCTGATTTTCATCCAGGTTTAGGTTTACTTGCACATGTCTTGCTGGTGTGAATGAGGCATAAGACGGACAGTCGGATGGGTGAGGGGAAAGTCCATGAGAGAGCGAGACGAAATAAGCTAGATTCCCATATCTTTGGCCAAGCTTCGCGCCAATAAACTCCCTTTAATTTGCCACAATCATGTGGGGGATATGACTGAAACAGAGGACTCGCGTCATTCTATCAACCTATCAGATACAAACACCAAGCCATTTATCCACTTTTGCAGTGAGTCTCTTGGAGCTCTAATTGGTTCCCTACGTAGGATATTGTTATTATTATTATAATTATTATTTTATTTCCCACTAAGGTTCACCGATCATTAACAGGATATGTTACCTGTAATGTCACGCGACCCTTGAGTCATGTTTTATTTAATTTTAAAGCTTTGGAATTGCGATTTAATCGTCGTGCAGTCCTTATCAACCGCTGCTTCCGAAATGGGCGATTTACCCAACAGTTTCTCTCATTCGCTATCTATCCAGTCCACTGGAATCCTGAGGAAAGAACGAGTTGGCTGGACAATCCTTGCCACTTTTATTGCAGCTATTGGCCCTGTAACCTTTGGTTACTGTGTGGGGTATTCTTCGTCAGCACTGCTTGATTTACAGAACGAAAATGCACCTTCCGATGTTCGCCTATCGTCCGAACAAGCATCGTGGTTTTCAGTAAGTTCAATGGCACTTTTTTACAATGATATTATCAATAGGAAAATAATTATGCTGATTCTGCGCGAAATTCTGACCACAGCTTCTAAAGTTTTTGCGATTTTTAACTTTTTTTCCTTTTCAATAAACGTTATTCTTAATACAGCTTGGAGCTATTTTTCTATCTGAGCGGTGCGGCGTTACTCATGGAGAGTCAAAAATAAAAATTAGGCTATAGTTTTGTCTCAATTAAAAATTGGTCGGTGAAAGCACGTTAGTCGTTAATCAGTTTTTCCCCTGCTCCCAAAGTCTGAATGCTTGCGTGATACAACAAGAAACGGGCGAGACATCTGACAACCCCATGAACAGACCAGAAGACACATGACATTGCACAGACAGCCAGCGAGCACGTAGATATTACGCTCTATGTTGACCACTCTTTACCTGTCAAGAATTTTTTTTGATAATAAATTTGGAGCTAAATCGTCAAGATGTTGAGGATATGTTACGAACAACCATATTTCAAGCGCATAGTGATTGAAAATAAATAACAATACCAAAAAGAAAAAAGAACCCTAGTGTTTGCTATTGTGCGATTGAAGAGTTTGCTGGTAATTTATATCATTTTATTTATTGTTTTCGACAAATTTGGCATTCAAAGCGATAAAATTTAAGCGTACATATATTCAATAATCTGGGAGTACGAACAAGGATATTTCTGTCTGACGTCGGGAAAAAAAAAACTACTGAGCCCAGCTCGAAGAGCAAGACATTAATCATTGGAAATCGATGTCACTTCTGTGTTTGTAATGTTTGCAAGATTATCTTTAAAAGGGAATTTTTCGCCAGTTCTGCAGAGAGGATCCGAACGAAGGGTCAAATGCCACGGCTTTTCCAGTTAAGAGAATCTTTATTAATAAATGACACACCGGATAAATTTGTTCCCGTTTGTTGTAGTAATACACTTTCATTTCACGTTTAATCCGCGTTCAATTCACGAGCAGCAGCCTTTAATCCGCGCTCGGCCGCGTTCGTGAGCTTTAAACGCGAACAGGGAAACCAAAATTCGACGTCCTTTACAGGGAGCATTTCCACCTTAATAAGCCGTGTTATTGCAGCGCAAATACGATAGCGTTACGCGTCTCTTGAAATCATCCACGAAAATGGTCCACAAACGAACGGCTTTCTGGACAAGGTATAGTCAGAAAACGAAGCTTTGCGTATAAAGCTAATAATTTCTATCTCTAAAAGCGCACAGTAAATTATGTCAGAGGTTTTTTACTTCATATGGCCATGGATAACAAAGAATTCGTTGAACAGTGCAGCGCAACTGAATGCGACACGTCACACGTCCGTTGAAATCCTATCGCGACAGTGACCGGATAAGAAAGGGTAGGTTGGAAAATATGAAATGCAGGAATTCGGAATCGGAGTACCAGGAATTCCCGGAATGATCGAAAAATTATAATGCTATATGCAGTAGAGTCACTTTAGAAACTGAGAGAACTGTATACTGGATCTTTCCATTATACTTTAACTTAAACGAGTCTCGAGTTTCACTACGTTGCTCAAAGTTTCCTTTGTTTTGTCTTTTTCATATTTTTCTCAACCAGAAAATTTTATTATACTACATAGAATCGTGTATAGAGAGATTCCATTCCGCAAAGTATTTCTCTCAGCTTAAAATTACTTCTCGACGTGAGCACACATCACTTGGGACTCAACAATGTCCTGATGTTCACATGTTTTTTTCATAACTTTCCCACAAATTGTTCAAGGTCATAATTCAAGCCTCTCTTCGTTGTTTATTTTTACACCTGACGATGCTTTTTAAGAAGTACAATTAGGAAATTACTTACGATCTTCAGAAACCCTTCAGTATTGTCCACTTTACCAACAAATGCACCTCGAGATAAAGGGTTTTTGTCGATCAGGCGACCGCAGTTAACTGAAAGTTTGATCGCTGAGGGATCATGCAAAAGCATTGAATAAACAGGCAAACATAAACCGTGGAAAAGTTTGCGATTTTTAAATTATGTACATTTTTAAAAGGTTGTTCCTGTATCGGCACTCTTCTGAAAGAATTTACCAATAACGCGCTGAGCTTATCGGCTGGTCTTAATAGTAGCTGCTTGGATTGCTCCCAATGTGTGGTTAATAATTATTTAAGGTATAGTATTAATTTGTAATAGTTCCAAGATTCGGAGCTTTTTACAATTGAAATATTAAACTAATTGGAAATATTGCATTTGTTTAATCTTCTGCAACGGTTCTGGCTTGAAAGGCGCGGCAGCCTAATAGTTATAGCACCCTAGACATCCTGCAGGTGTATAAATGAGTACAGGCGAATTTAAAACGGAGAGTAACCCTGTGATGGACCAGCCGTCCTATCCAGGGGGAGGGGAGAGTAGAAATATTTTCGTCACTTAGGCTGTATGGACTACTGACATGACGCAGACTTTTTTAATTTCTAGTATGTACATCACCATAAACAGTGCCGATAAGTGGTTATTTATTTAACGCCAAGGGATCCTCAAAGAAAAATTTTGTATTTAATTATATAATTAGGTTATAAATTTACCATTAATTATTAATGAACATTCAATTAATCATTAATTGTCATTATATTCTTATTTCTTTATTAATTTTAGCTTAATTTTTTTAAATTTATCATTTTTCATTCGCTCCGGGAATTCCGGCTGTTCCAAGTATTCCTATTCTGGTTTCGAATTACAGCATTCTTTATTTTCCAACCTACTGATAAGAAAGCTAACTTTGAAATATCCCGCAGCGCTTTTTCTTCGCCTCAGACATATTCCGAGATCTTCACTCTGCGAACAGGCATTATTTCCTCTTTTCTTAGCGTTTCAGGTGAACGGAGAGGAGATAAGTGTAAGGCGGGTGCGGAAAAAGTGCGTGGCTACCGCGCGAAAAACTCGAGAAGCGAGACACGCGTAAGTGGACAAGCGCGAAAAAAGTGGCGCGTAATTTTGTTCGTACTCTTCCTCTCTCGCGTGATTTTTACCTCACCTTCTTCCCACACTCGCCCTGCATTAGTCCACGCTGGTAGAAAAAAAAGGCGCTCCCATGCCCCAACCCCCTCCCCCCTTAAAAAAAAGTGTCACCTGGGAGGGCGCTCAAGTGATATTTGGACTGCTAGCAAGCTGCACAATGGGTGTAAATTTTTGGTAGTGCCGCTGTCCAGATGTTAAATTCTGAGAAACATTTTTTTTCAAAATACTGTAAATCACTGAATATGCTAATCATGGCGTCTTGATGTCGCTTGTGTTTAGCAAAGTAGACAACAATGAGCCACAATACATCTTTCACCTGAGAAGACGCCTCACCTTGCCATATTTTAAACGACCACTTCCACAATCCGGCTGGTCTTAAATGCGTGCATACCGTTATATCCATGAATATCTAATTTTTTAAATGAATTATTTCCAGTCTTTGCTCAATGTGGGTGCTATTGTTGGAAGTCTTATCGGTGGATGGGCGATTGACAAGTTTGGTCGAAAGGGTACCATCGTTTTATGTGCGATACCTTTTGAGATCGGATGGCTCCTCATAAGCTGTGCTCATCACGTTTCCATGTTTCACGCTGGCCGGATCATTACAGGCTTAGGCATCGGTGTAATTTCACTTGCTTACCCGGTAAGACATAAGGGCTTAAAGTAACATCAGATTTCAGACCTTAAGGTCCATTCCACCGTAGTTTACTCCGGTTTTAAAAGTCTAAAGCGAGTGTGAGCAGAACCGTGCGCCCTCTCCTCCTCCCCTCCCGCCCCCCCTCCCCTCCCAGGAGCTTCCTAAGCTGGTGATCATTTCTTTTATTCTCATGACCTTTAATTTTGATTCAGGGGTGATACCGTAAGGAGAAATGAGTAGCCAGTCTCTCTTAAGGGTTGAAGGGTTTGCGTGGTCAACTATACCGCGGGCACGCCAACGCCACGGCTTTGTCCAGTAGTCCAGTGGTCAGTGCACTGGGCTCCGAGTCAGACGACCCGGGTTCTAGTCCTGGCCGGGGCAAGGCGTTGTGCCCTTGAGACGTGCGGGACAAAAAAAATGCAAGCTCCGCTTTTAGGCTTTGCTAAATCTATATATTATATGTTAGGTCAGGAATAGCATTGTTCTAGTAAGTAGCACATCGCGCGCACCCGAAGTCCAGCATGGTAACCACGAGGCTATCACTTCGAACCGTTCAACTGAATAGAGAGCCGTAAGTAGTAAACTCCCAAGAAGCTTGTATTCACACGTTCTAGAAGTCTGGCCCTGAGCCCTCATTGGCACATTATGTTGTGTTTTTGGGTGAGACTCTAGAGTCACTGAATGCCTCTCGCCACCCAGGGCTATCAATCGTTACCGCTAAAACAGTCAGCAAAACCTGACTTGTGCTGCGAGTAAACCATTATCTCATCTTGGGGAGAAGACTGGAATAAGCTGCAGCAATTTATAGCTCCCTTGATCCCTATAGCTTAGTCTATCCGTTCTGCCTTAGGTCTACGTAGCTGAGATCGCAACTGCACGACTGCGCGGGACACTTGGCGCTGTCAATCAACTGGCCATAGCAGCTGGCATCTTACTAAGTTATAGCTTTGGAGTCCTTGTGCATTGGAGGTGGCTAGCTCTCATTGGTGCTATGCTCCCTGCCCTACTCGTGATTTTGATGTTCCCTATGCCGGAGACTCCTCGCTGGTCGTTGGGAAATAACCGAAACAGCGAAGCGGCCAATGCATTGTTGTGGTTAAGAGGACCTGATTTTGACGTCGAGGAAGAGTGTTGTGTGATTAAAGCGAGTCTAGACGAAGGTTAGCTCCTATAATATATTAATTGATAGTGAGGGGAATTTACCTCATCCCTACACAAGGCTCCTTCGTTCCCTTTGAAAACCATGTGAACCCCTTCACTCCCAAGATCTCATTAGTAATTCTCCTTACTGTCTGCCATACAATTCTGAAAATGTTAAGTCGGAGAATTTGATATTGGATCAACTAGTAATCCCATAATTGATATTTTTCTTTATTCTCATCACTTTTCTGCTTGATATTGTATTGATATAGTGAAGAGAAATTCTGTCTTGGTCAGTCATGGGAGTTAAAGGGTTAATTGCAGTGGATGTAACTGTTCATGTTATTCAATCCTCAACAGATCATCAGGAGAGGCTTCCTTGGCGTGACTTCTTATTACCATCGATGTTAAAGCCCCTGCTGATCAGTATTGGGTTGATGGTTTTTCAGCAGTTCTCTGGGGTAAACGCAGTAATCTTCAATGCTGCATCCATCTTTTCAAACGCAGGCTTTTCCGATGCAAAGCTTATCAGCATTACTGTGGGAGCCGTACAATTTATTGGTGCTGGCTTAGGTTGTCTGCTCATGGACAAAGCTGGAAGACGAAAGATCCTTCTGATGACTGGACTGGTGATGTGCATCTGTCATGTAGTACTAGGAGTGTATTTTGAGATCTACATCCCTCCAACAGAGAAAACCCCACAAGCGGACACTCTCGCCTTGCTTGGCTCTATCCATAGATCTGTTCAAGCGAAAAGAATTTCCTCTCTGTCAATCACAAGCCTTGTCGTATTCAACATGTTTTACGCCCTCGGTTGGGGACCAGTTGCGTGGTTAATAATGTCGGAAATATTTCCTCAACGAGCTCGAGGCCAGGCTGGTGGTATTGCGACGTTGATTAATTGGACATGTTCTTTTATCGTTACCCAAACGTACCAGTCCATGGCCGACACTTTGTCTATCCAAGGGGCATACTGGTTTTACGCCGGATGCTGCTTCTTCGCGTTTATTTTCGTCTATTTCTTTCTACCTGAGACAAAAGGCAGGACCTTGGAGGAAATGGAAGCCATGTTTGACCAAGATAAACAAGACTATGAAAGGATTAGCTAAGTAATAAGAAAAAGATGAATAGTTATGAGGCATATTTCCGTCGGTCGGAGTAGCCAAATTCATCCCTAAGCGTTTTTTGAACACCAGGGCTCTTCATCGTAGGAAAACGTTTTCCTGTGGTGAAGTCTTGATAGCAGAAGCTGAGTGCGAAAGTTTTTAGGCAAGGCTTAAGCGCAAATTTTGAACCATTTCTGGAATGTTTTTGTGGGTTAACTTTGCTTTTCATTGTGATTATTTGGAAATTAATGCGTGCGCTAAAACATTGCGTTTCCCTCCCAGCCAATCAGCTGATCAGAAAGATTTTCCGCATGAATATTGGAAAAGTAAAGCACTTATTAAGTAACTCTGCGGACTTTTCCCATAAAGCCCTTAGGTAACATTGTTGATTATAACCGACTGTATAACCTTTGCCGCTTTCTATCCAGACAGAAAACAGAAGTGATCATTTAGATGTTTAGAATGTACGATTTTTGCACATTGCCCTGGCGGAAAATTAGTTCATATTCACTTCCTTCTTCACAATTTCCTTCCACATAGTAGATAGTCTGGTGTAAATACAGTGTAGGTTTATTTCAGCACTTGCACGAAATAAAAAAAAAATATTTGATCAATCAATTCAGTTAAGTATATCTATTGGTATTATGACACTCATTTTGGACATGAGCCTCGATAAATGATAATGATAATAATCTGATATGTAAAAGAGAATCATTAATCAAAATTTGAAGGCAGAAACCGCCAGTCAATTACAATTACAACTACAATATAATAACCGTAATTCGAGTTCTTGTTACAATTACTACCCGATAAAAAGTGGTGTAATGCGTGAGTTTTGTTTCAAGCGTGCTTGAAGCGTTTCGCATCTGCGAACGTAGAAGTGACTTAACATAGTGATTACATACCATCAGAACCAAGTTGTCTTAGAGGAATTGAAAACGGCCACATTGGCCAGTTAGTTGTTGTGGCAAAAGATGAATCGAAAAAATACGTGTAGTTAAATGATTTTGTGTTCGAAAAGTCTTACTTTTCCATTCTCTTTTTTAGATTTCTTTACACTTGTGATTCGATTTTCTCTTTTTCCGGAAAGTTTGCCGGTTTTTTGTTTTTGTTTTTCAATTTTGCGCGGGAAATTGGCGCGTGGCTGGCCAAATTCGATCCGTTTGCGCATGCTTTACGTTTTAACGTTGTCTTATCCACACGTTGTTACTCTCCTGCTTAGCCATTCTGTGACATGTCACGCAACACTCCATCTAAGCGTTACGTGACTTCCATAACCAAGGCTGGGATGCTGGTCATCACGTGTTTTCGATGACATAATGGCACCAGCTTGCAGCACCTGATGCGAATCACCGAATTAAGTCTTTGCCATTTAACGAAGTATCGAAAATGGCTGAGTTCGAAAAAAGCCACATACACTCGCCATGTTCCCAGTCTAATGAAATGAGCGCGATTCAAGACAGAGTTGGCAGATCGATCCTTGCCACCTTTATTGCAGCACTCGGCCCAGTCAGCTTTGGATTCTGTCTGGGATATTCATCGTCTGCCTTGCTGGATTTACAAAGCACTGATGAACCTTCTGCAGTTCGTTTATCTGACGATCAGGCATCTTGGTTTTCAGTAAGTTGAGTATTATTATTCGTTGGATCATATTTATGCCACTATAGAGTACTCCTTAATTGCTTCGCGTTTTATATATTTATTTTTTAACGTGTGTGTCGTGTAATAACCGCATATGTAGCGCTGACTAGACTTTGCTAAACTTTAAAACAACATCTGTAAAAGAATTAAAAAAAACCCAAAATTTAGCCTAAAAACATAAATAGATTGGAAAAACTGTTTCTGCTTCGGTTTCAACGAAGTCACGCCTCGGGCTTAACCGAGCAGCTTCTATTTTGTACTACAGAGACTGCCGAAGGGGGCCATTTTGCCTCTTTGATATCCCACGGAACATTTCCCTCATTATTTCGCCTGCGGCTAAAACTGTTTGTTTGATAGCTGAGGAGCCACATGACTCTCATGAGAATCACATGATTTACGATGGGATCCATTTGAAAATGACGTGGATCAGTGCTTTTAATATAACGTAAAACAATTGTAGAAAAATCCACAAGATATTGTTTTAAAAGAGGAACAGCGTCAAGGCAATGTAGCGGAACCCTTGATAAAATTTTAAGTAGCAATAAAAGAAGATAAAAGAATTTTTGCATAAATTCTGCCCCAACGTGAGTTGTGCACGTAACTTCTCCTATTTCGGCCGGTGATGATGCTTTATTTAGTAAATCAAGAAGCAGCAGATTTTCTCTTCATGCTAGAAAAAAAAACTTGCTATTTCCCATTCCTCAAGTACAAAAATCATTTCCACCTTTCGATCCGGTAGAAAAAGTTTTCGGAAAGATCCGGCAAACAATTTCTTTAAAATAATCAATATGACACGCTATTTAGTCACCCTTTTGACCCAAAGCCCTAATTTGAAATGATAGTGCTGAAAGGTCCTTGCTCGAAAGACTGTGTCACGCTATGACCGATGGATCACGATTGTCCAAGTTTGCATGAAGGCAGTCATTCTTAATGTTCTTCATATGTCGCTCTTGAATATTTATTGGCCCTGTGTATTTGTAAAGGACGTAAAAGTACAATTTTTTGGACTGAAGCAGGAAAATTATACGGATAGTGGCGTGACATGCCTACTTTAAGAAAGCTAGCGCTAGCTTCATGAGTTAGATGCATTGTCATTGCTATGATGGGGCTAGTGGGAATGGAGGACATCATATATCTCTTGTTGCCTGCGTTCATCACTCAAACCCAAGATATTGCGGATAACTTCAAAACAGCCACACTCCAATTTAAGATGTTTCCCTCTAGTGGGGACCAGCAACAAAATTTGTTTTCGTGTTTGAAAAAGGATGTATGTGCAAAGAACATCTTGGTTAGATTAAGATTTTAAAATCGCGATGAAATTCTTGGAATGCAACAGTTTCGATCAATCTAATCAGGCTGACCACTGTCTATTGTATATAGGCCAGATATATAAGGGTATAAGTGAAATTTTTATTTCCATCTGAATTTGCTAACAGTCTACCTTTAGACTACAATTATCGTACTTAAGCTTCATGCCTTTGAGATTCATTCTTATACATTTTGTTCTAGTCTTTAGTTACTATTGGAGCTATTTTCGGAAGTGTCATTGGTGGATGGGTGATTGACAAGCTCGGTCGGAAAGGTACCATTATGTTTTGCACAATTCCATTTGTGCTTGGATGGCTTCTCATTTGCTTCGCTCAGAGTGTTGCCATGCTTTACAGCGGTCGGATCATTACAGGCCTGGGCTGTGGTACAATCTCGTTGACTGTTCCGGTATGTCTGTAGATTTAAGAATTGGTCAGTTCATGATTACCTGAAAACTATGAATAAATGACAAAGAAACAACAACCACGAAAGGTTTCAACACCAAATCATTAATTTATGAAGTGCAAATTTTATGCTCAGAAGGGAAACGAACAAAAAGAACGAGATACGTGTGATAGATTTAACCTAACTGGATTGGATTCTTATTTACTAGAATTCACGACCAGAAATTTGCGTGGCTTTGTGTTAAAAATTCTGAAAATTATGCTTTTTTCAAAACAAAATCTCCTATTGAACAACACCTTGGGACATAAAACGCTTAAAGAGTTACCAACGTCGCGAAGCCTCAATTGAAGTCAGAAAACCCAGTTTTGTTTTCAGCCATAATTCGCATCGTGTTTGAGAATGAAGTATCGTCAACTCCAAAACTTCAAAGTTTTGAGACCTCGCGGCTAAACTCGACGGGAAATTTCAGTTGAAGTGAAACTACACACGTCATGTTTTGGTGCACGGCCGCGCGTTACATAAGGATTTGTATTGTGGTAGTTCCTTAGGAAATAGATAGGCCTTGCGCGCGCGCTATGTTATAACACAGAGTGTATCATTAACCTAGCCTTGGTGTAACTGTGTTAAGATTTTAATTCATGGTAAGAAGGTTACTATTTGTTTTAACCTTTTAAAACTAATATCAAGTTACAAAAATAGTTACAAGAGGTGAAAGTCATGTGAAAAAATTGAAATTTAAAGGCAATGCAAATCAGGAAAAATTGCGTTTATGATAGTTTTGCATCAGATGTAAATAGTCAAGCATATGGCGAGATCTCAAGACTAATCACGAATAGTAATTAACCAAAGATAATGTCAAATTGCTTTATACTTTAACAAAAAATTGCCCTATTAATGGAAAATTTTTTCTTTAAGGTTTACATTGCTGAAATTTCAGCTGCTAGGATACGTGGTACTCTGGGGTCTGTCACCAATTTGGCCATCACCGTTGGTCTTATACTAGCCTATGTAGCGGGTGTCTTTTGTCACTGGAGATGGCTAGCTTTTATAGGTGCAATTCCTCCCACGCTGCAAGTCATTCTTATGTTTCCTGTGCCGGAGACTCCTCGCTGGTTGCTGGGAAAGGGCCGTAGAAGTAAAGCCCTAGAATCCTTGTTGTGGTTAAGAGGTCCTGATGCAGACATCGAAGAAGAATGTGTCACCATCAGAGAGACCATAGGTGAGCTTCTTGTAAAACAAACACAGAGGAATTTGAAAGTTATTGTATTTAGCGACGCCTTTAGCTCAGAATTTGAATTTGGTTAATGAATGAACTGCTTCACTTTTCCTATTAATATATCTCTCACTGTCATAAGTTTGTCGGGCCGATGAAGCTTGATTTAGAGTTGGGAAAGGTTCACAGAGATCTGGTGCGTCTATACATATGAAAAAAAGATAACCTTTCTTATTTTTTTTTTGAGACAGATCGTCATGAGAAATTTCATCTAAGGGAATTATTATCGCCAGAGATCGCTAAGCCTCTTGCAATCAGTGTCGGGTTGATGGCGTTCCAGATGCTCTCTGGAGTCGACGTAGTGGAGTTCAACGCTGCAGGCATTTTTGCAACTGCAGGCTTTTCAAATGGAAAGCTTGCAGCTATTACTGTCGGCTTGGTACAGTTCGTGGCTGCTGGTTTGGGATGTGTCTTAATGGACAAAGTAGGACGTAGAATTCTCCTATGGCCCGCTGCACTTGGTATGTGTGTGTCTCTTGTAACCCTAGGTGTGTACTTCCTGATCTACATTCCTCCGAAAGATGGTGGCTCAACGTCTGACACTGTTTCCATGCTCAGCTCTATCAGCCACTCGGTGCCAGCTAAAGACATTTCTTGGTTGTCAATCTTGTGCATTGTTCTATTCAACCTGATGTTCTCCCTTGCATGGGGACCCGTAGCATGGCTTGTGATGGCGGAAATAAACCCCCTGCGTGTTCGTGGCTTTGCCTGCAGCTTAGCAGCTTTGACAAACTGGTCAATGGCGTTTGTTGTCACTTATACATATAATTCCATGGTTAATGCTCTCACCATCCAAGGAACCTATTGGGTTTATGCAGGCATTTCCTTCCTAGGTTTCCTTTTCGTTTACTTCCTTTTGCCCGAGACAAAAGGCAAAACACTGGAGGAAATAGAGGCCATCTTTAATAAAGATAAGCACAACTACGAAAGGATTGACTAAGCATTTGATACTAATTTGATATCTATATTAATATCGTACGGACAATGTTACTTTTAAATTTTTGTTTCCAAAGAGAGTTGAGAAATATTATATTTGATTTGCAAAATATGAAAATGGTGATAAGTTTGCTCCTAAAACTACGTACAACAAGTTATTTGACTCGGTAAGAGATTGATGATACAGTAAATTATATGTTTGCACTTCGAAAATATAAAATCCCTTTCAACTTAAGATAAGATAATCATCAGACGAGTTGAGGTTGAAAATATAGAACTGCCGCGTTGATGAGGCACTTAACTGTACTGAACTTGCAAACACGAGATTTGTGATCGTAAAAAGAACAGAAATTAAATTGCATTTTTGTTTATATAATTGCCACATAGCGAGCAAGGAGAGAATTTCTAAATAAATTAAGCATATCTTGTGGCCGTTGCGCTAACCATTCTGGATGTCTATTGGGTTTATAGCAGGGTTTTGCAATTCTTCTAAAGCAGACGATGAATATCCCCAACAGTAACCACAACTGAGAGAGGCCAGAGCAACTGGCATAGCAGCTAAGACAGATCTCCCGAGTCTGCTTTTCTCTTTGGGCTCATTTAAGTGAACTGACTGCCAGTGGAAATTTTTGATTTGCAATTCTGCCATTTGAGATAACGTCTGACTATAAAACTAGTTTAACTTCAGCAAACCGTATAAATGATCGGCAACGAATGCTTAAAATGTCGTCGTTTTTTGTAACAACGCCAGAGTGTATCAAATAAGTTAAGTCTGTAGTCAAAGTCCAAACTCGCTCTTGTAACGTGATTATTATTTGTTCACCTCTCGTTGGTCTAAAACAATAAAGCAATTTTAAACCTTAACAGTAGTGCGCATGCATTTTCTCCTTACCGTAGTCTATACACTCCGTAGGGAACTGGAAAGGAGAATGTGTTTTACGATCAAAAGTATTAAGACAAATGTGTTACTGCTTTGGTTTTGCCAACGTACGCAGTTCGTTTTGTGATTGGAAAGTTTCTAGTTTTCGTGAAAAAACATCTGAAGCGTAAACCTTTCTGCCAAAAACATCTAGAATTTAGGACGAAACAAATAAGAAAAAGGCTGAAGAATATTTCAATTTGGCCGAGGTAAACGCGAACTTTAAATTCAGAATATTAGTCTGCCTTTGCAATCATTAAAGTAACGCGTATAAAAAGTTTGCGGGCTCGGAGCATAGTTTTGGTATTTTGCAAGTTGTTCTTTGATAAGCAATTTCACTCTTAACTTTTGTTTTATTTTATAATCTTATATCGCAACTCTTAAAAAAATCCGAGTTTGTTGAATTGTGACGGAGAAAAAGAAGAAAAAATTATAGATTGGAAGCCGAGCAATTTTTATATCTTTCGCTAATTGGGTAAGTTTATTTCAAAACATGAGTTGATTTGCTTTTTGCCTTCGTCATCCACTCGAGTGTATACAAATGATAGCCTCCATTTGGTGCAAAATTATGCATCGATACATGTTTGCGGGCGTTTTTTGTTCCAAAATGCGAACAGTTTTCCTAGAACGAAGCTCAAGGAAAACTGTGGTGAATAATAAACAAGCTTAGAAACCATAGTGTTCCGTCGGAAGATTGACCAACCAGATTATGCGTATCATGTACAATTATGTCACAACAAAATTCAACTGCACTTCATTGAATGGAAAACTCTAAGCGAAAGATGATTACCGTAACGACGACGAGAAGTCCTCATCTTTCATCGTAGCTATAAAGTGTGATGATATTTCCTTGCGGTAAAAAACGCCACCAGCCGCGATTACAGACTGAAGGGAAATGTAAACTTAATAAAAGACAAAGTCCATTTTTTTCACTTGTTTTATTCAAAACATCTTTTATTAGAGCCATTCTTATTGTTGCTATCTTTATTGTCTCCAGATATAATTTTATTGCTAGTCCAACTGAGCAGTGGCTCTTCCTTTGAGATTGCCACTCAACTGAATTTTCTCGTATACTCACAGCAAAGTCTAATGCTATTGTTTACCAAGCTGAGCCGTCATCCTGGCGTATCCACTGCATTTGTACACAAACCGACTCATTAGATTAGATATGTAATACTAAAACAGCGGAAAGCGTTGAAAACGCACTCTGATTGGCTACTTAAAATCCGAATATCCTTTGCTATTCTACTCGAAGCAACGCGCGCGCGATTTGCGCCCGAAAATATTGTAACCGTTGCGGGAATAAATTAGTTAAAATAACCTTTTCGTGCTATATCATCTCACTGCTTTAGTATACACTAAAATAATTATTTACCTCAGTGTCGGGGGCTAATTGTTGATATTTACCTCGTTGCTTCCTGGCTTGGTAAATATCCACCACCAGCCAGTGACACTGAGGTGAATAGCTGCCAATCAATGTATACTTTCGTATGTTTGTTTAACCGGTCTGTCGAAGAGATCTTCAATCTCTTCTAAGGTTTTACCCTTTGTCTCGGGCAGAAGGAGATAAACAAACAAGAAGCCTAGCATACAAAAACCAGCGTAAGCCCAATAAACACCCTGGATAGTAAACGCAGCGGCCATAGAGTGATAAGTTTTGGTAACAATAAACTGCGTAACTCCGAACACCGTGGTCGCAAAACTGCAAGCAAATCCACGTGCGCGGAGAGGAAATATTTCTGAAATTAAAACCCACGGAAGTGGCCCCCACGCCAGGGAAAACATCAAATTGAAAAGAAAAATAGAAGAGACTGGCAGCCAGGAAATCTCTTCGGCCGGTGGACTGGTGGAACCAGATGAAGTGTCTGCGTCTGTTGCGAAGCCTCCATCAAGTGCAGGGATAAAGATGGCAAAGAACACGCCCAGTGTTATTAGGGACAAGGACATTACGAGAGCAGAGGTCAACAGAAGCTTTCGTCTTCCTACTTTGTCCACAAGGAAACACGACAAAATATTACCGATAAGTTGAGAAATACCCACAGATATTGCGACGAGCTTCTCATTTGCGATGCCCACAATTTTGAATAAATTTGCCGCATTGAAGAGTATTGCATCTGTTCCAGAGAATTCCATAAACATAAAAATCCCGACGCTAATGATTAAGGGCTTTGCTATTGCGGGCGTTCCAATATCTGTACACTTTAGCCTCCCTTGACGATCTGAAAAAAAAAGAAGAAAAAAAGCCTTGAACTTCTTGTGACTTAAAAAAAGAGAAAAAGTAAATTAAATTGTTTTTTGATCGTTGACCGGACGCTCAACGACATTTTGCTAGTGAAAAATTGATTTTTTCATGGGATTAAAGCGCTTGTCTATAATTCTTTTGCATAATTATAACAAACCTCTTTTTTTAATTTCATCCTGTCTATATTAATTGTTCTTGTGAAATTTTATTGGTCTTTGAAAAATTTACCCATGCTTTTCTACTCAGTTGCACTCGAAATCATATGATAACCTGTACCAGGAGCCTGCTGCCTGTACCAATATCTACGTTAATAGAAAGTAAAAGAGTAAACATGAAATTAAAGTGAAATTAGAAATAACGCCTGAAAAAAAATTGGACAGACTCTTCTCCATCATAATTGACGCACAGTTTATGTGTTCTCGAAGCAGACTCAATCTCAGTTTGGAGGCGTTAATTCATTCTATCGGTCCACAACGGATTGGAGAGTGGAAACGAAACTGGTGAAACGGCCAGTCCTAAAATTCCAACAATTTTAATTGGAGGTCAATTCAGTTCGTTGGCAAGTTGCACCTTTATAAAATTTCGTCCTATGTCACAACGAGTTAATGCCCCCCTCCCCCTCTTTCCTCGACTTCACTCGTCGTCTTTTCTTTGCCTATAAAAAATGAACCTCTTGAGGGGTGATGAATTAGGTTGTTACCTAAGGTGTCTTTAATGTTGGAACACTCCTCCTTTATGTTCGCTTCTGGACCTCGTAACCACAATAGGACTTCCAGCGCTTCATCCGTTCGGTTCTTTCCCAGTAACCAGCGAGGGGACTGTGGCATGGGAATCATCAGAATAAGGACCAGCGTTGGAGGAATTGCACCAATAAAAGCCAGCCACCTCCAATGACACAGGACGCCCGTTGCCAGGCATATCAACACGCCTAATGTGAAACTCAGGCTCCTGAGGCTAGCTAACACTCCACGCACTCGGGCGGCTGCAATCTCGGCAATGTACACCTAACGTGGGACATATACAGCTCTTTCACAAAGGCAACTTAAAAATGAACTACTTTTTATTTTACAACGCTGATGAAAGAAAGAAAAAAGAAGATAACTGTTTGACGATGATCAAGATTAACAGAATCCGCAAAAAGGTTAGCCAGTTCAGGTGAAGTCTGTATTCGAGCTTAATAGCCTATGCAACCGAAGCTTATCCCGGTGAAGCGACTAGGAGTTTTACTACTCCTCCCTGGTTGGGATACCAGTCTATGGCAATTTTACTCCCACCTTTTTTTACTGGGCTTTCCTGACAATAAGCCATTTCTGGAGCTCCTGGCTATTTTCGATACGTTAACATTCTAACATCATCGGCTCCGATGCTATGAGGGAAAAAACAAACGAAATCAATCATTCATCCCTCAACCTCGATGGGATTTCTTTTGCTTTATTTCCCCAAGCCTCGAGGCCAAGTTTGAATTTTAATATATCGAAAATGGCCAATTCGCCGTTACCCTTTTATACTTCTGAGTTTTTCGCCCAAGAACACAACACAATGACCAGGCCAGGTGTCAAACCCAGACCTTCAGACTTTGACCCCGGCCAGTTTTTCTCACTAGGCAAAGAAAGTCTTCAAAAACTCATCATCTCTGTTTCTATCTTTCCTTTCTTTTCAATACGAATGCGGTGGCTTGACAGTTAATACTCTGAAATCCGGTCGAAAGGTTTTTTTTAGAAAACTGGGCGGGACATACACTGTGTCTTGTTGAAGGTCAGTGACTTCAGTCAGTATACTATGTACTGCCTCTCTCCATACGAGAGTATAAATGGGCACCTATCAACTGTCAGGGAAGCTTAAAGAATTTATTGGGGTAACCTGCTAGGGACAAGCGTCCCATCCAGGGTGAATGACTAAACCTTTGTTTGCTTCATGCTACGGAAACCAGATAAACTTCGACAGTGTGGGACTGTTGGCCAGAGCGCAGACTTAACCTCATCCTTTTTTCATGAACGACATGCAACGAAGGGTCGTCAATACTCACTGGAGCAGTAAAGGAGACAGCGCCACACGCCACACCTGTGATGAATCTACCAGCGTAAAGTATGGCAACACTCTGGGCATAACTGATAAGGAGCCATCCTAGGACGAAAGGTACGGAGCACATCATCGTGGTGCCCTTTCGACCAAACTTTTCAATCGCCCATCCACCGATCAGACACCCAATAATCAGTCCAAAAGCAATCAAGGACTGTAAATAAGGATCAAGAACCTTTATCATCTAACAATCTCAAGGTGCCTTTTAGTAAAAGCCTAACGAATTACACTCAAGTGCTTCGATTGTGTTTATCGACTAATTCACACTTATCACACTTTTATTTTTTATTTTCTGACGTATTTACAAGACATTCCTTTGACCCGCAAATAACAAATGCAAATCGAGGCGGGTCTATTTTTTAAATTTTTAAATTTTTTCTTTACTAACTTAATTTAATTACACTGGAAATAAAACGGAAATGAAGAAATCTAACATAAAAGGACAAAAAGAAACACAAGAAAAGAAAAAAAAAAAGAAAAGGAAAATGGCATGTTCATTGTAAAGGAGAAAAAGTCCTAGAGTTTCGACTTTTACCAAAAATATTGTAGAACTGGTTTCTACTGTTATCTTTCGACAACAATAGCAGTGATGGAAAAGCACGCTTAAAACGGCAGAAATCAACAGAAACTACAAAGGATACATAGGATGGGAGTAACTTTTATTGATTTTACGTGTAAAATGTTCATATTTCGAAATATTTATCGTTGCAAATCGACCATATTTCGTTTCCCATACTATTCCTTCTAATGTGTTCAAATTCTCAACGGTTCCTCTCGTAACTTAACACCGAGTCACACAACAAGCGTCACGCCTTCGAGGCGTAACGCTTTCATGATTAACCTTGTTTATCGTTTGCTTTTTCTCGAGACGTGAGCTTGGGTCGCCTGTGACCTAATAAGCATGTGGTCTCTACCACTAAGTAATAACTCTCTACCGAAATACATGTATGCTATGAGCATTTAAGTAAGAATTAGACACGCGCCTCGTGTTCCATTTTTAGATCCCTAATTTTGCCAACTGGAAGCTAAAGGACAGTTACTAAAAGCATGGAATGACCTAAATCCACCTAAAACCACCTACAACCACCTGAAACCACCTACAGCCACCTTCAGAATACTATTTTTTATCATTTTGGACGTTTTTTTTGACAATTTTGTTGACAAATGTAAATTCACACGGGAAATGTTGTCCTGTCTCGCGGGTTCCCATCGATAGCGAAAACTAATACCCCTGAAAATTAAGTCACTGTCTGCGACATTTGCCCATCCGATGGCTCGCATAACCAAGGAAAAACACAAAGAAAATTGTTTTCACAGGAGCAGCACCAAGAGCCTTAAGACTTTTCGAGTAATACTTAAGCTACGTTTTCGAGGTCAGCTTTTTTCAACGTCTGACAGAGGTAAACGGGACACCAAGCGGGTAGTCAGAAATTTGACGAGGTTGCGTAATATAACATCAGGGGTGATTTATCTCAGGGAAATCCGAGCAATCCTAACCATCTGAAATTGCTTCAAATCGGGCTGCGGAGCGTGTGTACAACAAAGGAAACAAACCGTTTTACAATAAGTTGGTATTATTCAGAGAAAAAAATTAAATTGACCGAGAATAAGAAACCACGAAAAAAACAGTGACATTTGAAACGTTGTGTGATAAACAAAACTTGCAAATATCGCGAGATGCATGTAGCTTATAATTCCGAAAAATACCGCATCCTTACGAGTTCCAAATGCGAAATAGATCAAGTCAATTAGCTATCGGAACTTACGACACGCTGGCATTAACTTGTTCCGATTTTAGTCATTGGCTTACCCTGTGTGCCAGAGGCTTTTCGGTCAGTTTTTATTTTGATCCGCGCGAAACGCGAAAAGCCTCCGAAACGGAGCGTTTTTCCTTTGATGGAAGGCGGCCGCTGACCAGTTAATGATTCAAATGGATCGCAGGGCTCAAGTATTTTTAGAAATTATTATTATTGGTTGTAGGTGGCTTTAGGTGGTTTTAGGTGGTTTTAGGTGGTTTTAGGTGGTTGTAGGTGGTTTCAGGTGGTTGTAGGTCATTCCATGTCTTAGTGCTTACGAAAGGTGAAGATAAATTAATGTCCGTGCGCTGCAAATACGTGAAATACACTATAACGGTCTTTTAAGTTACAACATCAGATGATTGTCAAATGATATTCATAGCCTTGCCGTGTCTGTACTTGTACAGAATTAGAATAAGGTGAAGCGTTTTTTATGTTCAAAGAGGGACATATTTGACTGATTCAACGGCTCAACTTACAAAATATAAGAGTTTCTTCAATTCATCGAGATAAAAAATCAAACTTACCGAGAACCAGGATGCTTGTTCAGCCGTTAGGCTGATGTTGAAGGAGGTATTATCATTTTGTAAATCCTCCAAAGCTGACGATGAATATCCCAGACAGTAACCAAAGCTGAGGGAGGCAAGAGCTGCAGGGAAAGTGGCAAGGACCGCTTTTTCGACTCTGTCTTGATCTTTCGGTTCATCAAATTGAAAAGATTCCAAGTGGGAGTTTTCGATTTGTAACTCTGCCATTTGAGATAATGGTGGTTATGACATCAGCTAAGTTATGGCAAACTGGATGAATGTCTGACAACAAAATCTTAAGTTATGCGGGTATTAGGGGCCAATCCGTGGGGTTCGATCCCCGGGCAACCCACCGGGAACCCCTTGGTATGCATGGAGATTGTTCCAATCTACGTACGTTCTTGAGAAAACCTACCTGAGGACCAACATACGGGATTTGCCTAAGGTCCAGCGCCACGATGGCCGGCGGTAATACATCTTAACGCCAAGAAACGCGCACTCCTTGTTCTGTTGGATGTTGATGTCTTATATGTCTCTGAGGTGTTTGTTACAATTGTACTACTGTACTGTACCACCGGATGGGTTTTAATTAAATCATCTCAAGCCTGAGAGTACTTTAAATAGTGTGCTCGCCTATAGGGAAGACGTCTTATTAGGGTGAGTTAACTTTAGGAAGCTCGGGATCGTTTTTTCCACCGGCCATGTTTGATTTAAAAATAGAGGCAGCGGCACCCCAGAGACTGGGGTTAGAACTGTCTTGACAAATGCCCCTGGGTCACCTGGGTCGACTCCAAGGGGTGGCCCCTGGTTCCCTCATCAACTATACTCTACTGTAAATAAGAAGCTATGTTTGTATCTAGAGGCCAAATTCGCTTAAGACCTGTAACAATGAGTTGTTAAAAAGCGAGGGCAAGCTCGCTTGTGTTCCTAACAGTAAGCTGTTAACCTCTCGTCCGTTATTGCGCAACTTTCAGTTGAACGCTGATGCTGGATTAATTTACTTTTTGTCACGTGACTGTCCAAAGAACTCGAACCATCCTATCGACCAAACAGATTCATAACTAAAGCCAATCGCGACCTAACCCTTCAATTCCCAAGATCTGATTCATAATTCTCCCTTCTAGCTTCTACACATTTCCTTGTAATTTAGTTAAGAGAATTTGATGTTAGATCAAGATAACAATTTCTACCTGATAAGTTTGAGTATTCTCAACACCTGTTTGCTGGACAAAGTATGGATATTATTGGGAGAAGTTCCATGTTTATCACTTATGGGAGTTAAAGGGTTAAAGACCCGTTTTCACGCGCCCTAAGCAGTTTGCTTGCTTTTACTTTTATAATAATAATAATAATAATAATAATAATAGTAATAATAAATGTCTTTATTGCTCATTAGATAAAAATACTTATCTAATGTTACAGGATAAAAAGTTTCAAGGTTCAGCCAAAACTTATAATAGAATAAAAAGAAAAAAAAAGATCAAACTAGATACAATATATCTGGCATAAAATATCATAAAAGGTTGCATTTAAAAATTAATCTATTTACAAATGTGTTCTTATAACTCCTCTAGAGTTTTACCCTTAGTCTCGGGCAAAAGTATGTAAACAAAAACGAAGCCGATGAAGCAAAAGCCAGCATACAACCAATAAACACCTTGGATAGAAAGTGCCTCAGTAGCTTTTACGTCTAAGGTTGTAGGTTAAATTGTTTTTATGACTTTTTTATTTATGACTCATTGGTGCCCTATTTTAAAGATAATTTTCTTTCTTCTTTACTTTTTTCAAATTACTTTGATTTTTGGTTTCATGACACTCAATCGAAAAGCGTTCTACATAGGCAATTAAACCTTGGACCAGATCCGAGACACCAGCATGACAACCGATGCAGGAATCAAACAAAGAATGTATGATTCCACTCGATTTATTACTTCAATAAAAGAAGGAACATTCTGAAATTTTAGCCTCCTGTCCAGTAGAATCCACAGAACAAAAAACAGTACACCAGAATTTAAATAGTATGATAAAAACATGGAGAAATTCTATAACATTATTTTCATTTTATGGAAGAAAATTTGCAATTTGCTCCCATAAAATTATTTAACCGTTCTTGATTAGTTTCTTCATAAGTAATATTGTTATTACTCAGCGTGTCTATGGAGCGAGTGACGCCTATTGCGTGTGTCGCGATGACATTACTTGGGGCTAATATCGATCAAATACAGCGGTTCCATTCCAAATTAACTCTCAGGGAATCCGTTCGTATTGGTTTTTTTCCTGCTCAAAAATAGCCTCAATCTCCTCTAGAGTTTTACCCTTAGTCTCGGGCAAAATTAAGTAAACAAAAACGAAGCCGATGAAGCAAAAGCCAGCATACAACCAATAAACACCTTGGATAGAAAGTGCCTCAGTTAAGTAACGATATGTCTTTGTGACTGTAAACAGTGTTGCCCAAAATACTATGGAAGCAAAACTGCATGCGAGGCCACGGACCCGAAGGGGAAATATTTCAGAGATTACGAGCCACGGCATCGGTCCCCACGCAAAGGAGAATGTCAGTCCGAGTACAACAACACTAAGGATTGAGAGCCAGGAGATCTTATCGGCAGGTACAGAGTGGCTGATAAAACCGTGTATTTGGGAAGCTGTATCATTACCCATGGTATGATCATTCGGAGGAATGTAGACCTGAAAGTACATCCCCAGTGCCAAAAGTGACATGGTCATTCCAAAAGAAGCAGTCAGGAGGAGAACTCGACGGCCAACCCGGTCGACGAGAAAACATGCTGCAGTTTTACCAATAAGCTGGGCGAAGACAATAATAAAGGAGACGAGCTTTTCGTCTGAGAATCCCGCTATTTTGAAAATAGCTGCAGCATTAAAGAGCACTGAATTGAATCCAGATAATTGTTGTAACATCACCAGGCCAACACTGATAATTAACGGCTTGACCATTGCTGATGTCTTCAAATCTGCCAAATTAAGCTTCTCGTGACGATCTGTTAAAAAAAAAATCTATGATCACCATACAGTGTAACTAGATCACCTTGTTAAGAAGCCCTCTACAGGACCATGCTGGGTACTTTATCTCTAGGGCAAGTACGCCCTCCTAAGGTTGGTACTACTCTACATTGGGTACATAGGAATATGACCGAAAACAGGCGTACATTAAGAGCATGATAGTCGTAAATTGGTAAAGTTTTTTTAAAGAATACGGGAAAGAGTGTGTGAAATTTGTCTTTTCAATTGCAATTAAGGTATTGAACACATTTTCCAGGGTGTTACAACGTGGTGAAGCAACACGGGAAGTTGACAGAACTCGAGAAAAGCTTTAGGCCAGTGATTGGCAACCACAAATGAAACCAGAAATGTACCAAATTAAGCTTAAAGTAAACCAGAAGGCATTTTTTTCAGCTAAATATTCTAGAAAATTTTAATAAGATGTGACTTCAGCTCTGATCCCAATTTGACTCAGTGCGTTCCACTGTCTTTGTTACAAAGTGTGAGGGATTTGCAAATCAAGGTCAACTTTAAGAACCCAGACATGAAAACGGGTATCAAAAATGGCTTGCTTTGGTTTGTAAAATTTCATTATTCTGAGAACTAGGTTGAATGAATACCTTTGGAGAAGGTTGAAACGGTTTTCTCCCTTCCCGTATGAAAGTTGTAACATATTGTCACGATATTGAAATGAAAGATATTCTAAACTGAAACAAAACCGGTACATATCGTGGTTTTCCTCAATGTTTTGATAGCTTCTCGTCGTCTTCCATCAATCCCATAGATGTGCAACACTTTTTCCAGAACAAATTCGGGTCCAAAATACTACGTGTTACCCACCCATTAATTTTCGCGCGATTCTATTGGCTCTTTACGTCATGTGGTGCAAAATCACCGGACTGTTATCACGCAACAACCCCCGCTGCGTCAAATTTTTTCAACTAATATTCCCGTCGAAGAAGAACAAGAACAAGAAGCCAACGGGGATAAGCCAGCTCAAGAGTTTCTCTTTTTTTGTCCTAGTCACTTTATGTGGAAGAAAAATGAACCCGTTTTATAGAGTACAGTGATAGTGACATTACAAAGATGATCCTCTGAGCTGCTGTGGAAAGTACAAAGAATTCAACTAAATTTCCTCTCAGCGCTCGAAATGAAAAGCAATGCGAGGGAACTAAATCAGCCGACACAAGAGCCCCCTGAAGGAGTTTATTTAGTAATTAGAAACTGGTCTGTTGTCTCACCTAGATTAGCCTTAACGGTAGAGCATTCTCCTTGAACATCAGCTTCAGGACCTCGCAACCATGACAAGGAATCTAAAGCCTCGTCTTCGAAATTCTTTCCCAGCAGCCAGCGAGGGGAATCTGGTAATGGGATCATCAAAATGAGGAGCAGTGCCGGTGGAACTGCGCCTATAAAAGCTAGCCATCTCCAGTGAAACAGGATACCCATTACGAAGGCTAATAAAGCACCTAATGTTAAAGCTGGTCCTCTAACGGAGCCTAATACACCACGCACGCGTGCGGCAGCAATCTCCGCAATGTACACCTAGGGAAAGAGAAATGTAATGAGCGATATTCGGATGACTCTTAGATATTGTGTGAATGTATTTCTAGTTAGTCTTGCAGTTTTGTTAAGCGAGATGACGTCGAGGTCTGTAAAAACTGCTAGCAAATTAGCTAGAATCCCTAATCAAACAAATGTTGCAAATGATAAAAAACAAAAACAAAAACAAAAACAAAAACAAAAACAAAAAAAAACAAAACAAAACACTTACCGGACTAGTGCAGGAGATTACTCCACATCCAATTCCTGTTATGATCCGTCCGGCGTAAAGCATTTCAATATCCGTAGCGTAGCTAATGAGAAGCCATCCCAGAACGAATGGTATTGCGCACAACATGGTGGCAAACTTCCGACCAAACCTGTCCATCGCCGGACCACCGACAGAACATCCAAAAATAGCACCAATCGCAATTAACGACTATAAGTTAAAATAAAGGAAAGAGCTTAAAATCCAGGCAGAGCTGAGAGGATTAAACCAGGGTTATAGAGTCTAAATTTGCGTTTTAGAGAGACACTTCGACTTCAGATTCTCCAGACCCTTCTCTTTACGTCTCATTGTTGCATAATCAACAACCAAATTCTAACATAATGCTAGCTGTAGAGTATATTAGAATGCGGGAAAGCCAAAGTCATGTTTCGCCCCAAATTGTTCTACAAGATCGAAGGCTAAACGGTGCCAATAACCGAAAAAAATTCGCTTGCTTTCTCTATCGCTGAAATCAAAGGAGCTTCGCGCAATGAACTTAAATAAGCAATGACAGATCGCTGGAAAACTAGAGAGAGGGAAAATGGCGAACAATAAGACTGACCATTCCCCTCAAACTGTCATCTTTATTTTTGGTTGATTCCGTTCCATTTTCTAGCAGTCCCTCTTAGAAGCCTGGAACTGGGCAACTGATTTAAGCAGTGACCTATTTCGGGGATGTTTGTCGGGGTCAGTCAGTTGATTGTCACGGGATGTGATTTTTCCTCACGTGCTTGTCACGTGCGAGTCTGCTTTGAGATGAAAACGATGAGGTATACTTTATATTTATAGTTATCCCTTTTGATATTTTAGATTAGTTAGCTAGCAGGGTTCTTCGTCTTGTGATAGAGCTGGGCTGAATTTCTAAGTTTTGGCGTGACACGCTAATAAAATGGCGGCCGAAAGTGCTGTCGCGTGGGTTAAAGAGATGACCAATCCGTTAAGATTTCGCAATCTGAATAGTTCTCATATGACGATAAGTACTCATATACATTATTTTTATATAAAAAAAAAACTCGATGAGACATGTTTTTTTTGAGATTTTTGTGGTGGCGTGACAGTGAAAACCAGCAAAAGTTAAATGAATACATTTATTCGAGAAATCTTTTTAAATAAGCAATTCTTAAACTAAGCGACCTACAAAAATTTCGACGGTTATGCTAGGTTCAAGGCAAAATGATGACAATAAAGAAGTGAGTGATGCGTCATCCCTGTTTAGAAATTTGGGTTCCTGCGGTAAAACCCAGTTAGACGAGCTCCAATGGATCCACGCACGTGCCGCGAAGAAATTTTACGGTTTACACTGATGTACACTCAGCGATAAGGAGTTTGCTCGTGCATATCGGTTCTAGTTAAATGATTTGTATAAGCTTGGGCTATTACTGCTGGCTCAAAGATATTTGCAGGGGACTTCTCCGTTTTGAACCCAGTAATAGTCTTAGAAGTATATGCCGGCATAAACAACTTACGTTAGAAAATGACCCAAGATGTACAGCTATTGAAAATGGACCTCTGCCGTAAACTTATCTGCTACCAATCAATAGTGGGATACGCAAACACTGGGGAACTATAGAAAAATGGTTGTTCTAGAAATAGACTGAGAAGTAATCTTATGTAAATATTCAATTTCTCTGTTTTGAAAGTCAAACCAATAGGTTAATTGTTTTAGGATCATTGTAAATAGCTTACGTTCTAGCTTTTCAAGCATTTAAATGAAACGAGAAATATTATTTTTGAAAAAATGTTTACGGGATGCTATTTTTGCCTTTTTCATCCGTATATGCTTCAACACGACCACAAAAGCTGTTACGTAATAGTGCAGCGCGCAATGTTAAAAGCGATCAAGAAAGGTAAGGTAGGTGAATTTAGCAATCAAGCCAAGTAGCTTGAGAATGAGGCGAACAAAATACCCTTAGCCTGCTATTTGAGTTTTACTAAGTTTTGGAAAAGCTAAAAAGGAGAACTAAAGACAAAGGTTCTCGTAACACGAAAAGTGACTGAAAGATTCTGGCACGTGCGTGACAAAAAGCAATCCACTGGAAATTTACACTTAACGATGCAAACGAAACATCTACTATTTGCTCCCATAGGCGCTGTTAACCATTATTGCTGATCATTGTAGCTGTATCCAGTTATCTCAATATGTGCATTTCTGTTGAAGAGTAGAAAAAACAATCGAAAACTTACTGAAAACCAAGATCCCTGTTCGCTGGATAATTGGACATCGTTCGGTTTATCGGCGTTTTGTAAATCCTCCAGTGCAGGCGATGAGTATCCCATACAAAACCCGAAGCTGAGAGGACCGAGGGCTGCGATGAAAGTTGCAAGAATTGTTCGGCCAACTCTGTCTTTCTCAGCGTGTCCATGGTACTGACAAGAACTCTGACGGTTGTATTTGATGAGAACGTCGGTCATTTCGAATAATTCGTTTTCGTTCAGCTGCTTGGTGTTTGTTAGACAAGAACCTTCTACCTGTTAAGGTTCGAAATTTAATAGGTGTGTGTACGAAGTGGATCCCATCCGAGGTTAAATACTCCCAGGATAACACGAACTGGACGACCTATTATGTAACTCGATTGCATAACAAGTCACTCTGTGTTTTCTTACATGAAGAAATTGGTAGATTGATGTTATGCTTAGTCACGACCCCCTACCAATAGCGTTCTCTAGTGTAGGGTCAATAAACAGCCGATTTTCGGGAAATGAACTCATAAAAAGAACGCGAGCCTTGCTTTAAGTGGTGAAAATCAAGTATAATCTTTCACTGGTGTCCAAAACAGAGCCTTCCTCGCGGACAAAGCTTCTTTCGCGCGTGCGTTGCGTGACATCCTGGCCAAGAATCGACTGTCAATCCCTCATACACTTTATTTGTGACATGATGTCATCGTTTCTTTTTTTAAATATCCACCTTCACGAGTGCGACGAATTGTTTAATATTATTTTTTTCCTACCACCCCCTATGGAGAAAAGTGTGAGAAAGGTGCCCTTTCTGGAACGTTTTCCCATGCGAATCTCCTATTGAGACCAAATCGGAAAAACAAAACCGTGAAACAGGAACTTGAGGAACTTTGTACAGAAGAGAATTTGAACCCGGAATTTTGGGCTTTCAGTCGTGTAGGAGCACAGGCAGCCCAAGCTCACGTCTCGAGAAAAAGCCAACGATTAATTCATGAACGCGTCACGCGTTGTGTGACTCGGTGCTAAGTTACGAGAGGAACCGTTGAAAATTTGAACACGTTATAAGGAATAGTATGGGGAACAAAATATGGTCGATTTACAACGATAAATATTTCGAAATATGAATATTTTAAACGCAAAATCAATAACACTTACTCACATCCTGTGTGTTCGTTGTAGTTTCTGGCGATTTCTGTCGTTTCAAGTTTGCTTTACCATCACTTATTTCTTTTCTAAAATATTCATATTTTCAACGGTTCTTCTCGTAACTTAACACCGAGTCACACAACATGTGACGCGTTCATGAATAAATCGTTGGCTTTTTCTCAAGACGTGAGCTAGATTCTCTTTGAAATCTGATGTTCAACGATAGTGAATAAATTAAATTTTTCTGTCACGCAACATCTTACTTTGGCGGGTTGTTACCGAAAAGGAAGCAAAAAAAAAAAAAAAAAAAAAAACAATCCGAGCATTTGAAGTATAGGCGAATTTCCATAACTCGAACCTTCTAGGGAAATTAAGAAAGGTTCGAGTCATCCGTGTTTAAGTTCTTTGTAGTGTAAAACAAAGAACCGGAAATGAGGGAAGAACGGTGTTCACTGTTTTTTCCTATTTTCAAAGTTTATATTTTAATCCAATTTGATTAGAGAGAAGTCGAGTGGAAAAAAAACACTAAGCCACTGCAGAAATATCACAACGTTACGTGAGTGATTTGGTCTGCAGTTTATTTTTTTGTTTTGTTTAGTCACGTTTTGACAGACGTGGTTCGACTTTGTACGAGTCACCAGACGTGGGTAAAAATATACAAGGAATGAAGGAAAGGGAAATGGAAATTGCTTCGAGTTAGAGGGAGATTTGAGATATCGAGGGTTCGAATTATCGAGTGTAATACTGCAGCAAAAGTACACGTATGGGGGAAATCTAGGGGAAACCGAGTTTGGTTGGAGTTAGCGCGAGGTTTGAGTTAGCGAGGGTTCGAGTCATGATCGGGAATCGACCGCAAGTCCAACAGTCTCCCTAGCTTATATCTCTCTTTATTCTCACTGCACATCCTCTTGGCGGTGTGTTCATGTTACAAGGAGGAATTATTTATTACTGAGCCATTACTAGGAGCTCGTATGATACTGATGGGTGACAAAGGGGTAAGTTCTGTAGAGTACAACGATTGAGATCAAAGGTTAAAGAAAGACGTGACTCAACAAATAGATTACTGCTTAGTTTGATAAGTGAGAGGTGGAAACCAACAGTGCAGTTGTGTGTGAAGTGTTGGAGATGAAGTTCTGAGTATGGCTGCGTCGAGCCATACAAGGAAATTTTAATTGACCCTACCGACAAGAAGGAAAAAGTCTTCTAGCCCCCGGTTCTCGATTTCCTCAGCGCTAGCTATTTGGTTTGTCGCGCAAGAAACATTTAAATTATATTTTGGGAAGAGCGCTGCGTTAACTACGTGATTCAAGCAGAAAGAGGTGGCAGGCATATAACGTAAAACACGCGCGTCTTTATTTCAAATCACATTCCTTCATTAGAATTCCTTGATCATTGTGCAAGAATATCTCACTTAAGAATATTGAATGACTTTGGCTCACCTGTGATAACTTAAGTCCGATACATCAGACTTTGTCAGTATAAGAAATGTTCAAATTCATAAATTTTACACAGTATAAATAGCCAACAATAGCAGTCTTTCAAGCCGCCAGAAATTTGCTTTTGGGATAGCTATAGACAATATGCGCTTCCTTAGGACTCTTTACTGATTTTCAGGAAAATATGTAAGTTGTTGAAGCAAAATGTACACTCTTAACGACGCAAGGGTTTACGAATACAGCACATTTCGGCCAGGTGTCGCAAAACCAAACCTCATTTGAACTTAAAGGTAATGACAAAGACCTCGTACAGGCGCTTTAAGCTCTCATCTCAAGTTGATCGAAAATTAAATTATTGATTTATTCATGAAAGCGTTTTGCGTTGTAACAATTCAGAGAGCGACGTGCTTCGTTAGACGCAGTACAAGGAAAGAAATATCATCGACTGAGAACGCCATATATTATGGAATATGAACATTTCCACCTAAGACGAACAAAATTTCACTGGCTTGGACTTTCTCTGCCACCAATGTCAGGCAAAGTTTACCACAATCCAAAAGCACACTCCAAAGTGAATCTACCGTATTTATCTCACGAGTAAAATGCAAATTGCTTGCATTACTCTAATTTCTAAGTCGACGATCTTTCATTCCTCGAATGTCTTCTGAAGCACTAAAATGTTCAACGTTTCCTCCGCTTAACCAACAGCGAGTTCATTTCCCGTTAAATAACATTATATACACTGACTTATACTAAATTTCCCGTTCAACGTATCAAAATGTATTTCATTTTTTCGATCGTTTCTTTTTTTTTTGCATTATGTTTCGAAGAAGTTGCAATGTCGACCTTTTCACTACCAGAAGTGACCGAAATGAAATTTCACGCCTAGTAAAATCATACATTTTTCAAACAGAAAGTTGACGACGAAAGAGATACATCAATTGAAGAATATTGTTTGATTTAACACTAATCGAAAATTTTAAGAAATATAAGCCAGACACAGTGGAGGACTAGAATTAATATCGAAGGAATGAAATAGTTTAGTATAGTAAGTAAAAGGGACATGAGTCCCCCCTCTAGCATAGCAAATGAAATCTCAAATTTATCACTCGGAAAAATTATCCCCGTGGGGGAGGGGCTACCCTGACGGCTTTCTCCCTTCTGCGATTCTCTGTTTTTTTTAACTAAAATTAGGGGGAGGGGGCCCGGGCCCCTCCCCTAGATCCGCCACTGCCTTAATTCTGGGCGGAAATGAAAACCTGAAGTCGCTTAATTACAGACGTTTATGTGACTGGGAATGGAGCGTGAATCCTCATGTAGCTCCAATTTTTTTCCTAAAATTCTTTGCCGCTATTTTGAAAAGGATCTACTGAATGTCCATGTCCAAATCAAATTAATTTTAACTTTCAAGCAGCTGTCCGTTGCATAGGTTTTATGAAAAGTACCACGTTGATGCTTTGACAGTCAGTATTTTGGTTCTCACACGTAGCCTACAGTTTAGTTTCTGTTACGGAAATTTCGTCCAAATCTTTTCCTTCTTGCTCTTCGCCTTCAAAGTACATTTGAATCTCCTCAAGCGATTTTCCTTTCGTTTCCGGGACATAGAAGTAGACGAAAAGCACAGCGAGAAATGCGAGACTTCCAAAGAACCAGAACGTCCCCGCGATGGTGAGTCCGTCGATGAGCACGTCAAATGAAAGAGTGACAAGGAAGGAGCAAAACCAGTTGAAGAAAGTGGCAATACCACTGGCAACTCCTTTGGCTTTCACGGGGAATATCTCACTCATTATGAGCCAAGTACAGGGACCCCAAGCCATCGCAAATCCAACGATATACACGGCGATGCTTGTTACAGCCACCCACGAAATGTCAGGGCCACCATAGGCTATGTCGGTATCTGGTACGGAATTGATTGTAACGAAGAAGTAGAAACCCATACTGAAGCAGCTGACACACATTCCGACGCCACCGATTAAAAGCAAGAAGCGCCTACCACCGCGATCGATCAAGAGGATGGACACGACAGCAGCGACAAGTTGAATGATACCTATCAAGATCGATACCATGGTACTGTTGTCTTGGAAACCAGCGTTTTCGAAAATCGTGGCACAGTAGAACATGACTGCGTTGATCCCAGTACTTTGTTGGAAGAAGTGGAGGGTCATGCTGATCATAAAAGGCCGGAGAAAACTGGGTTTGGTGAATTCTTTGATTGACATCTTCTCCTTAATATCTGTTGGAATAAATTAGAATTAACTGCTGTCTTTAAACCAATATCAAAGCAACTCTACTGTTTGTAATATGCGATATCTTCACCAAGCACATAGAATTCGTCATGGCGGAAGGCTCTATCAACTTGGCAATTTTACCTTCTTGAATAAAATCTCTTTACTAACATTAATGAAATTAGTCTACTTTTAAGGGAGCAAGCTTTATCCACTCTGTTAAAATTTGAAATGCCTCTTACATGTACCAAGTACAGCACTAAAACATTCTCACTATGGGCAGTTTTCATAAGTAATCTTTCCCCGGAGACTTAATACCTCGGGTTTATAAAACAACTTTGAAGGGGTAAACTTGGATTGCGCCCATGAAGAGTTTTTTCATGCTTTCTCAAGATGAAATGAATTACAGTGTATTGGTAAAATGTACATCACGAAGATAACAAGGTAACTAGATAAAATAATTTTACGTACTCAAACTATCCTTGATTTCGGCAATCTCGTTCTCAATCTCAGCATATTTTCCACGAAGCCATCTTAGAGTCTTATAAGCGCGCTCTTCCTTAAGGTGAGCCAGCAACCAGCGAGCTGTTTCTGGCATAAAGAACATCAAAACAAACATACAGGCAGGAGGTCCCACTCCTGCGATGGCGGACCAACGCCAGGAGAGGGCATGCCCGATTATGTAGGATGACAAGATACCAACGACAATTCCAATTTGGTTGAATGCACCAAATGCACCCCGAAGACGACCTGGGGAAGTCTCGGAAATGTAGTTCTAAGAAGGAAAATATGATGCCGTCAGATATCAATTAGACATAAAACATTGCTGCAAAAATGGATTGAAAATTTAACCCCTGAAGCGCCAAGGGTTTGAATGAGTGAACGAACAGATTTTGAGTCAGTTGAAGAATTGAAGAGATTGATGGATCTTACGGAATGAATGGATGAACGACTGAACTAATGAATAAATCATGATGACTTAATGACTAGGAGTATGATCGCATGAATGGATAAGTAATGGGATAGAGCGGAATTAAATCAGTCATATCCCTTCATAAGTAATAGAAACTCTCAAGACTGTATACAGCTTAACTAGAGAGACAAAAATTCGTCAATGACTGTTTTCACGTTTGCACATATTTACTTACTGGTACTATGAGTGACGCCATGCCCACTCCAAGACCTGAAAGGAATCTTCCAGCATGAAGTAAAACTTCATTTGAGCCAAAACCTATCATCAGCCACCCAGCGCTGAAAGGGAGCGCGGTGATCATTAGCGCCAGCTTACGGCCAAAGAAATCGATTACCCATCCACCAAGGGGACCTCCTATCATGGCACCAATGTTCAAAATAGACTGGTGGTAAAAGTAACACAAAAAATGAATGATATTTCAGTAATGATATCATTTACAAATAGTCTGCAAGGAAGGCTCTCGTGGCAACGAGCCACAAAGAAGGCATGCGAAAATTGGCGCGGCCAGGCAAGGAAAAAGAAAATAAAGAGAAAAATAGAAATTTCTCTGATCACCACAATCTACGTTTGTCGTTCGCTTGCTCTTTCCAGACTGAAAACAGGCAAATTCACCGAAAATCAGTTTTCAAGTGTTCAAGCCGGGAGAATTTGACAACGGTTTCAGACGATCATAAAACAAAGAACTTGAAAAAGGAACCAATCCAATTGAAAAAGAAATTTTGATTCAGTCCATTATTCACCCGATAATATTATAATTTCATGTAATATCTATTCAAAAACATGAATATGTTATCTAACTAACAAGTCACGAGCATAAGATCTCAAGCTGCAAAGTTGAACAAAAGAAAGAATTTCATATCTACGGCTGCAGCTCGGCCAACATCATTAAGTTTGTAAAGAGGCCAAAGAAAATGGTGATAAGTGAAAATCAAAAATTAAACAAACTTGATTGGCTTAGATGTACGTGAATGTAATTCGTGTTTTGAAAAAATTAAGGTAGCAGCGTGATCGAATGTACACGTATCTCTCTCTCCTTAGCAAGACGCATTGGTACATTTCAATAACGTTTATATCTGTACATTCTTTTAGCATACTGGCCTTACTGTTATTATGTAGCAGAATACTGCCATCCGTAAGACAAAACCAAGCTTAAAATCAAAAGTTCTTCATGTAGCTGCAATCCCTTCACACTCCTGAAGTTTCAATGTCTGTGGGCCATGTTTGGCGAGAAAACTTCATAAATTTGTCCAAATAAGTGTTCATTTTCTGTTCTTGTTTTGTTGTGGTCTTTCTAAATAACACGCTCATTTAAGAAATAAGAAATCAAAGGAATCAGAACCAAAATCCACAAAGGATGTTCCAAACTCATTTTTCCTCCTAATTTAAAATGGAATTTTACACCAAAACATCTAGAACAGTATTGAGAACAAATTCCTTATATATCAGTAGGAGTGTTTGGTGCAATTTGATCACCAATTTTAAAATCAACTCCGCCTCGAGCTAATGACCCCAATTTAGTCTGCGAAAACAAATTTTTGGATTTTAGATCGGTTTACTTTTGGTTTTACAATGATATCCTCGATTTTTTTTAAAAATACGTTTCTGGTTACGATCTTTTAAGAAACCAGAGCAAAGGACCAATGCAAATATATACATTTCCGTCTAAGGGAAATGTTCAATAACAAATATAACAGCCTCTTTGATGATTTTGCTTTGCCATCCTCGGAGTTAAGTGGTTAAATGAGAGGGCTCGCCCTTGCGGCAGAAAGTTAAGTGAGCACTGAAATACGGAGTTTTGCGGTCACGTTTTCTTTTTTGGAAATCTGTGTTCTGATATCTATTGGGGCAATTGTTTTAAGGATCATAAAATCAGTTTAGGAAAAGTCATGGAATGGTAAGGCGAATTATAGAAATTGAATTTCTCAAATGCGGAATAATAATACGTGTACTAAGTGATGATATAACCGCTTAAATAGCAGACACATCACGACTGTCATGAGACCGAGAATAAGCGACCTTTTCACCAACATGTTCATTTTGAAATCAATACTAATTCTTTTTTCACACAGCAATCAGATAGGCGATTATTCAGCATTAAAGCTATGATAAATTTTCTTCTTTAAAGAGAGCTAAAGTTCTGATCAAACCGTTTGCTAAGATACAAGTGTTTTCTTTTCCTGTACCTCCCACAAAGTCAAAAATATCATATTAAAAAAAAAAAAAATTATAATTCGTGCACTTTGCATCGTCCATGTAACCTACACAACAGAAACAATTACTTAGAGCTTAGACATTCGACTAAAAAAGACCCCATTGAAAGGGGAATTCGAAAAAACGTCTCCAAGCGCTCACTTATATGAGTTGCCATTCCTGTCTGTATGCTGTTAACAGCGAAATTGAGACGAACACGACAAGGTCGCCTTATGCGGTTTAAAATAAATAAGATAACGAATCTAATATGGCATCTTACCCCAAACAATCTGATCCCGTTTTTGTCAAGTAGGACATCTGTACGATTCGGGTTCCCCAGTTGGGTAACTGCTGCGGACGAATAACCCATACAATATCCAAAACTAAAAGGACCAAACGCCGCGACTGAACAAGCGATCAACACGGCCCATAAGCGTTCCTTACTCTTCCTCTGAGGTGGTTTATCACTTAATTGGTTAATGATGTAGGCGCCTTTAGTCATTTTGTCGCGAGTTCAGGCTTAGTAACGACTATGTTTTCTTTTAACTTTCGCGAACAACCTGTATCGCCGAGAAGTTCGAAGTGATATACTGGACATCGAGAACCACTACCATCACTATACTACACGCCAATTCACGTGATGTCACCCTGACGTTGGAAAACATTGACCCGATGACCTCTGCGTAATAAAAGGATATGCCACACGTGTTATGATAGAGAATTTAATGTATAGGGGCACGTGAAATTTGGCTACTCCTGGTAACCGTTCTATTTAGCTCTTCAAATTTTCTGGTCAGTCTACACATTTTGAATTTTCATCTCACGTGTGACCTATTTGACCCACTTGATTCTTTTGAAAGCGGCAGCTCGCTACACGCGTCTGTGCATAAATTTGGTGTAATATGCACGCGATTAAATCAAATCTTTTTCATCTTGATAGAGAGAAGGAGGGTTTTGGGGAACTCCCACCTCAGCGCAGGACATGAAACTGTAAGAATTTCAGGTTATTTCATAAAATAACACCTTGTCTTGACAAAAAAGGGAATCATATGAAGCGGCTGACCGTCCCACCCTCGCTCCTACATACACTGATTGTATAGTTAGAGTACCCTCTAAAATGGAACCTAAACTAACGACACTTTTATTGAATATCTCTCTTGGTTTTTTTTTTTCGCTTTCGTTTTATTTGCTTGTTTGTCTTTTTTTTTCCTTCTAAGATCAGCGGAATTTTGTTTATATGTATTTGTTTTTGTGTTCCTAATGCCCAACTGATCGATTCATATTTTGAAATGGTTTACTGGTTCACTGGTTTACATATTGTTCAATTCATATCAAGAGATGTAAACTAAAAAATAAAAAAGAAGAGTTTATTGTACCAAGGTGTGAACTATGGGTTTCTCAACGCTATTGTTCATAAAATGACAATGTGCAGTGTGGACACATTTGCCGAAAGTCGAAAGTTTGCTTGCAAATCATTTGTCAGAGATGGCCAAGGGCTGGTTTGAGGCGATCGTGTAGGGTTTTGAAATAGTATTTATGTGGAATTTGAAACACATGAAGTATACATTTGTAACCCTTTTTTCAAGAAAACTTCGTAATCAATTCATCTTTTCGGCGTTAGATTTCACTTGTCTTTTGATGTAATCAAACCGCGAAAGTTTAGTCAACCACCTACTGCCCGTGTGCGAACTTCGGCTTCAGCATTTTGTTTTAAATAATTTCCTTCTGCCATATTAAGCAACTTGTTATTTTGAAGCGTTTGATTATTTCATGACACAACGCCTTCTGTTACATTCTACTTTAGCGGTAGCGAAATAATGATTTGTTTGACAGTAGGATTTTATTTACGACAAAATGCCGAAGCTGAAGTTCGGGGTTGACTCAATGTTTGTTTACACTGAAAGTCACGTGACACTACACGTGAAATCTAACACCGAAAGGTTAATTGTTTGACCGACTCTGCCTCAGCAAGAGATCGCCAGGATCACATGTGTTTTTCCTGTGCATAATTTTATGAAGAAATTTTCAGAGTAAATTACCTCCAAAAAAATGGATATCGCCGATATCCATTCCGGGAATAAAGAGTTGTTTGACTGCAACGTGTTTCTGTTTGTAATCGTCCGATAACAACAAAAGAATCCTGAGCTTTTAGTGAAGAAGCTCACAAACCGACTTACGTAACCACTTGGTTTCCGCAAAGAAACGTGATAAAATTCGTCGCTCATGTGTTCTTCAGTCACGGCTTTGTCCATGTGGTGGCAAATTTGTTCTAAATTTCGTAATATGCAGTCAGTATGAAAACTTTTCCCCGCTGAAGTTTTTTCCCTAGTCTTGTTTTTGCCTCTTTACAGTTTGCCGAATTGACCAGCTGTCAACGTTAGATTTCATTCTAGTCCCCGACAATTTTAATGATCAAAAATAAACACTAAGAAAGGTGAAATCTCTTCTTTCATCTCCCCGGTTTCAACTTTCCCCGCACAACAGCTTGCTTAACACATCATTCCGTTGCCTCCTCTCTCCCCTCCCTCCGCTATTAATATTCTTTCTCCCTTTTGCAAGTCATGCCTTAGCATGACTCACGCCGCGATAAGACTATTATGCACGCTTGCGCAATTACGTTTCGAGTTCCATTTGCGCTTTGGTTACCTAGAGTCTAAATAATCATTTTCAAATATAATTCATATTTTTATCTCTGCTAATGTAACCATGGATCTAAGTAAAAATTTCACAGTATGGATAAGTGGGTACATTAAAAGTGAAAAATAATATTCAGTCATTGAGATAGTGTGTCAATGATTGTCCCGTTCCGTTCGTACAATCTGAACTATTTATTCAGAAACTAGGGTTTTTTACGACGTCATTTTGGATAGTGCGGTGAAGAATTTGATTCTCCATGAGGCCTAAAACAAAAATAAGGCCATTGCTCTGTGGAATTTAAAACAGAGCAACATGTAAAAGATTGATAGGAGAGCTAACAGGTTTTTTTCTCGTCGCTTCATCCTGTGATGCTGGTAAATAACGCTGTGCCGAAATCAAATAAGGCACCGAGGTAGATATGATTATCGTGCATTACCAGATGAAATCACTGCTTACGGCTTTGGAGAGTTGTCTACTGTCAACACCATTCGATTAGGATCGCAAGGCCAAAGATTACCTTCTTTTCCTGCGTCCGAATTTTGTCGTAAATAATTTTCCCCTGTCGTGAACTTTTCGCGCTCAAATTTGACTTCTCTGTTTTATCATAAACGCCTGATAGGAAATTAGTGCCCACGAATCGATGTAGAGTGTGGGCAAGCTTTGATTCCCACACGAAATTTCGTATCGTATCTTACTATCTAGCGGTTTTTGTATGCTAAAGTATTCAGCGAAACCAAGTTCAACCTTCAAGAACAGTTCTAGCTTGTCTACAGGCACGGGGGATTTGAAATTTTCATTTGTGGTAATCGCCTCCGCAGTCAAAAAAATTGTTCTGCGAACTGATCCAAATTTTAAAGACGAAGTCAAAGAGATCGACAATTCATGATATACTAATTCCCAATCCATTCTTCCTGAGGACTGTGAACAATTTTGATACGTGTGCCAAACATGTCATGTGCCCTGAGGAGCAGCAAATTTCTGGAGGTTTTAACTTTCACATGAATGACCTTAGTGACAATGATACTAAAAAAAAATTCACTACTTGAAACGTTTAGTATTTCTCATCACGTTTCTGGCCCCACTCGTATATCGGGCCATGCCTAAAACACTTGGCTCATCTCTGATGATTTCATTATTCAGTGTCGTATTGGCTTTCCACGACCAGTTATATTACGCAAAAAATTGACTCTCGTGGACTGAAAAAGATCAGCCGCGTTCTCCTTTGATATCGCCTCTCCGGAACAATGTCGATGTACTCTCAGATCGCTTCAACTCGACTCTTATTGACATCTTGTATAGGCATGCCCCACTGAAAACAAGAACTTTAATCAACCGTTCAAACGTGCCTTGGTTTAAAGAAGCTAGCAAACAACGTGTGAACGCTGTCGGCTTGAAAAGATAGCCTACGTGTAGCCGCACCCCCCCCCCCCCCTCAAGGTAATGCTCGCGACCTGCTGGTGTATTCTCGTGAAAAGCGCGAGATCTGATATGGCATTTTACTGTTTGGGCCCAGATGTTGTGGTCTCGTGCGAACAGCCTGAGGTCTGATATGATATTTTAAATGTTTGGAACCTGATGTTGTAGGCTCTAATCCGCGCGAAAAGCGTGAGGTCTGATATGGTTTATTTGACGTTCAGGAGCTGATATCGTAGTCCCACGTGATGAGTGTGGAGTCTACACGGAATTTTTAATGTCGTGGACATGAGTTTGCAGTTTTGGGCAAAAAGCGTGAAGTCTGCTTCAGTAAATTTGAAGTTTTGAACATGAAATTGTAGTCTCGTACCCGCGCGTAGGGTCTGATATGGTATATTTAAAGTTAATGACCGGATCTTACAGTCACGTTGCCTTGAGCTAAAAGCGTGAGAGTCTTATCAGTCCGGGATGGTTATCATATTTGATATCCACGTGACGTCTCAACATGGCGACCATTTCGGCAATCGAAGATTTTCGAACCAATTTCGAAATGTTGGCTGTTTATTCCTTATAACTCGTGTACTCAAGAAAGTGGTCATCAAGGAGTGATAGAGGCGAAATTTTGGGCACAGAATTAACAGGACAGTTGAAATGAAACGTTCGATTGAGGCTTGTTTTTCAACTTTGTCTTAAAGTTTAGGTTGGTAAATGAATTTTTCTGGAGTCAAAAGAATTATAGATCTGTTCTTCAATCTATTTTTTCTCGATACAACTGTTAATTATTGCGATGCAAACTGCAGTAAAAAAGTCCATGGGGTGGTCATGATTTACCGCTTAATCAGTCGCCAACCGCCATTTTGTGTTTCGACGATGCTTTTAATCTTTCTGTGTACCATTCGAACATTGTTCTCTAGTTTACGATTTCCTATCTCTGCACTATACTCACTTTGTAAGGAAGCCTTTTAATGCAAAATAGTGGTATATACTGTATTGTAGCATATCCACTGAATGGCTCTTCCTTCATCTGTAAAATTTCAGACTGAATTGTAATTTAGAAAAAGCAGACAACAAATGTGCTTTGCCAAAATCTTGTCAAATTTTGTCTCTGCCAGATTATAAATTTGGTAACCGCATATGCAGACAAAAAGCAGACAACAAAAAAAAAACACCAACAAAAGGAAAGTTTACGGACCCCCCCAAAAAACACTTCTTAAAAAAAAATACCTGAGAAAAAAAAAAAAAAAGAAAAAACCTAACAAAACAAAACAAAACAAAAACAAAAAACAAAAAAACAAAAAACAAAACAAAACAAAAAAACCCAACAACAACAACTAGCATTTTATTCTTGATATCATTGCCTTGACAAGGCAATGATATCAAGAATAAAATGCTAGGAGTGGTACTGGAATTGCCTACTGATGTTGAAGCGATATAAAATCAAAATGTTTTGCCAACGTTCTTTACATAGCGACTCTTCAAAGACTTTAACTCAAAGTGTTCCAGCGAAGATCCACTCCACAAACAGAACAACAACAACAGCAACAACCGCAACCCAAACAAAAACGAGACAGCAAAACAAAACATAACATAAAAAAGCAAAAACAAAACAATAGTGACCAAAACAAAATAAGAAAGGACTCATGTAACTACTATTACTGTAAGACACGTGACGTGGATCTAAGCTTATGACTAAAAGTTGCGATGTCCTGGTTCTTTGTATTTGTTGTTACGTTTGTGACAATTTTATCTTTATTGTTTATTATCCATATTAGTCTCTTCCATCTAAAACTCGACTTTTTTCTACTATGATTCAGTTCTTACGTCTTTTCTGTTTGTCTAAATGAACAAACATACTTTTATGATTTCATTACCGGTAACAATTAGCTGTATTAAAATCTACAAACAGCTTGATAACATAATTCGATGCATAACGAGCAGAAAGATTCTCACTGGGTTCATTGGTAAGTTCACCACTTTATCCGACCTTTTCGCAGCCGCTACAAATGAGAAGAGGCATCATTAAGATCCACTTGTAATGAAATATAACCCGAAACAGTCATTCACATAGTGCTACTATGATAGTTTTCGCACAAACATTTAAACTGAAACGGATGCAATGATGTAAGCGAGTTATTTTACAATAGTCATTCTTTCAGGGGCCAATAGCTAACCGCCAAGTTATAAGTACTGAAATTAGTTTTTCATTTATCACCTTGGATCTATTCAATATTTTCAGTAGATGGGAGCGGCGAAGATGAGATCGGTGAACATGGAGTCCAAAGCAATCAAGAGTCAATGCTTTCTAACGTTTGGTCTTTCATTCAACTTGATCCTGACTTTAGGGTCACTTGGATTCACGTGCTATTCATTGCATCGATTAGATTCTCGTGTGACAACAGTTGAACAGAATGTTTTACTAACAAATCCCTCTGATCAGCTTCTCAGTCGAGTGACTGTTGAACCAACTTCTGCCGAACCACATCCAGGTGGCTCACGAATTAAAGAGACTGTCCGCGATAAAAGAGCTGCGGATAAAGGATCCAGTTGCCGCAAATGTAGACGCGACTGCCCTAATTCGAGTGGTGTAAGTTTTTTTTTTGTTTGCTCGTTTATCAAATATCATCTTCACAAATGCATAGAGATCTTTTGAGGAAAATTTGAATGACTGGAACATAAACCTGCTTGTTAACCTAAGTTAACCGAAAGAGTAGCAACACAAAAGAACAATTGAGTCGGGGAAATTTTTGATCACAGCCTTATCGCGAATTATCTATAACTAGGGAATACGCCAGGTTTAATCTGCTTCAACGAGAGCGGAACACTTTCTTATGAAGTTGCTTCCTTGATGTAACACACTCTCTCAAGGGCGTCAGTGTTGTGACACTCATAAGTAACGCAGTCTCCGATCCATCAATAGTTTGAATGAGTGCCATCAAGAAAGTGGTAGATGAGGCGGCGAGGATAATTTTATTTAATTCACTTTTATTCCATTACATCTCTTTTAGCGGTGACTTTGGCTTAACAAAGACTCAGTCGCCTACAGAAGACTATCATGCTAAAAGCAACCATCCATAATTTTATGAGAAATAATGCGAGTTATTTTTTTCTCAAAGAAACAGAACTTGACAATGGAAGGAAGCCAGGAGAAGACAGTTTGTGTGGAGGGTAAGTTTCGTGTGACTTTATTTAACGCTTATTTCAACAGCGTTTATAAGCCACTTATTGGCAGTTTCGGTTTTAGCATTGGTTGTATTTCTACTCACGGGGCTGCTGTGGGAAAAAACTCTTGACTTTTAGTTACCGGAAATGTGGCGCTAATATAACAGTGCATCTTTAGGAATCGTTACGTCAAATGTTATCGGAGAGGTTTCTGACAGCCATTAAGCCAGTTTGGCATGCAAGGGACAAAACCAACGAAAGAATAAGATGGAAAGAAAAAATTAACCTAACAGAATCATTTATTCTCAGCAAATGGAAATTGTCAGCATATCGCGATGGCTTTCTTATAATGTCACTGACATTAAATGCTCCTCGTATTTCTCTAGTTTCATGAATGCCATATAGCACCTGAAAAGGAAAATAGAGCATTATGAGAAAAAGTGGAAAAAGAGGTCATCTGAAGGAGAGTACTGCAAAGAGGATAAAAAAAACCAAATTTTCATGATTTTCTTTCTTTTAATGACAACCATATCATTTATTGGCCGTCTGTTACTGTGTGTTCCTTTCATCGGATCTTGTAGGACCTCAAGGCCCGCCTGGACCACCAGGAACTCCTGGCTTACCAGGTTCCCAAGGCTCCCCCGGGAAAAATGGAAAACGGGGACGAAGAGGAACAAAAGGCCCGCCGGGTCCCCAAGGAAAACGGGGTGTCCGAGGTTTGCCTGGACCCCCTGGAAAGTCGGCACAACTTAAAACAAATCGTAACGGAGGAAATCAGTTAGGTAATAAAATGGACTTCTTAACCTATATCAGAACGGAAGGACTTGAAATATTAATTTTCTTTAGCACTTTAAAGCTAAAACGTGTCCAAATACAAAGTTCTTGGCACAATAACACGAACACTAGCTTTAAGAAGTTTACAAGTCTTAATTGGTCTATCTTCATGTCAGGCCACACAGCCCATTTCCGTGATAAGAACCAGTAAACCGTTACTCGTACTTCTCTAAATTTTCAAACTTAATGCAATAGCAGGAGAAAGTCACTTTTTTTTTCAGAAAAACCATACTTTGTTAAAAAACCTCCCACCTCTGTGATGGTTAAAGAGAAAGAAACGGTCACGTTGCCTTGTGAAGCGAATGGCTTTCCTCAACCGGTAATCACGTGGTATAAAGATGAACGCTTAATAGAAGAAGACAGAAAGCATTTCGGGAAGAAAGATCTGATATTGAAAGAAAGCCAGTTCAAGGATCGCGGTTTGTTCACCTGTAAAGCTGAGAATCTTTTAGGAATTGCTGAGGTATCAACTAATGTCGCTGTTAAAGGTAAGAATGTGTAATCAATGAATCTCTTTTGCGAATTTTTATTACTCTAATTTCGTTTGGTTATTGGAAACCCAACCTATTCGATGCCTTTGTGTCATTTAACTTCTCTATCATCTTTTCGTTATAAAACGTTGTGCGCGAAAACGAATGATACATTCTCATAAAACGATTTTAAATTTAAGGCAGAGTTTATGAATTACTGACATTATTACTTATTGATCCACCTCTCCAAAGTGAAAAAGTCAATATGAATCTCACTTTGAACGTATATCGAAGTTTCTCTCTTTGATTCATTTGTCATTTCTGTTGATTTTTAGTGCCTACCAAATTCGTAACCAGACCAAAGAAATCTGTGGTCGCTTACAAAACATGGGACACCGTTCTCAAATGTGATATTTTTGGCCACCCCTCCCCTGTGATAACGTGGACACGATCACTGAGACAGCTTCCGATCAACAGACATGTCATTGACGGTAATCAACTTACGATTAAGAACACCACCAGCGACGATGATGGAGCTTATGTTTGTCATGGAAATAATCAATTAGGAAATGTCATGGCAGTAATATGGATATTCGTGAGAGATGTCGGTAAGTGAGTCAGATTATTGTAGTCTCCACGACAACCAGTTAAAGAATCAACTAAAAAAAAAACAACAACAACAAAAACAGGTGTTTGTGATTACATCTAAGTTTGCCTTATTTTTGTTAAAAAAGTTTGCTCTCTTTTACTCATTTCTTTAAGTGAATCCGTATATTGTATCCAGACCTGCCAATGAGATTCAAGTACAAAAACTTGGTGATACTGTGAGGCTGAACTGTTCTGCTGGTGGCTCACCGCTTCCTAAGATCATATGGCTTAAGGATGGTCGAAACGTTCATTCTCTAGTTGTACATGGCGGCATTGACTTGACCAAGAGTGAACTCACCATTAATCACTTCAAGCCAACAGACGCTGGGATGTACACATGTCTATTTTACAATGAGAAAAATGCCACAGCAGATGCCAAAACAAGTCTGAGTATGTTTTTTTTCTGTATTACTGAAGTGGAGTTTTTTGAATAATCACTGAAAGGTTAGGTTTTCCATGATTTTCCTAAAAATGACATTTAGATCCACTGCATTTGTTAGCTATGTCATTGTCTTTTTCTTTAAATAAGAAATCGGTTAGGTAGAGAGTCTAACACGGCATTCAATACTACACTCTGTTATTTGATCTTCGATTCCGTTTTCTAGTGACGACAAGAAGCTAGAAAAACTGGAATATAAAGTAAATTTTTGCGAATGTATTTTTTTAACTGAATGGGTATAGAGTTGTGTTCCGTTATCGTTTAATTGTGGCATTTTTATGTCTTTTATATTTGTTGCCTACATTTTTATGTCTTTTATATTTGTTGCCTACATTTTTATGTTAAGCTCTTGTCAACTGTGGTGATCCTGGTACTCCATCAAATGGATACAAACATGGCTCACGATATTGGACTGGTGAATCTGTGTCGTTCATTTGTGATCCACAATATCACTTGACTGGTCCAGCTACTAGGACGTGTTTACCCTCTGGTAACTGGAGTGGAACACAGCCTTCATGTAAGGAATCCTATAAACTGATTTTAACAAAAATGATACTCGAGAATAATTTGTATGATAATGGCTTCGATCAAATCTCTACTAAAATAAGATAGCCTAAATGTTAAGGCTAAGCAGCAGCGTCTAATTTCCATCACTAAAGAAAATATATTTTAACAGTAAATCCCCAAAGGTTACAAATCTGATTCTGAAATGATTTTAATTCAAGGTCGGCGAATGTGCCCCGCCTTGGAAAATCCAGAGCACGGTTTTATTCATGGAAATCATTTTTGGGAAGGAGAGAATGTGTATTTCAGTTGCAAACCTGGTTATTGGCTGAATGGATCTTCAGATCGTCACTGCTCGTTGAATGGTACTTGGACTGAAGAAAAACCTAAGTGCATCGTACTTGGTAAATATGATAACAGTGATGCTTTCAAAATGTTTTGTTTGCAGTTGTGCGTCTTATCTTCCAAGTGAGATTTACGGTAAGTAACCAGAGGGTTAATTAAATAGAATAAAAAACAATCAACAAACTGACAGATGACCATACAGAAGAGGCCATTTCAATCAAAACACTTAAAATCCCATGTTGCAAAAGCTTTTGTAAAAAAATTTTTCTGAACAGTTACTAAACAAGTTATTATACGTAAAGAGTTAAATCTTTTGAGAAGTTCCCTTACATATACTTTCCAGAACAATATAATACAATTTTGTGTAATATAATTTTTAATTATCATCTTTTGATATTAATTATAATTTTAATATAAGTTTTTAATTTTTCTCGATGGCTGATCAGACTAACGGGCGAAAGTTCAGCTATGATGAAAACGTTAAATCGAGGATGTTAAAGAATAACTTTATTCCTTCCTTATTTTAAAGAAATTACCATGCAATCAAGCATCCTCCAGAGCTCAGGCTTCCTTTTCAATAATCTCAAGAAATTTTTAGAGCAAGCGGTTGGTATTAATCCGTCTTGGAAGCTGTGTTACCGTGCCTCCCTTCACGGCTGGGGAGCAAGTACGTTTCACAGTCTCTGTGATGGGAAGACACACACTGTTACGTTGATCAGGAAAGGTGCATTCGTGTTTGGAGGATATACAGATATTGCTTGGGGTGAGAACATACTATACGAATAAAAGGCTTGCGTTCATTTTTGACGTTTCAAGCACCCTAAGAAGATAATTATAGCCCGGTCCTCTCTATAAGGGTGCTCGAGGAAAACCAAATTTTAAACTTTATAGATAAACGCTGTAATTTTTTCTCGAATAAGAAAGGGAAGTAGAACTCATGCATGTGTTACATTACCTAGTCAAAATAGGAATGTCAAAATTGCTTTTGGTGTTTGTTTCTTTTTGGCAGTCAGGTGTGCAAAATCTTCGAGCAATGAATGCGTGCAGCAGCCTGTAAATTAACTGTACCATCTGATCGAGAGGGAATGTAGGCTGTGTAGTAGGCGCTCGGTGGGCACGCACAGTTGAAGTAGGCGCCAGGAATTACACATGCAAAACGAACTGAAAAAGCTAGAATTTCTAACAGAACAAAAAGTTATCGGAATGAATGACAAATTAAACCATGCGGCATCATGAAAACGGATGTTGTAAGTAATGCGAGAAGTCTATATTTTTAATTTGAAAGACTAAAAATTTTATCGTACAAAGGAACCTTTAACGGTATCTTCGATATTGAGGAAAACACAGATAGATACAATAATTTCCCCATTGCATTCCTTCCCATCCCCTCTTTAAGTTCTTGATTCCATCTTCTTCTATTCGCATGTAATCGACAGATGTTGTGATTTATTTTGTCCACTTATTACCTGTTCTATCGCCTTAGCTGTCACCCATTCCTCTTCTCTGTTAACCGTCTCCTCATAGCTATTTTCAACCGATTTACTTCTACCGACGTAATACTTGTAAATTGCTCCTCTCAAAACTCGGTAGAAATTTCAAAAGAATGATAAGCTTTGTTGGGAAACCAAATTTGCTTAGAGTTAGCGGTACACTGCAAGCTCTGCCAATAACTAAGAGTTTGATAACTCTTTTGCAATTTCACCCACTGTCATTATAATTCGCAAAGGTTTATATGTGGTTGGATGATATACAGAAATAGCTTGGAGTGAAAAGTTATCATGAGCAGATCTCATTGGATCGAACGGCGGTTTCTGCTGTTTACACTCAGCAGGAAAAATTTCTCTCCGCATGACCCCTGCCCGATTTTCAGCTTCAGAAAGATTTCTCAGCTGCTGCAGCATTGCGCATTACTCAACCAACAATTATTCTAATTAAGGCCTGAGGTTGCTGATAGCAGGTTTGAAATCTGGCTGAAAGTGCTGATAGGGAAGCTCATAAAGCTATGCAAATTAAACTACCTTGAAACACGTTTAAAACTAGATTTTTTAAAAGAAATCAAAAGCTGGTGTAAAGAGATTGAGATGATTTGCAAATATTTACTTTATACCTTATTTTAAATCTATATTCACAACCGAATGGTTGTTGCAAGCCTTGTAGTATTGCGTAAAAGCAAGGACTTACATCGTAAGTCTAATATCAGATGTAGCGGGAAATATAAGCATTGTTGGGGCAAACAGGACTAAAAGATTTTTTTTTCCTCAGAACTAAAATCAGGTACTCAATAATCACTATAATCACTATAATCACTAATATATGACTGTCATATCCTTAACCGTTTATTTAATAATCACTATAGCAGACGATTTAATTTACTTCACTAGAAATGTCTCAGTTTATGGATGAACCGGTAACCGAATTTTGAAGATTATCGTTTCCTTTTATACATATCCGCTCAGTCGCTTATTATGTTACATTCATCCAATACTGTGAAAAGGGTGTTCGTTATGAGAGGCTTCAATTCTAAGTACGCGCGAGGTTACTGAGGAGTGGGCCCGAAACAGCTAGGCCGCTATCATTTTGCGGTATAATGACGCTCTTAGCTATACTTTTTAAGTTGATTGTCACATTCTTCAGAGATTAATAACAAAATTTCCGATCACAGGCACATTAGATGGACAAGAAGATATTTATTATGAAATTAGGAGTTTAATGACTATTACTGATTTTTTAATGAAAATTAGCATATAACTTCGTTTGCGTAAGCTCTTAAATAGTACTTCAATTACCTAATGTGTGAACTTAACACTCATTATAACTGAATCCATAATCTAGCTTTTTATTGTCGCGATATTCCTTTCACACTTTTCACGAATTAATAAATCGAATTTTTATCTCTTCACCGTCTTTAATCAATACCTTTCTTTAAATATCTGTCAATTATGTTTCACGCGTCTCTATATTTTCAGTGCGCATAGCCTATGGTTCCACTGTTGTGTGTTCTTATACTTTCTCTTATGTTACTCTTACTATTAGAAAAGAGTGGTAGAGTTCCCGTGCATTTTCTCTTCTTTACCTTTAGCGACTCTAACTTTTATTTTTCATTAAGCTTCCCATGGTCGCTACAGTTCAACCTCCAGGGCTTTTATATTTTCCCTAATCAACAAAGAAGGACTGCCACCGTTCAAAAGCATGGTGAAAAAATCGTCATACGCAATCTTCAGGTACTCAAGTTATGGTCCAACATTTGGTGGAGGGCATGACATCTACATCAGCAGTGACGCTAACAGTAACACTAACTCATACACAGACTTCGGTCAAAGCAGTTATTACGCAGTACCAAGTGTAGTAAAGGACCCATACACAATCCTGGCTGGAACTCGGAATTTTTCACCTGATGAGGTGGAGGTGTACTATCTTGACTGAGTTACACTCGACGCACTGGTTACTTAGAACTCGCATATTTAGTGCTGGTATAGTAAGCTTTTGCACTTATCAATGTTACCCTACGGACTTGGCTCACGACTAGTCTAGCTATGAAATTTGTTGAGGGTGTTAATATATAAACAAAATCTAGAAATATAACATCTTTCAAGAAAAGAGTTGACCTGGGTATATGCTCGATAAAGCTACAATCAAATACACTAGGCATACCCTTAGTGCCGGCAAATGTGTCTCTTAGAGTACTATAAGTCAGGTCTAGTTGCATATAATTTCCTGCTTAATGAAAAGCATCAGTTGTCACCTGAAGCAAAATAGTGCACATTATAGATCGCGCTTTATTATAGAAATAGAAAAAAAAAAACTGAAAAACCTTTCTTTGTCGTGGTTCCATTAAGTATGAGCGCGGGTTATAAAAATTTAACCACCTCGAATCCAGACCACATATTTTTCTGAGAGCAATACTTTGATATGGTGCGGATAGTGAAGCAAGTCAGATATGAAGCCAGGAGTATTTGGTTCCAAACACAAGTATTTTTGATGAGCAAATCAGCCTGTCTGTATTTCATGATGCCATTTGCGTAGGGCTGAGACTGAAGTGTAATGAATACGCATCATTTTTAGTTAAATGAGATGAGGACCCTTCACTCCCCCCTCCCAACCTTTGTAGTAAAAGCAAATTGTGTTTGTAAACTTGAAGTAATGGAAAGGTTTTTTAAACATTATTTGTCCTTTTTCATTTGTGTTCTTTAATTTGTTTGTTCTGTTTAGTGGTTTTTTTTTTGTACCTATGAAACACATGCTTCGTTAGTAACATAAATTGAAAATAAAAAAATAAGAGCGGCCAACATCGTAGCGACCATTGCTATTAAAATGCATTCATTGCTTGCATAATCAGTATCATTTTAGTTCTTACAAAAATTGAAAGAGAAGGTTATCTTTGAAGGTTATAAAAGCAGCAATTAAACAATAATACTTTAGAACTTTTAATCATTCTGCCACAAAATTAAAAAGGTGTTATTTCTAATTATCTACTGGACTTGTCAAAAATCCCACTCTTCAAAAGCCCAGGATGCTTTGTAAGAGTAGCGGTCGATTTTACAATAGAAAACGTGAGGCAAAACAGGGCCAATAACCATCTAAACTTAGCGTCAAATAATCATAAATAGAGGGGGCATTGGGGTCTATTAGAAAACGCAAAACCGTAGAAAAAATAATCCAAAACCGGATGAAAACCGAAAACCGCTTGCAAAACCGTCAAAACCGATGAATTTTCACATACCAGTTATCAAAACTTTAACCGATCAGATATAGTGGTGACAAGTGGAGCATACAGAGGTTTCGCGGCTATTCAAAGTCAGTGGTTGCACATAATTGCCGGTCAGATCAAAGAGAAACCGGAACCCAAATAGAAAAAAACTGAAAACCTCATCGGATACCAAATCCGAAAACCCAATAGTGTTTCTCGCGAATACCGAAAATCAAATACTCTAAAACGGAAACCCGTAAACCGCAATGAACACCAAACCGTAAAACTGAAGTTTTTTGGGATAAACACCGAAAAACTGAACTTAAAAAAGAGCCCTGGAAGACCTCTGAATGACCTTTTTATATGTAATTTAGAAATTCTCGACTTCAAAGTATCCATAAAAACCTCAACTGTTAAGTGTTTCAAAATGCACCAAACTGGTATCTGAATGTACGACCGTAAAGTGTCTTTAAAGTGCTGTTCTGAAATGTTTTTAAAATTCTCGACCATTTAGTGTTCTTAATATCCACGACTTCTCATTGCTTTAAAAATGCACGGATTTTAAGTGTTCGTAAATTTTCCGTATGTAATATAAAGTCTACATAAATTCTCGCCTGTTGAAACTTACCAAATCCTTTATACCCCACATTCTGATAAATTAATTCAATAGAAAAACAAACAAACATACGGCGAAATGGAAAATGAATGAAACAATGAAAAATGTTTAAAGTTCATTGACTAATTTTACCAATTCTAAAGTAAAAAATACTACCTTTCAGGCATTGAAAATAAAAAAAATTCATTTTCCATTCGTCACTTAGACCTCCTTTTCACTATTAATTTCTTTTATTGCGTTGACCCCTCTCTATTTACCAATTTGTATTTTTTTTACTGATTTAGCAAATTTCAATTGAATTCTAACATTACATAACGGAACGTTCTCGCAAATCAATCAAAAAAGATCTACAATATCAATTTATTTGTTGACTAAGGTTAATAGAACAGGTAGAACAGTTTTCATCTGAGTGTTAAAAGTGATCATCCCTTTTATTCTTTTCTTTGTTCCTTACTTTGCGGTATTTAAAAAAAAACCTTCTCCGAGTACTGCTGAATCATTAAGATGTTAAGATAAAACCAGTTTCGAAAATTCGATCTGTTTTCACAGCACTTTTATCTGATTTCATACATTTACCAGAACTTTTCCCTGTTGTTGTAATTTTTCTTTGGTTTTTTATATTTAGTCTACTGGTCTTTGCAGTTACTCTCGTGCTCGAGGTATGACACTCAGCTGAAAATGGTCCATGTGACATAAATGTGTTTACCAATAATAATTGTTAAATAACAAGACTAAATACATGACGCCCGTCTATTTACACCACTAAAAAAGCTACAAAAAAAGAGTTACAAACTTACCCAGCTCATATTACTTTCTCCGGGAAAGACCACCGACGATTTTCCGACATTCTGGAACGTTTCTCATAATCATCATCATCATCATAAGGTCGAGCTTGCTCGGTATTTCATGACACGCTCCCTCCACCTTTCTGTGTCTTCCATTGTAATTGGTAGTTCTTCAATTCTGCATCCTGTGTCATCCATCAATTGGTCCATGTGTTGGCTTCCAGAGTAATACATCCCCTGCTAGTTCTTCTTTACTGCGCCAACAATGCCCTGCGAATCTCATCCTTTGTTGCTGTAGCGATTTACTGATTGGCGGGATGTGGCCGTAGAGCTCTACGTTTGTGGGGTGGTCCTTCCACGATCTGTTTAAGGCAGTGCGTAGCATTCTAGTGTATGCTCCGTCGATTTTCTTTTCCAGATGTGTTGTTAAGGTCCAGGAGACCGAACCATATAAAAGGACAGTCTCCACTGTTACTCGGAAAAATGTTTTCTTCAGGTTGCTTGGAAGGTTTGATTTCCATAACTTGTCCAGTTCATTTGGAGCATCCCACGCCTTTCCTAGTCTGATGTTAACATTATGTTCGATAGAGGCGATGTAGCTTCCCAGGTATTTAAAATCTTCCACTTGCTTTATCTTCTTACCATTGAGACTCTTCATCCCTTCTAACGCATCTTGATTGAAGCAGATGAACTGTGTTTCATCTGCATTGAGGTAGAGCCCTATCTCCTTTGCTGTTCTTTCAATGCTGTGCAGCAGGAATGTTGCTTCTTTTAGGACGTCAGCCAGCACTGCATGCTAAGTCGTCAGCATAGTCTGCATCTGTTATTTGGAATCTGTTAGTTAGAACGTTTCTAAGATGTTCAAAAATTAGCCTATGCTTTGCCCTATTTCTTCTGTGTTAGTGTCGTTGCCTTTAAATCGTCTTACATTTACCTGATATTCATTTGTGTCTCACAAATGAATATCAGGTGAAATGGAAGAGTAGGCTAAGTCTTTTGAGATAGCAGGCATTGGGCTCGACAGTTTCCTTTATGGGCCTAATTTGTTTCTGAATAACGGAATACTTGCATAATTTTGTATAAACAGGTCTTAAATATTCCACAAGTTCAACTTTGATATCAAATCTGGCATTTCTGTTAAAAATTGCCGCTGATTTACTCGATCAGTGTAAAATGTTGTTTGCAGCTTGACTTAGCCTATGCAACCTTAAAGACCTGTTTTCTACTCGTAGCAGCTCTAAATACTTGTCTTGTTGCGTGGTTAGAAATATGAAGAGAATAAAGTGTCTTTTGTGTATAGTGATGCCGACGTGTGGAAATAAATGCAAGTGATGTAATACACTCCGAACCTACGGATTTATATAGCGTGTATTTAATTTATTCTGAGAGTTCTTTTTGGTTAAGAGTAAGTGTGTAACAGAAGTGAATAAACGGTTTGGACTTGACCGCGGCGTAATACATTGGCGACAAGGATTTTGGGGATTTTGAGGTTTGGTCGAGGGTTTCAGGAGTTTCGACTAGGATTTCGTAGGTGGTTTCGCCAGGGATTTATTTATTGCAGAGATGCCGGGACGCGGTGGATCAGGCGAAACTGACACGACAAGCGGTGGTGCTGGCGGTTCTTTTAGTGGTTCTGGAGTAGCTTCGGTTGTTTTGGATGTCAGTGGATTGCAACCATTAAATCCGAAGGGAGAGGCACACAGTTTAAGTCAGCGGTGGAAGAGATGGAAGCAAGCGTTTAATTTGTACGTGACGGGAAAAAGCGTTTCGAACGACACTCAAAAGCGCGTTCTTCTTGCATGTTGCTGGTATGAACGTTCAATAACTTAAATGATTTAAATGATTAAATGATTTATTTCACAATAGCCGGTGATGGCGGGGATGTGAGTTTTGGGGCGACACTTCAGGTGCTTGATAATTATTTTGTTCCCAAGTCGAACATTCCTTTTGAGAGACATTTGTTTTGACAAATTTCGCAGGAGAGCGGAGAAACTGTAGACCAGTTTGCGTGTAGATTATATCAGCAAGTAGCAACTTGTGAGTTTGGCGTTAACGAGGACGACTACATCCGCTATTAACTCAGAGACAGGTGTTACTCCAGCTATTTGCGCCGGACGTTCCTGGAAAAGGAAGGGACCGTTACGTTGAATGATTTGTTACCGGTTCCGAGATCCCAGGAAGCAGTTGATTGATAAACGAAGCAATACAATACGGATCAGGCAGATCAGGTCAATGCAGTGAGGGGAAAAGTAAGGTAAGGGCCTGTGTTGACATGCGCCGAGCGAATGAATCAATCGTTCGGGGGGCGGCATCCAATTTCAACCGTAGAAGAGCTGTTACACGAATTGAATGGAAGTACCGTGTTTAGCAAGATTCACCAGATTCTACTCAGCGAGGAAGTCACTACTTTTGTCATGCATAGAGGGCTGTATCAGTACAAGCAGTTGATGTTTGAGATTTAAGACCTCCCAAAGACGCAAGTGAAGTACCATCGTTTATGGGTCTTGTCCAGTACTCCTCCAAGTTCATGCCGGACGTGGCGTCCGTGGCCAAGCCTATTCAAGAGTTGACCAGGAAGGGCGTCGTGTTTCACTGGGGTAAAAAGCAAAAAACAGTTTTTGAGGAACTAAAGCGCCTAATCACCCAGGTGGAGGCACTGATTTATTTTAAGGTTGGCTGCCGAACGCAAATCATTGCTGATGCATCCCCAGTTGGCTTAGGGACAGTTCTCACCCAACAGCAGGGAGGCATGTGGAGAGTTGCCTCGTAGGCATCAAGAAGCTTAACTGACGTGGAACGGCGCTACAGCTAAACGGAGAAGGAAGGGCTGGTCTTGGTTTGGGCATGTGAACGGTTCAACATTTATGTTTCCGGAGAGGGCTTTGAGTTAGAGCCCGATCACAAGCTTCTAAACCGTATCTACTCCAGTACTTCGAAGCCTTGAGCCAGGATAGAGAGATGGGTCTTAAGGCTACAAGGGTACGATTTTAAAGTAGTGCTCGGCCCAGGAAAGACTGATATAGCCGACGCGTTGTCCTGCTTGAACACAGATCACGTGGACTACGGAGAGGAGTACGACTATGTTACAACAGTTGTTGTGGACAGTGTACCCGTTGCTCTCTCTCACCTAAAGAAATCGAAGAGGCTTCCTATGTTGACGAGGAATTAACCCGGGTGAAGGAATGTGTTAAGACAGGGAACTGGGACCGGTGTATACTCCCATCGTATGCGCAGGTCAAGGACGAGTTATGTGCGTACGGTGAACTTTTACTTTGGGGCACGAGGATTGTGGTCCCCAGCCTCCTGCGCGACAGGGTGGTGCGGTTAGCACACGAAGGGCACAAGGGTATCGTCAAAACGAATTATAGGGAAATATAACTTGTGAATCTACTGTGGAAAAGCTTCATATCTGTGGATCTCCAGCTTGAATTCTAGAAAATTTAATGTTTTGTAAGTATCTGGGAGAGAGTTCCATATTTTGCCAGCTAAGTATGAAAAAGAATGTAGACCGTAGGTCGTTGTTTTTGGGTTGGGAAGGGCCAGAATATGATTTCCGCGCAAATTGTAGAATGAAGACCGTACGGTGAACATATCTTTTAAATAACCTGGATAATTCGTAAAGAAAAGACTGTTATATAACGTGATCATGAAATTCTGGAGGCGTCTAATGAATAGAGATTTTAAGTCAACTTTGCTTAGTAAAATGTCATATCGAGAGCTTTAGTCCTGTAGTATAAACCTAAGAATGTGCTTATTTAGATTATCTACTTTATCGGCATTGCGCGCACCACAGAAATGTCAAACAGAAGAACAGTAGTAAAAATGCGGCAAAATGAAGGCTTTATACAGCTTCAATAGCGTCTCCTTATTAATAAGTTTCCGAAATCTAAGCACTACGTTAAATTGATTATTTATTTTCTTACAGATAACTGATAGGTGATTATCCAAAGAGAGCCTATTATATGACTGTCATATAACGTTTGGCCGCGAAGTGAGATCCAAACTGCCAGAGCTAAAAAGAGAAACGGTTGGTGTGCCAGGCGAAGAAGTGTGAGAGCGTGATTGGCCAAGTAAATTAAAGGGAAAAGCTTATCCAGATCTCAAGAGGGGTGCCACGCTCAAGAGCATACTTGTTGGCGACACGGTTCTTTTGAAAGCAGAGAAAACTAACATGTCGTCTATCAATTTCAACCCTGATCCCTTTAAGTTTGTTCGTAAGACAAGGTCGAGGTAACACTTAGGAACGAGGCTGGTGTTGAACTTAAAAGGAACACTGTGTTTATAAAGAAGTACAATGAGCGCAGTGATGTAACCAATGGCGACGAAGACCAAGTGTTACTGGCAGGTTCCGCGGTACGGGTGGATGAGCTAGGGGCAAGCAAAATTCCAGAGACGTTGCCAAAAAAAGTATCAGGAACGTCTGAAGTATCTGAAAATTCTCAAGTACAACCTAGAAATTTCCCCAATATGGAAGATACCGAAGCGGGAATGCCTGTTCGGAGGTCGACCCGGACTGTAAGACCGCCTGATCGTTATAGCGCTATATAAGGACTTTGAGATGGATGTCTCGAACTTCTCTTCCTTTTACCGAGTGACTAGCTTAATTCAAAGACTTTGATTTGTATGTTATGAACATTTTAGGAAAGGGAGCGAATGTAGTGAATAGTGATGCCCACGTGTGGAAATGAATGCAAGTGACGTAATATACTCGGGACCTACGGATTTGCATGTATATATAAAGCGTATATTTAATTTATACTGAGTTTTTTTCGGTTAAGAGTAAGTGTATAACGGAAGTGAATAACGGTTTTAACTTAACCGCGGTGTACTAAAGTGTCCGCGCGCCAAATGCCATTAACTGTATTAAGACAATTATGATTATTTAGTTAAAACTTTTTATTATTTATTTTTTATTATTCGGAATCAATCTGGGAAATAAGCCGTCCAATTTGAGAAGTTTTTCTCGGTTCGGAAACTCTTGACGGGCGGTTACCACCAGTTAAAGCCACTGAATTTTGCAAACTGTGCGTCTGACAATTGGTTCAACGCTTTTAAATGCTACACATCCTATGGATACGGATGAATCCTCTTACTACGCGAAGTATATTTCAGTCTGCGCCACAGTAGCGAGAAGGACAAATAGGTGTCTTGGAAAGTTTGTATACATAGTAATATCCACAGTTTTTCACAGAAATTAGCTTTGTGTGTCGACAATCAGCACGTTTATCACTAAAGCAGACCATCCTGGAAACTTCACCATCTTCCACTGTAGGATGAATACCATTCAACCAGCCTGACCAGTATGTACCGCATCTGAATGGTTGCACACGTGTTGTTGGCATTTTTGTTCCTGCAGCTCCCACAAAACGATACCATCCCCCAAGGAGTTGGTTGTCACACACTTCTTGGTTCTGGAGTGTTTTGTAACTGCTCTTTCTACTGGCATCACTCAGGCTTTGGTGATAATAACACAGGTCGGCTAAAAAGTTAAATGGAAATTAAGAAAAATGTTGAAGAATTAAAGGTAAACATTTTTCCATAACATCTTTTAGACAATCAGTTCAGCAAAAAGTAGACGGCACTTGTATTTTGCGAAAAAAAGCTATGCAACAATGATGATGTAGCTCACACAAAACGAGTTGACTGTCACACAACGCTGGTATAGACAGCAGTGTATTGGTACTACTTCTATTTGCATCGCTCAATTCTTTGTAAATATAACACGGATCGGCTACAAAGTTAAATGAACATTTTAACTAGGTGAAATTGTCTTAACGTTTTGTAAGTCGGTCAGTTCAACAAAAAGCAGATAGTACTTGTTTGTTTTGTTTGTTTTTTTTTCTAACAAAATTACACGTATGCATTAAGTATAATGTGAAGAAGTATTCCCGTTGAACAATAATGATGCAGAAAGGACCTAAAATTAAATAATAGCATCATAAGAAGTTATGCATCCCGGTGTTGATGTAGCAGCCCATCAAAGCTTTAGCTGTTTGAACCTCAACTGCATACTACCATACGCGTTTAAGCCTTTATCGATCCTCAGCTTCCACAGAGTGATACCAGCCCTAACGGACTAAGGCGTCACTCAATTAATTCCCAAGAGTGTGTGATATTTTGAAAAGTATCTTTCGATTAGCAACATTCAGGAATGAAATAATAATGCAAATCAGCTTCCATAAATAAAATACATTCGATCAAAATTGCTATTGTTCTAACTTCGTATAAATCTTCTAAGGTTGGAGATTTCATAAAGCTTTATGAGTTTCATAAAGAAAAATATAACTGCATCACGTAAAACTTCATGTAAGGTTTTCTTAAATCATTTAGATTATCAGTTATTAGGAGTTGATTGGTATTTGTGTATGGGGGAGCGTGGAATAATGCCTCCTCTGCGTGTTTGGCGGATCATAAGTCAAGTCTACCAAATTTACTGTTACATTCAACCTGAGCTACGAAATAAAAAATTAATCTCCTTCAAAAACCAAACATACCTCCACATTTAAAACCATCCCCAATATATGTAGGATTGCAAGAACAGTTGTATGAGCCCTGGGTATTAATGCAAGATGCATTCGGATGGCATTTATTCATTTTAACGGCATGAACCTCACTGCATTCATCAATATCTAGGAGAGAACATACTCACTCAAGAAAGATGTAACAAACATGTAACAAAGCGAGGTCAGAGGAAATTATGAAATCCCCGTTTGGATTCAAAGACCTGGGATTACAGTCAAACTTTAGGTTTCCCCCTCTTGTTCGTATTTGAAATCTTGCTGGTGAGAACCATCCGCCCCCCAGATAACTGTTAAATTTTTGACCATGAGGCCATCATCATTTATCTCTTTGTCACATGAGACACGCCAGGAAAAGACGTTTATTAAAGGTTACAGTAGTTGCCCTCCCTAAGGCACAAATGCGTCCATTCCCAGTATATCCACGGTGACTAGTACGAACATACGATCCCTTGGTGTTTGTGCAGAATTCACGTGACAAGAGTGATTTCCTCTATATTTGTCTATATCTGAGAAACTCTTTTGCCGCTAAAATGCGCTCAAAGACGCTTAGCTTCTTAGTAGTAGTAGAATAACTGCCCGAAATAGATTATAAAAGATAGAATAAAGGTTTTTGATTTACAAGAAAGAAACTAGAGATGGTGGCGCTACCCACGGGAATAAGCATGCCTTACTTGCGAAAAATGATTCTGTTTGATGCTAGAGCTAATCTAAGTAGGTGTGCAAATACAGGCCTATTTGCTTTGTCGGAGAGAAGTAACAGTTGGAAATGCGCTAAAGTTCGAATGCTAAGCTAATGATGTACCTTGGCATAACTTTCCGTTCCCAGTATATCCTTCCTTACAGGTACAAAAGTGAGAGCCTTTGGTGTTGGTGCAGTTTGCATTCTTGTCACAAACATGGTCTCTACTGCGGCATTCATTGATATCTAGAAGTACATGTGATGTAAAAAAAGGCAATTAAATCGAAGGAAAAAAAATAAGTGGAAAGAAGAAAAATTGGGCTCAAATATGACTCAGTTGTCATCTTCCTAGAATCTTTATTGCAGTCGTAACTTTCTCTCAGTGAATACTGTGCATGTAGGAAAAAATTGCCACACCACAATTTCCACTTTCATTCACAATTTGTTGCTTCAGATGCTCAAGCTGTTCTTGACACTTGATCCGCAATCTATCATTCCATACAATTGCAGTTGCACGCGACCGAAAGTTCATATGCACGACGAAAGAGCTCTTGTGAAAATGGTTATCGGAAAAAGTTTATTCTATGTAGTGTTCAGCCAATTCTATAAACTTTAAAGAACTGGAAATCCCAGCCAAAACGTTCTCTTTAATTTCGTGTTTCCAATAAATAAAGCAACAAAACCCAAAACTTCAACATCAAAGTCCAACCTCCAGATTTTTTTCGCCCATCAAATTTTTATTTCGACATTAAAAAGTACCAAAAGAAACGCGCGAGTTAAAACAACATTCATAGACGGAAATAAAAGTTATAACATGTACCTTGGCACGATTTTCCATCCCCAGTGTAGCCTTTCTTACAGGTGCAGTTGTGAGAGCCACCAGTATTAGTACAGTTCGCGTTCTTATCACACATATGGCTTCCATTGCTGCATTCATCGATATCTGAAGTGATGCATGAGGGGTAACTTGGTGATGCTTTGTGTGACAATCATTCATTTCATTATTGAACATGTACTCAGTTACTCATGCAGTAATTAATGTCTAAATTCATGTACCTTGACATGATTTTCCATCCCCAATGTATCCATCTGTACAAGTGCAGTTATGAGAGCCTTTGGTGTTAGTGCATATTGCATTCACATCGCAAACATGGATTTTATCGCTGCATTCATCGATATCTGTAAACAGACGTTTTGGTAATGATGATGATCAAAGTTATGGCGACGAGGATAATGTTGGTTGATGATGGTGATTTGTTGGCATTAATGTCACAAACCTTTTTATCATCGCTTCACTGAAATTAAAATATCCGTATAACATAGTGCTATACTTGTTTCCTTTTGCCTCCGATACAAGTGTCTAACATAGTTAATTTATTTCTACATTCATCAATTGCGTCTAGACTGCAAATTTTGTTTTATTGCTGCACTCACCTTTATTACAAGACCTCGCATAGAGGTGAGCTAAAACAGTTTATGGAAAAACACATTCATGGTAATCTTGGATGACGAAAATTAAGCGTACCTGAACATGAGTGTCCATCACCAGTGTATCCCGCTTTACAAATGCATTTGTAAGAACCGTACGTGTTAGTGCAGTTTGCATTCACGTCGCAGTCACTGATATTATATTTACATTCATCCATATCTAAAATTAAGAATGTTCAACCTCCACTAAGAGGATTCTCCATAAAGGCAGTGGCTAAGATTAAACGAGGTGAGATGGGCTTCCGCGCTAGAAATGATACCAACCAACAAATAGTGATAAAAATAAAAATAACATCAATAATATAATTGTGTGGTAAAAATAAGTTAACTCGTAAAGATAATTATTGGACCTACCCCCGCTAGCCATATCACAGTTAATCAATATTGCCTTCCCAGCGCCTGTTGGATCCAGCCAGTACTTGCCGCTGATGGTGTTTTTACCTTCACTCGCCTTTATTTCGAGACAGGATATCGCCGGTAATTCAGGACTAGAACCCAAAGGAGCTGCAGTGAAAATATGTATTTTGTTTTCTTTCTATTCCTATTTCTTAGTCATAAGTGAGAGGGAACAAGGTTGGCTAAGTGTGAAGAAAATCTGGAGGGAAAAAAACAGCTAGCACATAGACTTCTGATTTGTTACCTCTGTCGTTCAATCGCCTGATGTAAAACCACGAGGGCGCTGAAAGAAAATTATCTGGTCTCGCTTCCTTGGTGCGGTTATTTAGTTCACATATTTGGTATTTTCTATTGTAGTTATAGCTTTGGCACGTGATCTCTTGTCCACATTTGACATCGCAGAGGTGAGGAGCCGCCACTGACCATCTTTTGAAGACAGAGCGCTTGAGAGCCATTCCTTGTATGTTTACTTCCGTCCTACATTGTTGATAAGCTGTGATAGACTTTATGGTAGAGGCGAAAAGGAGGAATATCCAATACATGCTTCTCTGCTTATACAGAGTCTGCAAATATTAAAAATGGAACCCCACGAGCAGATGTAATATTCTCAGAAAAAGGAAACCGAGTTTTAATTTCTCTCAAAAATTTGGTTGGATACCAGATGAAGACAGCAATCACAATACATACCCTTTAATATGTTGCCTGAAAATTAGCGAAAACACACCATCATTAATAGTGCGAATACACAGTTTACATGATAGTTCAAAGAAGAATATTAAGGACAACTTTATGTTGCGTTAGATCATTTTAGTTTTAAGAGCGGTTTTTGATAAACTCGCTACTGACGAAAATAGACAAAGAAATATAAGGGCGAAGATGGCTTTGTCAAATTGGCTGACTCAGTTTAGACACTGTCGTTTTATCCACATTTAGAGGTGTTTTTCCAGGCTTTGTTTTAATACTTATTTCAGTGACAGAAAGGGGAAAATCGATTCAAACATAAGGTTCGCCCTGAAACAAATAATCACCCCTTAATTATTCAAAACCTTATGTACCATTTAAAGGAATTCCTCGTCCGAATTAAATAATACAAAATTTTTGACCATCTCCAAATGTAAGCGACGGCGGCTGAATGGTTTGGCTGTTTTTTAGGTAAGTGGAGAAATGTACAGCGTACCAGTGCTATCATATTTATTACCGTGTAAAGAAATAATCATGCAGAGGTTTAGATAGTATAAACAAAGCAGTAGGAAAACTAAATATCAAAACTGGTTTTGTGGTCTATTTAAAAGCATGCAGCTTTGTCGTTAAAAATTCAGCAAACCCTAATTTGAGAGTCGAGTAGAACTTATCTTATAAATTTCTTGGATAAGGAAATATTTTGAGGAGATGCGGGTAAATGCAGGTTCTCAAGGAATAGACATGTTCCTGGTGGTGTACCAACAGTGTTCGTCTCTTACCCCTCAAGATGCAAAATTCCTAAGAGCCTCACTTCTACTGCATCAATGATACTCTATTTCATCCTTTTATCTGACTACTTTTGCGGTTTATATATATATATATGAAACACTACGTATTCAAATGACGTAAATTTCAACGTAAAAGTCTAAATTTGTTTAGAATATTGCCCAAGTCTTTCCATAATTCAGTGTTTTACCGAAAAAACTCAACCTTATACGTAAAATAGATTATCAACGATAAAACTGTGAAAGGAAGATCGTCTTTGGCTACGTAAATTTGTCATTTCTCGCGGCTTTTTGAAAAGCTTCTTCACCGCAGATGTTTTTCTCATACTTGTCGGAAAAAATTGCAACGTGTTTTTATGATAATTTCTCCCGAGCTATTAGTTAAGATGAGAAAATTTATTTACTTTACACCAGTAGATGTTTGCCAACATGATTTTTTGAAACTCCACGTTCACTTCGTTTGATGATGACAGAAATGACAGGTACTAGAGGGTATTAATGGCTTTTATGTGGATACAAGCCTTTGATAATAATAGAGGCTCGTTTTCACTTTTTTCCGGGTCACTCTTTCATCCGTGGAAGATGCCCAAAATTTTCAAATTGCCCTTAACATAGCTAGAACGCTGATAAAGTGAGACTTGCGACTGAAGGATGGCACAGCAACTTGAAGAAAAGGTATAACTTGAATTTAATAAATAGTGGAAGAATTCTCCTTTTTGGTTCAAATTGTGACGGTTTTTATCTCCACGAGCGGGTGGTTTAATTTCTGAAATTTCTAACTTCTCAGACACACTCTAATGCGAGTTCCTGTATAACAACAACACCAACGGCGCCCATAGCACATGAGTGAAGCGTGGCCCTTTCAAATTTTAGAAAACCTTGCAGACAAACTTTAGCGCTTTTGCATCGAAGAGCTTTCCTTGACAGTGTTTTTTAATCTTATTTAGTATCTTAGAATAAGGGCCATGTTCAGAAAAAGAATTGTGAAATAGTTTTGAAAATATTTGTCTTTATGTCACATGAGACATGCCATTTAAGCACGTTTTTCAAACGCTATAGTAGTTTTCCTTCTAAAGTTTGAGGGAACTAAAGAAAAACGTTATCTATCAGCTCTTGTTTATTCAAATCTTCGTAAAAAAAAAAATGTATTCATTTGTGTGTTGCAGTTTTTCCCCATCATTTAACTAAACAGTTTAGTAACCAAAAAAACAAAATCTATCCTAAGAGTAAGCCTTCACTTTAAACAAATGACCTTCTCTCATTTGTTCAGAAACACTAATTTATTACTTTAAGGAATTCCTTGTCTGATTGCAACAAGTTCATAATCTTTTGACTAGCTTGAAACATTAGCCAGCGTTTTATGTGGCGGTTTTTGAGGTAAAATAAGAAGTATTCGGGGTTGTAGACGCTTGCAATTGTTACTTAAGGGAATAATCATGAGGAGGTTCAGATGGAATACCCATAATAACGTAGAAATTAAACTATCAAAACTGGTAGTCTGGTCTTTTCAAAAACATCTTTCGTTAGTTTGCCGCCAACAATATACCACACTGTAATTCAAGAGTTGAAAAAAATTTATCCTATTCTAAAATGCAGAAATCAGTTTAGGAGATGCGGGTAAATGTAGATTTTAAAGAAACAGAAATTTTTCTAGCAGTGTATTAACTACGGTCGTCTCTTACCTTTCAAGATGCAAAATCCTTGAGCGCCTTACTACTACCGAGTCAATGAACAGATGCTCTTTTTCATCAAAGCAGTTGCTAGACTACGATAAAATGGCAAGCAAAAATTTCGAAAAAGATGCGTAACGGATGTTAACGCGATGAAAGCGTAATCAAATATTAAATAATATATAGAAACTTTACAACTACGTACGCTTTAGCCTGACACTAATTAGCCGCTGTCAGTGCAGTATTCATATGGTAATAATGCAGAATAATTGAAAATTTATTGTTCCATTGGAAATTTTCTTGAATCGCGTGTAAGATTCATTAATCGTTAATCGTAAATTCGGTATTGCTTTAAACACCGTTAGATTTACGAGCAGAAGTGTTTTGAAAATTATGTCGGTAGTACCAAGATATGTATTAAAAGCTAATAAACGATCGACCATCTTATCAATTAAATACGATTATTGCTTGCTTCCTCCCTTTGCGTTGCTCGAAATTGTTAACATCGCTAAACTGTGATATGAACAAAAACATAATTTTAAATAAATTAAGTAGGAATTGTGTGGTCCTAAACTCTACTCCTGGAAACTCTTGTCCGAATTGTTACTGTACCTATGTTTATACAAGGGTGGCCTAATTTCGTAAATTTAAGGCCTCTAAGCAAACTTTAGTGCTTGTGCATGAAAGAGCCTTTCTTGGCAGCCTTTTTTCATCTTTTTAAGTTTCTAAGCTCTTTTCAAGAAACAATTTAAAGTTATTTAGAAAACAGTTGTTGGAACATGAAGTTTGTCTCAGTCAAGGGACTCGATATTAAAGCGAATTCATTTATCATCGCTGTCGACGTCTTCTCTACAACTTGAGATGCTTGCAGGTGATTCTCTTTCACCTGTTGGCCCGTTGCCCTGGCATATTCTCTCAAGCATCTTAGTTAAGTTTGAAGGAAGAGATCATTTTACGTTAGGCGAGTTATCAATTGTGTCGTAATATTTTTTGGGATTTTATGGGTAAATTTCCAAGCTATGTCATGTTGACGCACATGCCAGCGATTATTGCCCATCTATTGCTAATTAGAATAATAGATATAGGATAAAGGAAATGCAGTTACGTGTACTCGAAATGCTGAATATCGTGGTAAAGTTCGTGTCGTTTATTTTACAAAACATTTTGTGTGTTATGCTCTACATCTCGCATCAGTTTAAACTACAATAGTATAACAGGGATAGGTTTCTAAAGAAACTGTGGAGCTGCGTCGGTAGAAGAGTATAACAGGGTAATTCAGTATTATCAACTGAGTTGATAACGTAAATTGGCCATCGTAAAGAGTTAAAAGATGACATTTCAAGCGATAGCCCTTCGTCAGAGCGATTGGGCGTTGTGTGTGGGTTTATATGCAGAAAATGGAGCTGCGTTGCTGGTGGAAATATGATAACGAGGAAACAAGAATACTAATTACCCAGTTTATCTTATACTTTGCTTGTTATTGCTGAAGTGTTCAAGGAATCTGAAGCGATTTAAACCGAACAATGATAATAATAAGTGCAGGAAGTCGTATGCAGCTGACTACCATGGCAATAATACTTGCACTGAAAAGGATTTGAGTGTCAAATATGATATACCGCTTACTTTCCCTTTTCTCTTCTTTATGATCTATTTATTTTTCATTTTCTTTGTCATCAATGTTGTTGTTATTTTTGCTTGGTTATTTATGTTCATTCGAATGGCCGTAGCATTTGCCGTCGTGTTCGCGTTATGACACTCAGCTGAAAATGATCCATTCAAGATAAATCTAGGGATTGCAGGATTGTTGTTAAATAACGAGACTATACAAACGATATGGATCCCCGTATATTTGCATCACTCAAAAGGCTTAGCTACAAGGTGAACCAACTCATATCATATTTCTTTGCGAAGACCACCAACGACTTTTCTTTATTATGATTCATTAGTGATAATAAACTCGCCTGTGCTTTGCCCCATTTACCTCGTGTTCAGGTCTCCTTTTGTAAATGAGAAACGTGTTAACATCAAATTAGTCGAAGACTAGTCACCTCAAAATTTTTAAATAACGGGCAGTAGCCATGTGGGGTTATATTTCCTAGGCCTTATTTGTTCTTGATAATTAATGTTGCAGCATACAGCTCTTCTATATAATTCTACCAGAAGGAAAAAAGTTGGAAAATTCTGCTATGTGAAACTATTATAAAAAAATCTTATTGCGTTATGAAATCTAGCATTCCTATAAAAAGTTGCGGAAGATTTACTGGATCGGTGTAACAATTTATGCTTGAACATATACAAGCTCTAAATAACTGTTTTTGACTTGTAGCTACTCTAAATACATGTACTCGGCTTGTTGCGTGTGTTATGTTCTATGCAAGCGTCATGCTTGAAAAAGAGGACAGCTTT